GTGTCAGTCAGCCAGGAGGAGAGGCCCTGGGAAGGAGCCCCGCCCTCCCTGGGGTGGGGCGAAGGCCCCGTGCCAGCGCCTGAATACTGACTGAGAAGCGCTAATAAAAAGCTGGGGTGCCCGGCATGGCCATTTTCACAAGCTGGCACTGAGTAAGAGACAACGCCTGACAACCACAGAATCAGTCCAGAGGGCTTTCCAGTACCAGGGGAAACCGGGCAAGACTTCTCCTTACCCACCCATCTCTCCGATGGGTTGCCTTTTGCACTTTTTTTCTTTCTAAATTCAGCAGTTAGTGCTCATGTTAGCCTGCTTTCCCTGTTGTGTGGGTTTAGTTTTCATGTGTTAAGCAGAGATTGCACCTGATGTGCAGTCTGGCTCTTCTCAGGCTCCATTCCACTTAACAGTGTAAGGACTAGTTCTGTGACCCCGAGCAGCTCCCTGGGAAACAAAAATAAGAGTGAAATTAACTGAGGAAATGCATATTCACGATCTACTTAAAGCAGTATGCTTCCAACTGACTTCTGATTTTAAAGACGTGGCATGCCCATCTCACCTCCAGGCTGTGATAAGTGCATCTGGGACCTGACGGATGACCTCCGGCTAGCAGCACTCTCCATCGAAGAAAGCAAGTCCGGGCTGCTGAGCGTGTCATCTGGGGCCGCTGCGCATAAGCACGTGAATGACATGAACTCCACCATCTACCTCCTCAAAGTAGGCACGAGCGTTAGACCTTTGCTTGTATTTTTATTCTAGTGTAACAGGGTTTTTCCTAGCAACTTTGTCTATGTCCTTATTTATTTTTCCTATGTCCCTTTGATGTCTGAGTCCCTGAGCCCTATTCCAAGCTAAGACCTGTAGGTCTCACATATATAACATAGACAATTTCATAGAAAATTGTGGGAAGTTGATGGTAGCCATGAGCTTCAGCCCAAACAAAATTTACTATCATAAAAGGGGTTGTATTGAAAACAAAATGACTAAAGTTCTATCTATGTAGAAGACTATTAAGGGAAGAGAAACATTCTTATTTCCTGTATGAAGCTGTACATAAGTTATTCAAGTCATTACCATAAACCTAATATAACGGTAGTCTCCATTTGCAAGGTTTTAGTTTTTTGGGTTTTTTTTTTGGAGAGGTTTTCGCTATAGGGCGCGTGCGCTCGCCAGACAGCCAGAGAGAGACATAGAGACAGAAAGCGAGAAATCACCCCCCTGGGGGGATGGTCACGCCACAATCCCTTCTCCTCCATTCTCCTCTCGGGATCTTGGGCACGCACGCACACGCGCCCGGCGTGAGATTTAAGCCACCGGGCCCGAGATGCGAACCGCGGTCGACTACGTGGGAGTCCAGCGACATAGCCATTACGCTAACTGCTGGTTCCCTCCATTTGCAAGGTTTTGAGGAGTTTCTCTAGAGACATCCTGTTCTCCCTCTTGCTCTCTCTCACATCTTTCCTTTCACACAAGTACTTTCTCATTTTCTCTCTCTCTCTCTCTCTCTCTCTCTCTGTCTCACACACACACACACACATACACACACACAAAAACACACATGCTGCTTCTCCTCATAGGTCTAGTGGTTAATATCTAGTAAACAAATTGAAGGCAACAATAGTAAAAACAGCAGACTATAAAGGTTCTTATATATCTAAGCTTTAAGATTTTTCCCCCTCAATTATGGACTTCCATCCCAACCAACAGACATATTTAAAAATAATAGTTGAGACCAGCAAATGTCATAACAGTTACGTCGCTAAACTCCACATGGTAGACTACAGCTCAAGTCTCAGAACCGGAGACTTGAGACTCAGAGCAGGCATGTGTCCAAGCGTGCCCAAAATCCCAAGAGGAGAATGGAGGAGAAGGGATTGTGGTATGGCCATCCCCCCTGGAAGGAGTGTGATTTCTGTCTCTCCTGCAAGCACATGTGCCTTATAGCAAAGATCTCTCTTAAATAAATAAATAACAGCTGAAAGGGTATTTGCATAAATACCTGCCCATTGTTATACTTTGTTAGTCAATTTAACATAATGGCTGAGAGCATAAACTTTCAAACCAGATGCTTGCATTTAAAGCCTGCCTGTATTTCAGCTGTGTGACCTTGGGTAAATGGTTTAACCTCTTTATTCTTCAGTTTCCACATCTGGAATAAAGGCTAATTACTGGACCTATGTCAGGGGTTGCTGAGAGAACTCCATGAGTTGGTATACGTAGACTGCTTAGAACAGTATCTGCCATCGAAAGTGTTCATTACTCTACTTTTTGGAGGTGTAACTGACCAAAACATACAAAGTGTACACCAAAGCAAAAAATCATAAAATTCTAGAGCTGGATGGAATCTTAGTGAGCATCCTGTTCCAGACCTAGGAGTCCTTCTCGTTCAACTCACCTGTTTGAAAAAATGACAGCACTAGTTTTCAGACAAGCCACCCAGATTTAGGCCGCTTGATGCTGTCTTCCTCCCTCAGTGGCATAACTTCGAGATTTGTACCATCACAGCTAACAGGAAGTCAGTGCCAACATGGATAGGTTTCCTCCAGAGTAATCTGAGTAAAGCTGCATTTATACCAGCTCCTCAAAAATACAAAAGACGGAAAAAGAAGTCTTGACATCAAAAAGAGGAAAGTGACTTTCTAAGCTGCATTTACGTTGATCCTGGTGAGTCGATCAGTTTCTCCTAGGCCTCAGTAAATTGAAGTTTTAAAACTTAGACTCTCAGGGTCACCATTAGCTTATAATGTACAAATTAGGCATAATACATAGTCAGCCCAGCCCCAGAGCAGAGTCTCTAGACCAGGGAGTAGGATGGGCAGAAATTCGGCCTCTAGCAGCCTCAGTTCACTCTGCAGACCCCACCCTTCACACCAGCCTGCGGACCCAAGTATTTTGAGAAAAGAGACTCACTCTGTACTCCAAGTCCTATTACACTGAGAGAGTTTTGTGTATATTTTTAAAAAAAAACTAGCACGTACATGTACTAATTATTTTCTAAATACCTTTTCCACAGGCAAAATTGTCAGAAAGAGAAAACCAGTATGTCCTGAGAAAGATACAAATCAACAACGCTGAGAACACAATAAAAAGCTTTCTGTCTGATGTGGAGGAATTAGCTGAAAAGGTATGTGTTTAGTTTCTGGGACTGCCTTCAAAGAAAGGATTTAGCTGGTGTGAGCCTGGCTAGTCACAAATGACTGGGGCTTAACACAGCCCAGAAAAAAAAAAAAAATGCCAGTGACCAAGGTGCCTGAAAATAAATCAAGGCCAGACCTGCTGAGAAAGTTAACATACTCTGCCTTCACAGTCGTTCCCCGCTTTGATTGGTTCCCTGAGACACCATGCTGAAGGGGAACTTTCTATATATTTGCTGTTAATATGTGCTTTGATTGGTTCCCTGAAACACCATGCTTATGGGGAACTTTCTATATATTTGCTGTTAATATGGTTGATAGATGTTTCAGTCAGGATAGTCATTCAGCTGTTTGCCTTAGCATTTTATAGCTAAGAGCTATAGAGCATCCAGAAATAAATGTCATTATATACAGTATAAAATTTAAATGTTTACTAAGGGATGTATTAACTGATACAAGGAAAGAAAAGGAATTGTCCCAAGAAAGCAACTTTGCAGTTTGGCAGGGGGAAAAAAGTCATTTTCAACCCTCATTTCACACCACAGACTAAAATAAATTCCAGACAAATGAAAGAGTTGAGTCCAAATGTCAAATCCACAAGAAAACAGTACTAAATAGTTACTAACTTTGAAAGGGAATGACAATACACTTACCTACAATATGAAGAATTACAATAAAAAAAGAGATCATAGATTTGACAAGATAAAGTTTTAAAATGACCCGTAAAACAACTAAATAAAACAAAAAGTCAATTAGAGACAAAGTTCCAGGGAAATATGACCTATAAACATGGTCACAAATTGATGAGAAAAGCATTAAAATATTAGCAGAATCACCCTAAGAGGCTATTCAATAAAGCCCCCAAGAGCCAAATGGAAAAATATCCACCCATCCCTCATGCTAATCAGAAAAATATAAACTAAGTCACAAGACACCATATGTAACATATAAAATGTTTAACACATTTTTTTCCCTGATGTTACTCCACAAGTGCTGGCCAGATGATGTGAGACTTGCTGCTTCCATGCACTGGTGTCTGACGTTACAAACAATTCTTACTAGCTACAAAATTAAAGGTTAAAACAACTCTGGTGCTCTCTGTTGATCTGGTACTTCTCAAACTTGTAAGATATTACATTTCTAAAGATATCAATTGTTCTAATTGTACCCTTGGATAATTCATCTACTTTAAAACGCATTAACAAACTTTCCCCTAACTCTCATGCAGTGGTGCATATTAATCCAACCACTAGCATTTGAAGAGCAAAGAACTGTCTAATGGTTCCAAGAAAATAGTAAGAAAGAAATCTTTGAGAAAACGCATTGTTATTTTGGTATCATGGCTGGAACTTGCCAAGAATATCTCAATTGCTGAGGAAATGTATTCATCGAAATTGGCTCCTCTCGCTGCTTAGGAAAAGTTACTGATTCTTTTGTTGTCCAGTTTCTCCACTTCTTGCGTAAGTTAAATGTACATTTTCAGAAGGAAAAGATAATGCAAGCTTCGAAGCCATGTATCGGTTACAGAAAAGGCTGCTAGACAATAAGAACTGACCATCAAAGTGGGAGGTTGATGATAAATCTACTAGGAACTTACACCTGACTGTTTCCATCGGTTTTTAGTGAGAATAATGCTCTGTTCACAGCAACAATTGTAACGGTACAAGAAGCTACTACAACATTTGAAAACAACTGCTCAGAACTTGTCTTAATGACTTCTCAAGCATCCTTGGAGCCCTTAGTCTAAAATACCCATAACTGATTCTAGAACGATTTAAGGAAACCTTTGCCTTAGAAAACCTTCTAACAAGAAAATAACTAATATTTGGGTTTAAGTAGAGTGACCAATTTCATTGTGTGTTTCATAGTGATGAAACTCGCAGTGATGTTGTCTCTTGAGCTTGACAGGTAATACAATGGGACTTTAAAAATTTTATGAAAAAAATGAATTAAAGTACAAGTTGATTTCATTGCTAAAAAATTTCGTATATCCATACAGCTTTTTGTAACACATATTTTCCACGAACTTTTTGAAGACCCCTTGTACCTACATTTGGAATTTATGTGTTACATGAAGTTTGTGTACCTGAATTGTACAAATTACTTTCACATAAAGTTACTGGTTTTGTGCCAAACTCCGTATCTAGATCCTCAGCTCCCTTTTGGGCCCACCCCCACCCCCTCCCACAGCCCTTTCCTATTAATTACTTCTGAGAAAGAGAAGACAGGGTGGCATAGGTGGCATATTGTTCAGTATACTCACCAAGAGTGTACTGAACATCACAACCATTGAGTGTGCAAAAGGACCTCATTCTTGTCACTGCTGACCATGTCTATATTAAAAATACCGAAGACTGGGACCAGCAGATGGCATAATGGCTATGTCGCTGGACTCCCATGTAGTCGACCACAGTTTGAGTCCCGGACCCGGTGGCTTAAACTCACACCGGGTGCATGTTCACGTGTGCCCAGAATTCTGAGAGGGGAATGGAGGAGAAGGACTGTGGCGTGACCATCCCTCTTGGGGGGTGATTTCTTGCTTTTTGTCTCTCTGTCTCTCTCTGTCTTTCTAGCAAGAACATGCACCCTATAGCAAAAAAAAAAAAAAAAACAAAGAAAAAAACAAAGACCATGCTAAGATTCCACTCTCTATGTTCCCAGAGCCACCATGCTCAGGTGGTGCTGGGTAGACATGGTGGCCTTCTCCCAACCTCGGTGCTATCCCTCACCACCTGGGTCTGGAAGTCCACTGTGGGAGCCAGAACCACAGATCCCAGTCTTCGAGAGTGGTCCAGATGGTCCTGCACCATCCTTTAGCTTTGCCTCTCCATCTCTACCCTCTCTACTCCTTTAGCTACAGCAAATCTCCCTACAGATCAACATATGCAAAGTGATCCTTAGAACTAAAAGAAAAGTAGGTCATCTCCATACATCAGAAGCATCTGAGCCTCATCTCTAGTCCTTCCAAAAAAGCAAGATTAAAAATAAGTATATATATATATGTATATATATATACATACACGCACACATACATACACATACATATACATATGTATATATACACATATACATATATACATATGTGTATATATGTGTGTGTGTGTGTGTGTATGTATACATGTCTTAAAGGTTTTTGCCTTAGAGCACATGTGTTTGCTGGAGATAGAAACAGAGACAGTGAGAAATCACCCCCGGAGGGGGTGTCCATGCTGTGATCCCTTCTCTTGCATTCTCCTCTTGGGATCTTGGTCATGCATGCACATGTACCTGGCATGATTTTCAAGCCACTGGATCTGGGATTCAAACCACAGTCAGGCCATGTGAGAGTCCAGTGACATAATTGCTATGCCATCTGCTGGCCCCAAAATAAGTATATTCTAGAAGTATTACTGAACACCAGGTGTAAAACAGTGATTATGCACGATGCTAAGGATTCTGAAATAAATATAATAAGGCCCTGCTCTCTGGATGTTCACAGTGTTTTAGAGAAGCATATATGTTTTTAAAAAAAGATACGACACAGTGTTTAATAATGAAGGTATAATACAGACCAAGGAGTAACTTTATGGGATTAACAATGAGCTCTTTCAGCAGTTTTTTTTTTAGAGAAAGCAGAGAAGGTGAGTATTGACTTGTGTATTAAGACTGACTAGGGTCAGGTCCATCAGGTGGTGTGGTGGTTAAGGTGCAGGACTCCCGCATGGCCATCCATGGTTTGAGTCCTGGACCTGGTGCTTGAAAATTGCGTCAGATACATACACATGCATGCCCCAAATCTGAGAGGAAAATGGAGGAGAAGGGGTTGCAGCATGGCCATTTTCCCTCATGGATGACTTCTCACTTTCCCTCTCATTGTCTCTCTCTGGCAAGCACCTAAGCTCTCTGACAAAAAAATCTAGAAAGAGACTAGGGTATTATCAAATATTTCCAAGTACTGAATAAGTACTACCAGAGCAGAGAGATGTAAAACAACATGGCATGCTCTGGGCATTATAACTTTGGCCTTGCCTTTGCAGAGATTAATTGTAGGTGAAGAGAGGCACTAATGCTAAAGAAGTCGTCAGAGGCCAGATCTTCGAAAACCTTTCCCACCATGTCCAGAAACACGTGGATTTGATCCTGTGAACTCTGGAAGTCATTTAGTATTTACCTAGTACAATAAGCTGATCAGATTGCATTTCAGAAACATTCCTCTGTGGTAAAGATGATATTGATAAATTGGGCTAGGGGAATGAGTTAGGAGATCTTCACAGAATCTAGATGAAAATGGCTGTTGGTTGCCTGGCTTTCGCGTGAAAAGGATTTGCAATGAACAAGGATGAGACGTGATAGTACGGAAGAGGAAGAGAGACCAGGACAACAAGTAGAGTAAGAAAGACTTGGTGATCCATTGGAGATGAAGAGTAGCAAGGAGGGAAGTGCTGAATAGAGAAATGGAGGACTAGGAAGACCGAGTGGACAGCCCGGTACATTTTAAGAGTGGAGTATCTATGGATGCCCAGGGGGAAGTTAGAGATTTCCGTTTGTACCTCGGAGAATAGATCAAGGCCAGAAAGGTATCTGGAAGCCATCCATGCTTTTAGGAGGTAGACACACCGACAGAGGCAGGTATCACTGCACAGGTCCTGTCACGGCACAGTCTGCACATTGGTTACCAATTCCGACCCAGAGTTAGGACCATTTCTGTTCATGCTGTGTCCCAGAGTCATCATCAAAACTTCCCCCTTTTTCAAAAGTATCCCCATTTAAGCAATCAGATATTTCATTTTCCTAAATATTGGTTACCACCCTCACTTAATCTGGTCGACTTTTTTTTTTTTTTTTTGAGAGATTTTCACTGTAGGGCGCTTGCACTCACCAGACAGACAGAGAGAGACATAGAGACAGAAAGCTAGAAATCACCCCCCTGGGGGGATGGTCACGCCGCAATCCCTTCTCCTCCATTCTCCTCTCGGGATCTTGGGCACACACGCACACGCGCCCAGCGTGAGTTGTAAGCCACCGGGTCCGGGACACGAACCGTGGTCGACTACGTGAGAGTCCAGCGACATAGCCATCACGCTAACTGTTGGTTCCCAATCTGGTCGACTTTTGAAAACAATATTCTATGTATACTACCCTTTATGCACGTATTACCAAAAAATCTTGTAATTGTAACAATAAGTACAAGGAGAATTCACTGTTGAGGTAAATAAATGATTAATCCATTTGTAATGTCAACCATCAACCGGTTCGTAGTTGTGATCATACATTTTTAATTTCAGCTTTTCTTAAAGCAAGTTATGCCTGTTTTACCATGTACCACATCATTATTTTCCTTCCATAACAAAGTTACAAAAACATTAAACATTCAAATAAGACAACACTACATATTATATTCAGTAATTTTACAATGGGAAGTAATAGCTGTGCCTTTTTGCCACCAATTGGGTATTATACATACATACATATACACACATACGCACATATATACTATGTACATACAGGTAGCTCTCAGCGCCCTCTGGCGTTCATAAGAAAGAAGAGGTTTTCTTAAAGTTAGGACATTCTCCAGCTGTCTTTTGTTGCTTCAATTCAGTTTTCATATAAAAAAAGGAAGTTGAATAACACAGAAATAACAAAAACCTTTCCCTTGACATAAAAAACATGTGTTTTCTGCTCCACAAATGTAGCTCAGTTTAAATTGAATCAAAGATCAACTTGTTCAAAAATTTTAGATCTCTTAAATATATGGTCACATTTCTTAAGGTGGGGAAGTGACAACAAGAATATGATCATTTTATTTTCTGCATCATCTAATTTTTAAATGACCACAACACATATTTTTTCCTGTGGGAAGCATTAGAATAAGTCAAAATCAGGTCAGCTCCATGGAGCAGCAATAAGGCACTACTCGAGAAAAGACACATTCCACATGGTGACCACAGTTCAACTCCCCAGCTCTGTGAGCCTGACACACACCAGGCATGCATATGAATCCCCAGGATCAGATGGGCTGAACGACTGGAGGAAGGGGATCATGGCCTGACCAGATCCTGTGGAGGGTGTCCGTCTCTTGCTCTCTCTCTCTCTCTCTCTCTGTCACTCTGATACACACATGCATGTGCTTGATCATGAACAAAGGTAATTTTTTAATAAAAAGAATATGCCAAGAATAAGACTGGAAGGCCTACGGTGGCTCAGGAGGCAATTTCTCTTCAGAGAGCTCAGTTTATGCAGGGATTGGTGGCTGCATTGTTGCTGCACAGGAGGCTTACCACTCCACTGGCACTACTCGAATGGAGGGGACAATGACTTGCCCAATAAAAAGCCTCCAGACACGTAGTTACTGTGACACCACTTCTGCACTCCCTTCTGTGACCATCTTACGGGGTTATACCCGAGAACTGTAAAAACGTTCCAGGTAAAATCATGGCAGGATCCTCTGGGCAGAACAGTACACAGAAGGAGTGCAGTTGGAAAGAGCCTCTTCCTATCCTGGGGAAACCATAGAGTGGGCGTGCCAGCTCTCTGTCTGGCAGATCATTCTGCAATACATTCAGGCATCGCAGCACTCAGTTGCAGAGCAGAGCCACAGAGCACCTGACAGGGCAAGTGGGAATGAATGCTAGACTGAAGAATTCCTCCTCCTCCTTCTTTTTTTTTTTTTTTTTTTTTTTTTTTTTTGAGAAGTTTTACTATAGGGAGCATGCACTCACCAGAAAGACAGAGACAGAGAGAAAGAAAGCAAGAAATCACCCCCCAGGGAGGATGTTCATGCCACAATCCCTTCTCCTCCATTCTCCTTTTGGGATCTTGGACACGCATGTGCCTGGCATGAGTTTAAGCCACCGGGTCTGGGACTCAAACCATAGTTGACCATATGGGAGTTCAGCGACATAGCAATTATGCTAACTGCTGGTCCCACTTCTCTTCTTAAACATGACCTATGAACCAGTCCTTCTAAAGCCAAAAGGAAGTCATGTCCTCCATCCTCTACATTTGCAGAGCAGAAAACACACCTTTTTTACATCAAGAAAAAGGTTTTCAATATTTCTGTGTCATTCAGCTTCCTGCTGGGCACTGTCTTCGCCTTAAACCACTTCAATGCTTTTAGATCAGCTTCCATCCTAAACCACACACAGAAACACATACATCCACATACACACCCACACACCCACACCCTTTCTTCAGAAACCACAGATGAGTGCAGATTTAATTTTGACAAATCCTCTGTGGAACCTCTGAAACAGAAGCTACTGAACTGAAAGAATAGAATCAGCTTCTCAGAGAAGAGCTCCATTCACCCTGAGCCAAATCTCCTTGAGCAGTTATTTGTACACAAGTGCCATCGATGTCGCTGGGAATTTGGAAGGAAACACTGAGTGCAGCATTTAGCCCAGTGAGTGTAATCCTTCAAAGCTCTGTCGTAATTTGGTTTCAGCCATGGTCAGACCACCCAGGAGCCACAGGATGCATGGAGCATTTCAGGGTCTGCCTACTTACTCAACAGTTTTCTCTTTGAAACTTTAAGCTCTTCAGCCAACACAATATCTCATTGATCAACAGACATGAACCATCTCCTAGTCTGGCATCTCAAGATAACAGTAAAAATTCCAAGGATAAATGACACGGGAAAAGTGGTTGGTTTGGACTGAACTGTGACTGATGGCTTAGGATCTGATTTTATAGCATTCTGTGATTCAAAATGGTCATCGCCTTAGCCTTCATGCATGATTTCTGGGAGCATTTTATATGTTACAGAACTTTCGCATGCCAGAAAAATTTATGTGTGTGGGATACATTATGCTCACTCACTCCCACGTGCATATAGAATACATTCCTTTCTTATAAATTTAATCTGGTACTCATGCGGATTATTTATAGGGAAATCGAGCCTCCATAAAGGGACAGCTGATTCAGAAGGAAAGCATGGAGACCATTAACCATGCAACTCAACTTGCGGAGCAAGCCCACGATATGAGGGATAAAATCCAAGGTAAATATATTATATTCTCCTCTGGTTCAGCTTAATATTAGGGAAGCATGTGTTATTAACAACAATTAAAACAATGGCTACTGTTAGTGCTCACTTATGCCAGGAATTTGTAGAGCATTATAGGTTTAAATTTATTAAAGTTCTTCATTTTAAGTTTGTTTATCTGGGATTTTTTGAGCACTCCTCTCCACTTACTATCTGTTGGTATTCAAGAATGAATACATAAAATTTTTTTGCTTTGCAGGCATTTCACAGAAGTGGAATGTCAAAATACCTTTCCAGCAAAGCAACCACATGCTAGGGTGTCTCTAGAATTCAAGGGTTGAGAGAAAATACCTACATTTCTCAGTTATTTGCAGAAAAATCATTGTCGTTAAAATGGCAGTTAACTGTCGGTTGACTTAACTTATCATAAATTGTTTCTATGACACTTTTTCCCTTGAAGCCAATCAGGCAACATGCTCTTCCCACCCCGGAAGAAAAGCTGGGAGAAAGCTGTGTGAGCTTTTCTGCCCTAAAGCTTCATGACAGATTATGCCTTCCTTCCCGGAGGTTTATTTATTTGTGCTCTAACTGCTGAATAGTGCAGGCCATGTCTTGAAGACAACTTTTTTTGTTCTTGTAGGTTTTTTTGTTTTTGTTTTTGTTTTGTTTTTAATAAGGGTGCACGTGCTCACCAGAGAGGGGAGAGACAGAGAAATACAGAGAAAGGGGAAGTGAGAAATCACCCCGCTCTGGGGGAAATGGCTACATTACAACCCCCTTTTCTCCATTTTCCTCTCAGGATTTTGACGTGCATGCACACATGCACAGTGTGATTTTCAAGCTGTCAGGACTAGGATTCAAACCGTTAACAGCCATGTGGGAGTCCAGTACCTTAACCACCATGCCACCTACTGGCCCTGCCTTGAAGACTATTTTAAGTGAGATGCATTAAAACAAAGTTCAATGAGAAAAAAAAATAATAATAATAATACACTGAAAGTCAGCCTTCATTTTACTAGCAGAAAACAGAAGATTTCATTTACTAGGATAAAAAGAATTTTCTTGGGTTGGAGCCTGCTAAGATCCAGTATTTTCATTTTCCGTAGTTCTATTGTCTGTATATTAAGGTCTAGATAACACCAAGTGCAATTCAGGGCATGATAGGAGTAAAGGGAGCCATCGTGGAAGATTTGTGTCTTCCAACTGAGGTATCAGGGGCGTAGTCCGGACAAAGGGACATGGAAAGCCAACTGAAGCATTTGCTTCATTTGCTTTAGTGCCCATAATACACAATAAAAACAATCGACGTGCATTTAGGTTATCCCTGAGAACTATAAAACACGTGCCAAACACTCCTAACACCCATCCCCATTATCTCATACTTCTGCATTTATGAATAAAATATTATTTTCCTATAACATTTTAGAGTTATGACTGAATTCTTGAAAACCTAAGATTGACCCTAGAACAGATGACCTCATCCAATTAAGAAATAAATGCCAGAACTCTAATAAGCCATTCAGACAAAGGAATTCAGCTTCGCTGTTATAACCCAAATTTTTGTTCTAAGATATTTCATTTGGAGAGAATGTGGATCCTCTTATCTGATCCTTAAAGCATCAGAAAGAACGAAAAAATACAAAACAAATTTGAATGGAAAGCAGTAAGTTCCATCAGTTTTTGCCTTTACAGATAATATATGAACAGTCTCCAAAGACCAAGTGCAAAAATGTTAGGCTATATTTCCTTTTCTAATCTATATTAAAGGTGGCTGAAATAAAACTAAGGTGGTAAATATAATATTTTCATCAAAATGCCAAAGAATTCAGCATTGCAAGTGTTAGAGCTAAGAAAAAAATATATCTATTTATTTGTTGGTTAGTATTTTAGACTTTACTGAAAATGTTAAGTCTTTATCAAATATGAAACTGTTTAATCCTTTCATACTTGTTTTATAACATATATTAATATCCCTATAACTTGTCAGTAATATTTATAGTATTACAAACTTTTCCCGCCATTTATCTCCCTCCTCTCAGAATTCTGAAATGCTGCATCACACCCACGGTGTGTCACTTCTTATTCCCAGCCATCTCTACAATATCTACTGGTGACCTTCGAGCTTATCCATATAAAATACAACCCCTTATCATGATATGATTTATATGACATTAGTGTTTGTTTACCTATCTTGTCGGCCCAACCACATAGATCATAGTAAACCACAGACACACAATTTCATTTACGCCAGGAAGATAAAATGTTTCCTCCAGGAGCTGCCATGGGGCACGATGGCAATTACCTGTCTTCTGATAATAAGTATGTAGCAGAAATGAGGGAATGGGAGAACTGCACCACCTCTGTCAGTGTTTAGATAAGTCACCTAAGCTTTCTGAATTTCAGTGGTCCCCCAGTTCTAAAATTCTCCACCCTACTGTGGAAATAGGGTTAAAATGACCCAGAGTCAAAAATGGTCCAAACTTGATAAGAAGTCCTACAGCAGAAGGCAAATAGCAATTCCCAAAAAGCTAGACTAATGAGCAAAAATTCATGTCATATATAACAAGCCCCTATTTTATATCTAATCTATAAAACAATCTGGAATATTCATTTGGATAATTATCAATATACTCTAATTTCAGATTAGAGCTTTGGTCAATTCCTTGAGTATAATACAATTAACTTCTCCAATGTATCCTCTGTGTGACAGGAAATCTCCAAAAATCTCCAAGTTAAGTCTTTCACATTCTGTAAAAGGCTGATCAAAGATCCCATATTTTTGTGTCCTAGATACTAACATTCTTAAATCACTGTGGAACCAAGATGGAAATGGAAGCAAGGAGGCTTTGCGTTAACCCATTCCCATTCAGGACATACCACATGGAAAGCAGGGAAAGTTTTAAGAGGTTTCCTCAGGTTTTTCTCCTTATTAGAATATGTAATAAATTTCCATGGTGGTATCAGTGTTCACAGTATGTCCTTGAATGAACCTGTCTTTCATTTCAGGATCAACCCTGAACTTTCCTGCCAGCCTCATGCCTGTTTGCAGTCTCATCGTATGAAATGACCAGTCATTTCCCTGATGCCTTATTTCACCATGTTCTTCCTTTCAGAGATCAACAAGAAGATGCTCTACTATGGGAAACAGCAGGAATTTTTTAGCCCTGAGGAAATCTCTGAAAAGCTGGTCTTGGCCCAGAAGATGCTTGAAGAGATCAGGCACCGTCAACCTTTCCTCACCCAAAGGGAGCTTGTGGACGAAGAGGCAGACGAGGCCCATGAATGTAGGTGTCTTCAACTTGCAGCTGACCAGCACATGCCTGCTTTTTTGTGGGTCCAGAAAAGGAGACCAAACCATGCAGCAAAGATTATTGAAAGCAATCAATTCCTAATATCCAGAGCTATTCAGTGTTTCTAAGTGGCCTCAGGGAATTACTCAGGACAACTTGACTCTATGACCGAGATTTCTAGACCCAGATCCAATTTTGAGCCCTTGAAAAACAGCTGAGATTCCACAAGTAATCTACAGAACTTTACTCCTATGGGTAGGGATTAGGGACTTGGCAGTTGGTGAAAACTCTGAAGGAAGGAAACTGAAGGAGAACCAATTCCCAGGACCATAGTAAGAAAACTTTTACTGGAGAAGTCAGAAATGCTACAGGCCCAGGAATATTTATGTACTCAGGGTTGTGAATGACTTTTAACTTCCTTGACTGATTAATGTAGGCACCAAACCACAGTTTGAATCTATGACTTGGTCATTACATCAGTTATCAATTACTATTTAACAATTACTCCAAATATATTTATTTAAAACCATAGCCATTTATTGATATTTGCTCCTGATTTCATGGGCTGACTATTCAGGTTAGACTCAGACTAGACAGCTCATCCCTGTCCATATGGCACGGGCTGAACTCACTCACATATCTGGGGCTAGCTGAGGAGACGGGCCTCTCTCTGCATGTGGAGGTCTTACCTCAGGGAGGCTGGCTCATTTATAAGGTGGCAGTCTTCTAAGAGGGCAAGAATGAAAACATGCAAGGTCTCTTGAGGCCTAGGCTTGGAAATAAACAAGGTCAAATCCATTCTTTTGATCAAGACCAGCCCAGATTTAAGAGGTAGAAAAATAGACCTCACTGTTGATGGGAAGAATTGCAAAGAATCTGTGTACATTCTAATCTACATAGTTATCAAATGAAATCAAAGATTTCCATATCATATTTTAGCTGTTGCTGATAACTCACAACAATGAGATAATTCAAAATCATGGTAATTATTAGACTCAACCCTGAGTCTTATTACTTAATACATTAATAAATGAGCATGTATATATGTATATATTATTATATTAACAATTTGGGTTAATATATTGATATTCATTTTAATTCTATGCATTTTTAAACACAATATAAGAAAGGGTCTAAAGACTGTAATTAATAAATCGCGCTGGGGCTGATGACACAAAAAGGATGAAAAATGCATTTACTAGGTCATTTTCCTACAATGGTCACTCTCAACTTCTACTGCTCTGTTACTCTAGAAGAAGAACATTCTTGACATAAAGTTTTCTTACATTAGCAAGTGTGTCAAGTCTTAGAAATAGTAACAACCAAAGAAGAATCTGAGGCCCCATTTCTGAGTCAGGATGAGGTCAGCTGTCAGGAAAGCTGAAGCTCGAATGTCGAATGTCGCAGCCAGATGCTGTCAAGCTCTTTGCCTACTTTGCAGTGTAATAAGACTTCCCTGGGGAAAGGGAAGCCACCTCTTCCACTGAGCCTCCTTCCACCTAGTGGATGCATTTTCAACCACTTTCTGTATTCAGCCATGAACACACATCTTTTGTTTGCAGTGATGAAAGAACATATAAAACCTCAGTAAAACAGACCGAAGAAAAATAGAATTAGGTGTACGGTCAATGCATGTGCGCTTGAGCAGAGAATATGGACAAAATTTAAGAATAGCATCATATCATTGCCATTTACTTTTTTACTCCATCCAAAATCATCGTTTGGATTTGACCTCAAGGAACTAACTAAAAACAGTTGCCTGGAGAGACTACAGAAAATGACTATGAACGTTATTTTGCTTTATTTTTGATAAGATCATTTTGATTATTTGTAATATTTAAAACCATGGTATACCCACTCCCCTTTACATGGTAAAATTATTAGTAATCTAGGTAATAATAAGCATGGCATAATTATGTGGTTTCCACCTAAAGCATACTCTCAACAGGAAAACGAATCAAATCCTTCTGACTGTTGTTCAGGAGCTCTCAAATCCTACAAAACAGCATTTTCTACTTCAAATGTAAAGCATGGGACTGTTTTTGTGAACAGCTTCAGTCTCTATCACTGAAGAAGAGAAGGCCTGACAATTTTGCAGCTTTGCTAAATGCTGGGGGGGCAGGGGGGAATGGGAGGAGACAGGAGAAGCCCAGATTGAGTTTCTGTCTCTGTTTCTTCTCAGTGTTGACCCAGGCTGAGAGCTGGCAGAGGCTCTTCAATGATACCCGCTCTCTGTTTCCTGTCGTCCTGGAGCAGCTGGATGACTACAACGCCAAGTTATCAGACCTCCAGGAATCACTTGTCCAGGCTCTTAACCATGTCAGGGATGCCGAAGATATGAACAGGGCCACAGCAGCCAGGCAACGGGACCATGAGGTACAATAGGTGGTAACTGTAAATGAATTTCAGGTAGACAATGTCAAGTTACACCAAGAAGAAACAGCCAGTAGGTGCATTTTATAGTGGTCTATTTGGAGCCATCAAGTGGTATGGTGATTAAGGTGCTGGACTACCACAAAGCCAACCATGGTTCATGTCCCAGACCTGGCAGCTTGCTTTCTCACTGTTCCTCTTTCCGTGTGTCTCTCTCTGGTGAGTGCACCTGCCCTAAAGCAAATTAAAAATAATAATCAATAAAATAAAATAACTAATACTTTTTAAAATGTATTAGTCTATTTAAACATTCATATTTTTAAAATATGGGTACATTAGCCGCTGTGAATTATTCATTTGAGAGTGTGTAGTTAAAATCAAAGTGAAACTATGATAATTGTTTGGCAAGAATGTAAACGTTCTCGGGGCTTGTATCCATGTGTATGAATGCCTTTCTTTAATTAATACATTGCAAGTGGTAAGCAATGAGCTATTTTTATGCGTAACTTTTTTATACTGAGAGCATTAAAGCAACAAAGCAACCCAGAACCATGTGCTCCAGATGTGTGTAATTGTGGGGAAGGCACATTACATGTAATATGTGTACTTTTTGGAAAGGCAAAATAAGCAAACTTACAGCCTGGCTGGTCAGCAGTTGCAGAGAGAGAAAGGCTCATTCAAACTAAAGCCACATGAATGCCAAGAGGTGAGGACAATTTTTCCGGACATAGCCAGAGCTTATCCAGATGATCCTCCCAGGGGGCTGGAGTTTGTGCCTGCCCCCACCGGGGGTTTGAGAACAAAGATGGTCACATGTCCACACAGACCAATGGATGTGCTCACAACCACCCACCCTGAGATGACACATGCATGACTGGATGGAAAGATTAGAGCAGAAAAGAAATGGGAACAAATAAAAAGCACCTGTGAGCAGATTCATTCCGATATGTACTTCTATTAACAGTAAAATTACTTAAACTGGGCTCCCTGTCCTGATTTTTAGTCCTCACTTGCCTTCACTAAGAGTCATAAAATTTCCTAAATAATAATGAATTATAGTCATGCCACAATTTTCTAAAATAGGAATGAACTATTAAATTTGGGGGGGGGGAGTGATGGGAACAGTAATGGTAGGATAGCATTCTTGTTATATAAATGCAAGACATAAAGTAATAACTCAGCTAATATTTTAAATTAATATCCTTGTGGACTTTCAATTAAAATCCTTAAGTGGAATTTGATTTTGTCCTATTGTGCACAAGTTCATCAAAGATGTATTTTCACTTCTGAGAAATAAGTGAGTCTCCCCATCCAGAGAAATTTAAATCCAGGCCCCTTGCTTGCAGGCTAACAATGTTCTATTCCCAGGAGAGAATTCAGAGCATTTAAGTAAGAGAGAAAAGGCACTGCGGCCTCATACAACAATTCCAGGGGCTCCTAGATTAAAAACCCAGAATATTGTTCTCTCCTCTAGGGAGCTGTGGGCCTGCCAGTGAAGACTGCTACCATAGCAATGGCTGGCAGGAGACCCCAGCCACATCAGAGTAAGGGTCTTGCTTATTTCTCTGTAATAAGACCTTACTTCCTGTTTGCCATAAGAAGGGGCTAATAGTGGTACACTGTGTGGTGAAAAAAACTGGCAAGTCTCAGTAATTACAGAGACGCCTTGAAATCTGAGGTAGCAGTAATCTCTTGGGAATCTCACTGCTATAAGTCACCTCTTTCCCCCCAATACTTCCTGATTTTCCGCGACCATCAAGGTGTCTTCATCCTGTCCAAGTCAGCCCCACCTTTCCAGTAATTCTGTGCGCAGTGATTACTCCAGCCCTTTGAGCCTCTCCCATGGGCAATTTTCTCTGCCTGGGCTCTTGGCTTCTCTCCTTAACAGATTACTGCTACGTCAGATTTCAAGACATCTCTGTAAAATTGTGATTTGTCCATTTTTATTATTTTTTTTAATTTTTAATTTGCTATAGGGCATGTGCACTCACTATAGAGAGACAGAGAGAGAGAGAGGGAAGTGAGAAAGCAAGCCTCCAGCTCTGAACCTCCAACTGCGGTCAGCCATGTGGGAGTCCAGTGCCTTAACTTCCACACCACCTGCTGGCCCCTGTGAGTTGTCAGTCTTAACGAAGTGATCTGTCTTCTACATAGATCTGAGCTAGAGAACACATCCAAGCACACCGCACGTTAACATGTCTAGTTGTCTGTTGATTGATTTTTAGGAATGGATTTTTGGAGTGAGAAGTCCTTTATAAGGTCCACAGTGAGAAAGGATCATGCGCAGTCAGTGCATGAATATCTAAATCAGCAGAATCAAAATTTCTGCATAGGCACCAACCAGCTGATTTGCTAGCAGTTGGTAAACTTCAGTGTGTGCCAGGGCACACCGGATTTTGTAAATGTCATAAGCAATAAGTGGACAGTGTTACTCATATGAAAAGACTTCAGTTCTAAAAGTGAATGATTGCCAAAATAGTTTTTGTTTTTTGAGAGAGAGAGATTTATGCTATAGGGCATGCATGCTCACCCAGAGAGACAGAGATAAAGAAAGTGAGAAATCACACCCCACAGGGGATGGCCACACCACAATCCTTTCTCCTCTATTCTCCTCACGGGATCTTGGGCATGCTCACACATTCACCCGGCATTGAGTTTTAAGCTGCCAGGTCTGGGGCTCGAACCGCAGCCAACCATTTGGAGTCCAACAACATAACCATTATGCCAAAATAGCTTTGTAAAAAGTTTACTTATTTATTTCTTCCATAAGTGACAGAGATAGCACTACCAATAGAGTCTTGGTGCTGCAATCCACTTCACCCCACCCAGCCTCAGTCAGCCCTGGACCTTGTACACTCAAATGACAGCCATGTTCAAGGAGGTCTCTGGAAGTAAACCCAGACCCTTCGCACGTGGGTCAGCCTCACAGTGTCACATTTTACCTCTGTGCCACATCCAGTTCTTCCAAATTGCTTTTAATTAAACTTTTCTTGTGCACAATTTTTTTAAAAACCTCATGCATGTGGATAGCAGGGATTTGGCATTTTACTGATTCAGACAGATGGCATGCCTCATTTTAGCTATGCTAAACAAACTCCTCTACTGAGTGCAAATGAACAACCTGAGCAAGGTTTCAGGAAGAGAACAGCGCAGCACTGAGGCATTTTGAAACCCCTTTCAGTCCCAGTTCTTCCTCTTCCTGACCTTTGGAGTTGGTATGAGCTGAAGTTCACCCCTTTTGCCCTCATCTCCTCCCCAAAGAGTGACTTCACCTGATCACACTGCTTTGGTTCTTGAAAGGCATTTGTGGGTCTGCATCCTTATCTGCCACTGAGCCCCATGGTTTAACTTTTATGTCGATGTCTGTCTGAAGGAATAGCTACGTGGATATGCTCCACTATTCCCTGCTACAAGTCAACTCCTTTTGCCCCCATTTCCCCTTCCTGATTTTCTATTCCCATCAAGATGTCTCCATCCTGCCCAAGTCAGCCTCACTTCTGTGAGCAAGTGATTACTCCTTTGAGCCTCTCCCGTGGACAATTTTCTCTGCCTCCTGCCTGGGCTCTTGGCTTCTCTCTCTGACAGATTACTGCTACATCGGATTTCAAGGCATCTCTATAATTACGTAGAAACTATATGATAACACTTCTTTGAAAGCCTTTCTACTTAAGATAGATAAGCTGCCTAGCCATCCGTGGTCTAAGCCCACCCGGTATTCCAGTAGTATTTCTTGATTCCCATACAAAACCTGCCTCTAAGCCACTAGGGACTTTACTTTTGTGTTTTATTTCCATTGATCATGGTGGATCTCTTTTTTCTATGCTTAGTTCTGTCTAATCTTTATATACATACATAATTTACAATGTACAACATGATTTTCCCCACCACAAATACGGTACATATCACGATAAAGACATGACCGTATACATTGTCATCAGCAAAGAACTTCAATTTTTTTTTCCTTTGGAAAGGTTTTTCACTACAGGACGCATGCGCTCGCCAGACAGAGAGAGACATAGAGACAGAAAGCGAAAAATCACCCCCCAGGGGGGATGGTCACGCCATAATCCCTTCTCCTCCGTTCTCCTCTCGGGATCTTGGGCACGCACGCACACGTGCCTGGCGAGAGTTTTAAGCCACCAGGTCCGGGACGCAAACTGCGGTCGACTACGTGGGAGTCCAGCGACATAGCCATTACGCTAACTGCTGGTTCCCAAGAACTTCAATTTTTTTGTCAACCTAGATTGAATGCCTCTATAGAGTGCCTCACCTACCTCACCTACTTACTAAATCTAGTGATTCTTACAGTGTTGAAGTCTAATATCTTCTGGGAACTCAATGAAAACCCTATATGAAACACACATATACATATTCCTGTCACTAAAAAATTGTGCACACAGGCCAGCAGGTGGCATGGTGGTTAAGGACACGAGACTTCCACATGGTTGGCTGTGGTTTAAGTCCTGAACCTGGTGGCTGGTCTTCTCTCTCTCTCTCTCTCTCCCCCCCTCTCTCTCTCTGGTCAAATTAAAATAAATAAACAAAGTTGAATTTTTAAAAATGTGCACATGTTCATACAGTCAAGGTTGACAGATAATTCAGGTAGTTCATTTTTTTCTTAATCTTCTTTTGGAGTTTCTGTCTTTCCTTTGAGAGATAAAGAGACAAAGGGACAGAGAGGCAGGCATCCCACTGTAAGGTCCTCAGGCGGTGATTCACCCCATTCTCAATCAGCCTGGATCACAGCCAGGCACTTGCACACCCGATGTGCTCAGAGAGCTCCCAAGACCTTCCCCATGTGGGTTCAGGTGCATTGACGCTATACTACTGAGCAGCCCTTCAGTAATCCATCTTCATTCCAGGTTAAGATTTCTGTCCTCCATAAGGACTTCCTTCCTCCTCTACACTAGTCAGCCGTTACTTGTTCTTAGACTTACCACGCTACAGATATATTCTACATTCAGTCCAGGAGACACCATTAATTGCAAAATGAGTAACTACCGTATTCCGTATATGTAGCATGCATCTAATCTATCCCCACTAAGTTGTAAATATTCATATCTTATCTTCAAATCATACCTTCCAAGACCCAAACACAACATCTTGTATTTGCTTTACTTGTCAATGAACAGATGGATGGTCAAATTCAGGAAACGCTCAAGTAGTACAGAAGTGATTTGTGTATAGTAGTTGTTCTTGATTATATTCATTATTATTTCTATAGTTATTTCTTCTATATCATTTAGGCTTCTGTAATTATTATTTCTTTTCCCCAATAACATGTATTTCAAGTTTAGTTTAAATTACTATTTCTAAATTAACGTCAATGCATTTTTTACTCAAATATTTTACTTCTTCCTCCTAAAATTTTATTGCACATTGTTTTCAAACTAAATTCACTTTGAAGCCCCACAATATTTTTTGCATAATCATAAATTCTTGCTTCTAGAATCCAAAAATGAGGTAGAAACTAAAGCATTAATCAAAATATGTACTAGCACTTGGGCAATTTCATCTACAAAAAGTCTGAGCACCAAACATAAAGACCCCAGAGTGGTAGGAAGCAAGATCACAGTTGTGTGCTTCGATAACAGGGCCACTTCTAATTTTTTAAAAGGACACTAAGATTATTTTTTATAAGCTTTGTTCTTGACCAAATGCACTATTTCTACTAGGCCCAGAGTTATAACAACACAAATGCTGTTTTAATTCATTCATTTTCCAATTATTGCAATATGGAGCCTATATTCAGTTCACTATCTATTGTCCCACTTTATATTCTGAATAGAATGCCTTTTCTACAGAGCTAAGTCTTGGGACAGCCAAGTGGCATAGTGGTTAAGGTGGCTGGATCCCATGTGGCCCACTGCTTGGTCTGAATTCTGGATCCAGTGACTCAAAAACATGTCAAGTGTATGTGTACATGTACCCCAAATCCTGAGAAGATAATGGAGGAGAAGAGAATGTAGCCTGACCATCTCCCCCAGGGGTGGTTTCTCACTTTCCCACTCTTTCTCTCTATTCTGTCTCTCTCCTGTGAGGGAACATGCCTTATAGCAAACTAAAATAAATAAATAAATAAATAAGCTAACTCTCCTTGAAATGATGTTATAAGTAATAATGATATTTAAGTGTTTTAAACCTTCAAATGTGCTCAGTTTTGTTCTCTCCATCTTATAAGAAAGAAAATTGAGTATCAGACAGGTAGCATTCTTCAAAGGCATGTTGCATTTAAGCAATGGGGCTGGAGTATGAACCCAGATCTGTCTGTGTCCAGAGACACTGCTTTGACCTTTACCACTTCCCCTGGTGCTTTTTCTAAAGACACATTATCTTCTCCTCTCTCTTGCACGTTCTGCAGAAGCAACATGAGAGGCTGAGGGGGCAGATGGAAGTGGTGAACTCTTCTCTGAGCATGTCTGCAGACTCTCTGGCCACGCCTCGTCTGACCCTTTCAGAACTTGATGATATAATAAAGGTAAGCACATGTGTGACTTGATCAGGTTTCTGTTCGTAGCAAGTTAGAGCAGTCGCTCAGGGTCACAGAAGAATTATCGGATTCAATTCAAATCTATCAAGTTTTCAGGCATCCTAAAGATAAGATCAGATGAATTTTTCAGGTTCTTGCACTGTACAAGAGACATTACTTAAATTTAAACTGCTTCAAAGGAAACACATTAAAATTTTATACACGCGTCATGCATGCTTGGAAAAATCCATGGCATGCCCAGCAAAGATGCACAACAATGTAAATCAGAAGGCATAAAATAGAAACAAAAATGTAATCCTTCAGTTGCATTGGCCACATTTCTAGTCCTCATCAGGCTAACAGCTACTATGTTCGGCAGCGTAGATGAGACCACGGGAAGTTTACAGAAAGTGCAGACCCGTTCTATTCATTCTTCTTTTGACATATTCCAGTCTGATTTCTATTCTTCCTTCTGACATATTCAACATGTGAGACGTATTTTCTGAGAGGGAGCTTTTGACACGAAGAGAATAGAAAAGCCGTGCCGTAACAGGGAGGTGTGTGGGTAATGGAGGAGAAATCTTGTTTACCTTAGTTTTCTTCTCAGATCAGAAATGTTGGAGCATATCTGAATGCTAAGAAAGCAATCAACAGAGATGAAGGAGTTGACGATGTCAGAGAAATAAATAGCTTCTTGTAGTAGTTTAGGCTTCTATGGACCAGGCCTGAAATGTATTGAACTTCTTAATAAGAAAGAATGGAGATTATCTGTTGGTGCTCCATAGGAAAAAAAAAATGTTGAGTGCTTCTAAATTCAATTTATTTAACTTCAATTTTTTTCTTTAGAATGCATCAGGGATTTATGCAGAAATAGATGGAGCCAAAAATGAGCTACAAGGAAAACTATCCAACCTAAGTAACCTCAGTCATGACTTAGTCCAAGAAGCTATTGACCACGCACAGAACCTTCAGCAAGAAGCTGATGAATTAAGCAGGTAATATCCTGGCTTTGAAAATGGGAATATCTGCATGAGTTGAATGAAACATTTTTATTCAACTCCATGTGTCAGAGATGAGAAGATACAAGTTGGTTATGGTTGAATTTGTGTATCCGTTGACCTGTTTTTTGGTTAGTCTCTCTAAGAGTCAATTATTATTTATTGCGATTGTTTTGAAAGGACAGTTTTTTTATTTTGGTTTTGGGGTTTTTTTGGAGAGGTTTTGTTTTGTTTTGCTATAAGGCGCATGTGCTTGCCAGAAAAAAAAAAGAGACAGAGAGACAGAAAGCAAGAAATCACCCCCACCCCCAGAGGGGATGACCACGCTGCAATCCTTTCTCCTCCATTGGGCACACAGGCACACGCATCCAGCATGAATTTAAGGCACCAGGTCCAGGACTTGAACCACGGTTGACTACATGGGAGTCCAGCGACATAGCCATTACACCAACTGCTGGTCCCAGAAAAGACAGTGTTTTTTTATTTTAATAAGTCTGTCAGGGGCCAGCAGATGGTGTAGCTGTTGCATTGCTGAACTCCCACATGGCCAACTTTGTTTCCCAGAACAGGTGGCTTCAAAGTTATGCCAGACATGTATGCCCAAGATCCTGGGAGCAGAGTGGAGGAGAAGGGATTGTGGTATGGCCATACTCCCTAGGTGGTGATTCCTCACTTTCCTTCTCTCTCTCTCTCTCTCTCTCTCTCTCTCTCTGGCAAGTACATACACCCTAAAGCAAAGACCTCTACCAAAAAATAAGTCTGCCAGGGGTTCAGATGGTGGTGCAGTGATAGCATGGCTGAACCAACATGGGAAGGTTCTTGGTTCATGCTCCAGGTCCTCCTCTATACACAAGGTATGTGCATGAGCCTGTGGTCCACGCCAGCTGAGACAGGGTGGATTGTAGTGTGAGAACCCTGTTGGAAGTACATGTGAGAGTGTGTGTGTGTGTGTATGTGTATCTGCCTGTCTCTCTCTCTCTTTCTCTTATGGAAGAAATAAGTAAGTAAATTTTTAAAAAGTTCTGTTGGGGCCCAACAGGAGGCATGGCGGTTAGAGTGCTGGACACTCCCACATGGGTGACCACAGTTCAATTCCTGGACCTGATGGCTTGCTTGTTTGCTTTCTCACTTTCTCTCTCTCTCTCTCTCTCTCTCTCTCTCTCTCTGTTTCTCTGTCTCTCTCTAGTCGAATTAAAAATAAGTGAATGAATAAATAAAATTAAAATAAATAATTATTTAAAATAAAAGTTCTGTTGGATTTGAGACCTATGTTCTTGGCAGGGCAGGAAGGTCCATAATTACTAATAGAGTAAGCTAAGGTGTTTTGTTTAGAAACACAGCTGCTGCACAAAATGTTATCAAATAGATCATATCTCTTTACAAGGCCTAATCAAGCCATCACTAATTTATTTTAAAGACAACTTTAGCTTTCCACATCCATAAGTAAAGCTGGATGGGAATTGGTAACATAACTGACTTCTGGTCTTCTGGTAAATACTCTAGTTGCTCCGCAGTGCCCAGCAGGAGCTATTTTATTTCAACACCTGTTAAGAGAAAATCAATTGATAATTTTCCTCACAGCATCTAGAAAGTCACGCACCCCTTGGTCACTCAATTAATGTTAATTGAAATGTACTGAAAGATTGGAATTGAATTCATGACCCTGAAATAATTGGTAAATAATGAGATCATTATAGAGAAAGACTATAGATCTAGCAGTTACAAGGACCAATAAAGGTCATGAATAAAATAAGAACTGATATTAACTTCTGTCCAAACATAAATCACCCTTTTATTTCTGATTGCCAAAATTTATAAATACCCTCCCAAATCTGAAGAGAAAGAGAAGTGTCACATAAAATCCTGATGTGAGAGATAAGTATTATATTCAACTCAGTGCCATGCCCCTAGAAAACTGACTTTTAATAAAGGCAATAGTTTGGAGCTTAGATAAAATAGAGTTTTGAATAATACACTGTACTGGTAGAGTGTTGCTTTTCAGATCCATCCTATGGATTAGAATTTTAAAACATACCTTCTCTAAATGCCACTCTGTAACAATGTTCTAGAATGATTTGAAGGAAAGGGCTACCTGCTCTTCATGAAACACGATCAGAAATATCAGTCACCCTGAAGTCTCTTTTGTGTTGGAATATTTCTGGCTGAACATATTAAGGGAAACATTCAAATTTATGGATATCTTCTCTTCGAAATATGAGTACTCTTCAATGTCTATCTGGTGTATACAACGATTTACATGTTGTACTCAAAGAGTCATAATTCATCAAGAAACTTTCCTTTCAAAAGCACATTTTTATTTTGAATATTGATGCCATACCTGTTTTGTGCCTAGTAATAAAAATGAAAGGAGAAATCTTTTGTATAAAGCTCTTTGGTGCATCTCTTGCCAACAACATTTTTAAATATTAATAAATATTTGTAACATCTTACTCCTTTTATCCCTTTTTTAAAAAGCTTTCTCTTATTTCACCCCTCAGTTTTACTGTCTCAGCCCCACATACGGGGAGGAACATATAGCAAGTAAAGTATTTAGGCTAGAACCACCTCTGCAGAGCAGGACTGCATTGTGACTTTTGTGAGCTCTAAGCACTTGGCCTGGGTGGGTCCCTACCACGACAAAAAAAAAAAAAAATTAAAGACCATATTTTATAATTGTGTTGGTATAAAGACTAACATAATCTTTAGTATTACAATCATATTTTCTTCTCTGATTTAAAAAATAAAATAAAATAAAATAAAACATTTTGGTGGGCCCCAACTACACCTAATGGATAAGTCAGTCCTGCTGCAGAGGAAGAGAATGATGGTGGATTTGGACAAAAGGGAGAGAAATAGCCAGAGAAATACAAAGGAAGTCCCTCTGTGCCTCCGAGAGCTTACAGGGACTGGAACTGCATGGAGGAGCAGAGGAACTGTGGACAGAGCTCAGTAGGTCAGGAGGTTTGAAGAGAGGAGCCGACATGGGTTCTGTCATGTCACGCACTAGGTCACAGAGGGTCTTTTGGTGGTTACTGATGGCTAAAATGAAGTCATCAGTGTTTGGAACCATGGGGGGAAAATAAGGAACTGATGAGCCGAAGACAATAAAATTAAGACAAAAGATTTAAGATTAGTTGTGGGAATAGAGGTGGAGTTTATATTATAAAGAAATATTTATCAGCAAATAAATTATGTGGACACATACATTTTGAAATTCTGGTTCAGGAAATAGGTAGAGTAATAAACCCTAATGCTTACTGGATGCCAGGTACAATATACCAAGTATATTCACCCCTGCTATTACTCACCGCAATCCTCAGAGGCACGGACATGACTGGTCCTTGTCTGTGAGAGTGCCCAGTGCATGATGGGAACTCAGTAGATGTTTGATGGAACTCACACAGACCAGAAAGGGGCAAAGGCAGAGACCATAGTATGTGCGGGCAGGGCCGGGGGTATGCTAGGTGAGGTTGTGCGCTCACAGGACACAGCCAGGCCTCAGGAGGGAGACAGGCATGCACAGTGTGCATCTGGACCAAGCTATGCAGCTTCTGCCAGAGCCTCAGCTTCTTCTGTGGAAAGGGAAGAACAATGCGGACTTGGATAAGTATAGATGGCCATGTCTGTGGGTTCATTCTTCTCCACTGCGTAAGCAAACGTTTGCTTGAAGGAGTGCAGGGGACTGTTTTCAAATCATTACTCCCTTTTCTGAGGCTACTACCAGGCAGGCAGCTGGAGCCAAAATGGGGTGAAGTTTTTTTGGGCATCAAAGGCGAAAGAATGCAAAGAAGATATGACCTTCCGAGGACAGTTCGGAAAAACCTCTCCAAGGTAGGTGAATTTGAATAACAGGAAGGAAGTATCTTTGATTCTGGAAGTATTAACAATCAAGCCCTACAAATGGCCTCATTTTCCAAGAGGTAAGGAGGAGAAATAATGGCAAGTTTGTTCGTTCACAGGAATTTGCATAGCTCTGATATGAACGGGCTAGTACAGAAGGCACTGGATGCATCAAATGTCTATGAAAATATCGCCAATTTTGTTAGTGAAGCTAATGAAACAGCAGAATTTGTTTTGAACATCACTGATCGAATTTATGATGTGAGTATTTCCAGGTTTTTTATTTACTTATTTATTTTTTTTAATTGCCAGAGGGTGTGTGCACTCACCAGCAAGAGACAGGACAAAGAGAGAGGGCGAGAGCACCCCCAGTGGGAGATTGGGGCCTGCACACACACTTGGTAAGTTTGTCAAGGCTCTGGGGTCAGGATTCACGCTATGATTGACCGTGTGGAATCCAGTTGCCTCAACCCCTAAGCCACAGGGTAAGCCTTAATCCTGTGTTTTAAAGTTTATTTACTTGTTACATTTTTCCAACTTAATGACTTCCATTTCCTGATATCATTTCTGGTACTTCCAGTGTAAAATAAAAATGGCAGAAAGAGCAGGGGGACAGAAGAAAGACTATTTTACAAGTTATGCTAAGAAGGATTCAGTTTACAAAATCTTGAAGAGGTCCTGAAGTCCAGTCAGCAAATGCTGGTTCCTTTGACAGCTTTGTTAACCAAAGGCCCTGAAGAAAACACATTTAAGACCAGCTCCTGCTAACAGAGAAGCAGCTTAATGTATGCATTCAGATTTTTCCATTCAAAATTATTTACTGCGGAGACCAGCAGTTGGCATAATGGCTATGTCACTGGGCTCCCATGTAGTTGACCACGGTTCAAGTCCCGGACCCGGTGGCTTGGGCTCACATCAGGCGTGTGTGAGTGCATGCCCAAGATCCCAAGAGGAGAATGGAGGAGAAAGGATTGCAGCATGGCCATCCCCCTGGGGGGTGATTTCTCGCTTTCTGTCTCTCTTTCTTTCTTTTTTTTCTTTTTTGAAGAGGTTTTTTTGCTATAGGGCGCATGCGCTCACCAGACAGAGAGAGACAGAGAGATAGAAAGCGAGAAATCACCTCCCAGGGGGGATGGTCACCCTGCAATCCCTTCTCCTCCATTCTCCTCTCAGGATCTTGGGCACACATGCACCCGCGCCAGGCGTGAGTTTTAAGCCACCGGGTCTGGGATGCAAACCACGGTCGACTACGTGGGAGTCCAGCGACATTGCCATTACGCTAACTGCTGGTTCCCTCTCTCTGTCTTTCTGATGAGCACATGTGCCTTATAGCAAAAACCTCTCAAAAAAATATTATTATTTACTGTGTGACTTCTATGTGACAAGCACTTATATGAACGCTTGGCACTGTTCTAGGTTCACTAAATTTTCCTGAAAAACACAAGAAAAAGCATGCATCTTGAGTCCAAGACATTATTTTCTCTTATTCCCATATGACCTTGTTTTGGGACTATGATAATGAAGCTATGTGAGTTTTGGTTGATGTTTAGCAGATGCACTGTGTCATTTAAGTCCTAACACCATGAAAAGCTGATTTTTATGCTGTCGTTTTTACTCTCTTCACCCCATTCTTTTGTAGGCTGTGAATGGGATTGATACACAAATCATTTACCACAAAGATGAAAGCGAGAACCTCCTCAGTCAAGCTAGAGAACTACAAGCAAGAGCAGATGCCAGTAACTATCTTCGCTTTCCCAACTTCCTTCTGATTTATATCTGCTTCCCTCCCTTTATACACATATATCGAATTCCAAAATAAAATAGCAAAGAATAGATAATATTACAGCTGAGTAATAATCAATAGTTTCTGCTCACAGTGACCCAAAAAAGGCCAAAAAATGATATTTTAAAAGTAAATTGTGATAACTTATGGTAGGTGTTCTTGCTAATCAAGTAGGATGATAAACAGAAACTTACTATAAACACCAATTCTGAAGTAAAGAATGCCACAATATACACTTAACACTAAAACCATACTGCACATGGTTTAATCTTTCTTAAACAATTATCATCTTTACCATGAAGGAATGGATTATCATCGTGAGATTCAATTAGAAATACAGCTGCTACAAAATCATCTGATTATTTGCAGTTTGTATTCTACACAGTTTACTATATTTATGACAACCTGATGGCCCCATGGGAAGATGCACTTTCAAAGGCCTATGTTTGCATCTGCTGAAGCGAGCATATCCAAAAAGGACAAGAAAGGAGAAATAAAAGTAAAATCAGATTATTTCATTTTGAATCATGTGAATTACTCTCAAAACAAGCTAATAGACTACGAATTTTACTAAATGTTACTCATCTCTGAGCCATTAAACTAAGTCCTATGGATATTTGAGCCTTGACTAATGAAGTCATGGGTGAAAATTCTAACCACCTATCTTCTAACTACCACCTAAAAACGAAAGCCAAGTTTGAAATGAAGACTAATACAATTTCATCAAATTAATTCATTTCAAGTCTAATCGTGCATTTTCTTTTTTTTTCTTTTGCAAAGATTCACTGTATAGAGAAAACAAATGCACTTTGTTTACATGTTCAGAATATTTAACTATGTTGTTACCTTAAAGCTACTGTTATTTTTCTAGGTTAACATAGGTGATAAAAAGTGCTATTACATTTTCTATTCTAACTTATTATATAAGTTTAATTAATTTATTATATAGGCCTAGTCCTGATCGTAGTCATTGGAAAATAATCACAATTTAGCAGTAAAGAATTAGAATATCGGGACAAGCAGATGGCATAATGGTCACATTCTGAACTCCCATGTAGTCAACCAAGTTCAAGTTCCAGACCCAGTGGCTTAAAACTCTTGCTGGGCACATGTGCGTGCATACCCAGAATCCCAAGAGGAGAGGGAAGGAGAAGGGATGGTGCCATGGCTGTCCACCCTGGGGTGTGATTTCTCTTTTTCTATCTCTCTGTCTCTCTGGTGAGTGCACAAACCCTATAGCAAAAATTTCTCTCTAAAAAAGATAAATAAAATATTAAGAGTAAAATATTTGTAAACAAATATTGATATTGATATATCTATGTATTGCTTTTGCTTCTTGTGTAGCTTCGAATATATCAATCTTTATAATGCAGTGACTAAAATATTTTATTCTTCTCGATCATTTGTAGTGTCTTTTCTCAATCCTGTCATTGAATTATTGAACCTCATAATGCAACTTTTCTATTCTGGAAATGACATCTCTTCCAACTTCCATATTTTATGTCCTATAAATCACTTTGCATCAGCTTCTTTGAATATCTTGCAGATACAGCTACCTATTTTATGGTCTTATTTGGTTAAATCTCTTTATATATTTATTTTCAAAGGAGCCAGTGATAGAGAATTAGGACTGTGAAGCTCAGAACTTCATAGGATTGTGTCTCTCATAATACATGTTCGTGACATAAAGTCAGGTTTTCAAAATAACCATACAATCTACTGAGTTACATTACCATTTTAGATTACTATTTCCAAATTACTTTCAATGATCAGTAATCTTTATCTCCCAGCTTTCCTTTTCTTCATTGTCTAGATCAAATAGTTAATCTTCTATGATAAACTCAGGAAGCTGCTATTTAAAGGAATCATCTACTTAATTAATTTGCAAAATAAAAATGTTTATGTAAGACAGTAAGTTCCAATGTGACACCCTTTATATTAAACATTTCTCCTTATAAACATCCAGCCCCAAATAGATTCTTTTTTTCCTATTTTTATCAAGCATTCCAAATATAGAGGAAAATACATTCTTTCTCAGTTCGTCAGTGATTTTTGCAGTCACAAGTCCCAAAAGAAAGAGCTTAAAGATGGTTTATGTCACAACATTTGAACTGAAACTAAAAAGAGGAAGCGGGGGTGCAATAAAATTACAGAGTATTTAACTTCCTCTATGAATTCTGGTTATTCTCTGCACTACCCAGAGGATGTAAGAAAGAAGTACTTATACTTGGTTACACTGTACTTGGGAATACTATCAACTAAGCACCAATTAGTATACAAGGGCTATTCAAAAAGTTCACAGAAGTGCATATTATGAAAAAACTGTGTGTGTGTTTCAATTTTTTTTTTGCACCAAGATAAGTTTGTTCTTTATTTTTCCATTAACTTTTTAAGTCCCTTCACATATCCATTACACATGTGTATAGGGAAAAAGATAGCAACAAACCAAGGCTGTATAATAGAAAAGAGAAAGTTCCCAATGGGAGGTCATGTATTTATAAGCCCATTGAAAAAAGAGAGTGCAGTGAGCAGTGATGAAATTATTTTTCTGTTTGTCAAGAAGCATAAAATTCCCAGTGCTTTGGGAATGAACAAAGCACAAACAGAAACAAAGAATTCCTGGCAAAGATGATCCTTCAGTTCAGATGATAATATACACCATGGCCTACTGGAAGTTTCTCAAAGATAATCCCAGCTTAAGAACAGTATCACAAGCACACTTTCAAAAATAATTTTGTAAGAAAAGAATATCAAAACGGAAAATTTAATAAAATTGCATAAACATAGTTATCATAAACTGTATCAAATGGCCAGCAGGTGGTGTTGTGGTTAAGGTGCTGGCCTCCTGCATGGCCAATCACCTTGGACATTGCTAGGTTTAAGTGCTGGACCTAGCAGTTTGAAATACATGCCGGGTGTGTGTGTGTGTGTGTGTGTGTGTGTGTGTGTGTGCACCCAAAATCCCAAGAGGAGGATGGTGGAGAAGAGATTGCAGCATGGCCATCCCCTCAATGGGTGACTCCTCACTTTCTATCTCTCTGCCTCTGTCTCTCCAGTGAACACAGGTGCCCTATAGCAAAAATCTCTAAACAAATGTTTTAAATAAGTTCTATCAGTAATTAACCCTTTCACAAAGAAATCTCAAGTTTCAGATGGTTTCCCCAGTGAACTCTTCCAAACATTTAAAGAAAAACAAACTCCTCTAGAAAAATGAAACATGAGGAAGCACTCTCCAGTTTGTTTTATGACCCCAACAAAACTTAGAATCCAAAATCAGACAAGGACAGGAAAATTACAAGCCAAATTCTCTTATAGACAGCGATGCAAAAATTCTAGTCAAAATATTAGCAAGTCAAGTCACATATAGAAATGCTAACACATATATTTATTATCCTAAAATCCTAATTAAGATATCAATAAATGGAAACTTTCAAGGCATGTTGACTCCATTGGTACTTTTTCTGCTTCTTGACTACAGGCAATGATGAGGCTGTGGCTGACACCAGTAGGCGTGTGGCTGGAGCCCTAGCAAGGAAGAGTGTCCTTAAAAATAGACTAAATGATGCCTTTACACGACTACAAGCAGCAGAGAGAGGTAAAGATCACAAAGAAAACTTGTCTGATCTGTTTGTTCACTGGCATATGAGATACACATTTGAGGAATGATTCAGTGATACTTTCCTTAATTGTTAATCTTTTTATAAATATTTTTTTCTGATAAGGAAAGAAACTATATTCATACTCTAAAAAATTATCCTATAAAATATTAATGCAAAAGTTGTAATGACTCTACCTAGGTATGACCTTTAAATTTGAGAGCATTTGTTTCCATCTTCATGTGTTTACGTGGGTTTTAATGGTATCATGCTGTTTACACTGTTTGGTAACTTGCTTTCTTGTGAACATTTTTCTTCCTTAGCAATATGCCCTAATTTGGTTATTGAATTTCTTTGGCCCCATCTGCAAATAGCTTCCCTCTGTTATATGTCACATCATTCTTATCATGTAAGCAGGGAGACCAACAAACCAAAAAGAGAAACAAGAGCACTTGTGTTGCCTAATCTGGGACTGCAGTGGTATCTTAGAAAGATGTGATAACATAAGAAAAACTTTTGGAGACATCAGAGCAGGCAAAGAATTCTTAAATAAGACCCATAAAGCACAGGCAATAATCCCCAAAATAGACAAGTGGGATTACCTCAAGTCAAAAAGCTTCTGCTCAGCAAAAGAAATAGAGTGACTTGACAACCTTCAGAATGGGAGAATATATTTGCAAGGTATGCCTCAGATAAGGGACTAATAACCAGAATATACAGGGAACTCAAGCAGTTTACCACCCCCCCCAAAAAAAGTGATCAACCCAATTAAAAAATGGGAAGATGAGCTGAACAAACAATTTACTAAAGAAGACATACAGACAGCCAAAAGGCATATGAAAAAATGTTCAATATTCCTTATAAGATGCAAATCAAAACCACAGTGAGAGACCTTCTAACCCCAGTCAGAATTACAGAGATCAATATGGAGGTTCCTCAAAGACCTAAAGATAGAACTACCATATGATCCAGTAATTCTACTCCAGTTATCTACCCAAAGGATAGTTTATACTCAGTCAAAAAAGTACTTGCACATCATGTTTATTGTGGCATTATTCACAATTCCTAAGACATGGAATCGACTCAAATACCCATTAACAAATAAATGGATTGAAAAACTGTGGCACATATACACTATGGAATACTAGTCAACCATAAAAAACAATAGGATCCTGGAATTTGATAGAAAGTGGACAAATGTGGAAGATTTACTGCTAAGCAAAGCAAGCCATATTATGAAAGAGAGACATCGTATGTCTCCACTTAATATATACACTCTATAGCAGAAACAGAAAGATCAGAAGATAAGCATGGCGATACTACACCTAGAAAAACCAAGGAAGATAAACGGAAGTAAGAAAACAAAAATAGGAACCAGCAAATGGCATAATGGTTATGTCATGGGACTCCCATGTAATTGACTAGTTTGAGTCCCAGACCTGGTGGCTTAAAAATCATGCCAGGCATGTGTGCGTGCATGCCCAAAATCCTGAGAGGAGAATGGAGGAGAAAAGATTGTGGCATGGCCATTCCCCACCACCCAGGGGAGTAATTTCTCACTTTGTCTCGCTATCTCTGTGTCTCTGTCTTTATTTGTCTTTCTGGCGAGCACATGCACTCAATAGCAAAAATCTCGCTAAAGAAAAAAAATTTTTAAAAACACACACTAAACAACTAGGGAGAGGAAGGAACTAAGGGATAAGTACACTCATATCTATAATAACATTGAATGTTAATGGATTAAATTTCACAACTATAATATTTAAACATTTCTACTCATTGTATAAAACTAAGTAATAGAGGAAAAGCCTAAAATGTTACAAGTCGCTGAGGTTTTTTTTAATTAGTTTTAAAAAGACTAAAATCAAAAACTTTGTAAAGTCAATAAATCACCAAATCACTGATTTACCATGTCTTCACTTTTAAACATCTCTTTTCAAAAAAAAATAAAAATTAACAATAAGAAGCATGGAGAACAATTGTGGACAATAAGATAGTGTGGAAGCAGGGTGAGAAATGGGGGCAGGTGAGAGGAAGGGAATCAAGAGGAAAAAGAAAGAAGCAAAACATTTAAGGGACACAAAGATAAAAAATTATTTGTTGATATAATATCTTTAACTGGACTAATATACAGTGTATTCATGCTGAGAAAATTCATTTTGAAAGCTATAATGATATACAGCAATTGACTACATAAAAATTCTTTAAAAAAAAAAGATGTGATTGGAAGCAGATGTGGTTTCTCTGGTACAAGGAAAATTAAAATTAAAGCACTACCACTAGATATGAAATACTAAAAGGAGTAAATCCTAGCTACAATACAATGAACCAAAGCTCTGGCCAGGAGAATGGTCATCCATTAAGAAGTCTCAGCATGGGCCGGCAGGTGGCATGGTAGTTAAAATTGTTGGACTCCCACAGGGCCGTGGTTCAAGTCCTGGACCTGGTGGTTTTCTTTCTCACTTTCTCTCTCTCTCTCTCTCTCTCTCTCTCTCTGTCTCTCTCAGATCAAACGAGAAAATAATAATAATAATAAATAAATAAATAATAATTCCAAAAAAAAAAAAAGACGTGTCAGCATCCTCAGAGCTGTTTTTTGATGCTTACTGTTTGCTGGGCACTGTACTAAGTATTTGGCATCTCTTATATCATGGAGAATAACTACTGCCATCGCCTTTAGCCTGACATGAATCCTGAGGTTTGTCAAGGTTAGGGAACTCACTCCAATAAGCACAGCTAGTATGAAGCAGATCCAGGATTCAACTCAGCATTCATCAGAATCCAGAAGTGTATGACGTCGAGTTGAATGTTTCCTTACTTTAAATTTTAAAGTTATGACATCATAAAATGAGTCCCAGTTGTTTTGATTATAAAAATAATGTAACTCATGGAAAAATTAGAAAACACAGAAAGAAGAGAGAAGAAAAAACCACCAATCATCTCATCACTTAGACAAAATTTTTGTGGAAAACTTAGGTTATTTTCTTTTATATGCAATGTTTTAACAAAAATGAGATTTTGTTACTGATATTCTTTTGAAACTTGCTTTTCTTATTCAAAAATACCGTTTCTTATTAATTGACTTCTCTACTAGAGTATCATCTATCGCAAAAGTGTTCCATAAAAATACTGTTCCGTAAGAGACAGTGTTATTTAGGACAGATTGCAAACAAAATTCTCATGAGTTAGAATCTCATATGCATTTTCTATAACTTTCTCACTAGTTCCCTAACCTAAGGAAATACTATTACTCTCTCTCTTGCTCTCTCTCTTTCTCTTATTGAGAGAGAACCACATGATTTAATAAGATTTCAGTCTTTCAAACTCAATACTGCTTATAATATTCTTGTGCATCTAACTTATACCATAATTAACATACATTTAAAGATCTTAGATTTGCTCCAAAGTCCAACATTTGAGGTCTTTTGCATCCAGTGCATATGTGAATGTCAACGCTCCCCAACAAATGGCCTGCTTCTGTGCTAAGTGAATGTCTCTGTGGTCTGGTCTGAGTGCAGGTGACGCTCAGCAGCGGCTGAACCGGTCCAAACTGATGGCTGCAGAAGCTAACGAGACCACCATGGCGATCCAACAGGCCACTGCCCTGATGGTTAACAATGTAACCAGCTGGTCACAGAATCTTCACAATTTTGACTCTTCTGCTTACAATGCCGCAGTGGACTCTGCTAGAGATGCAGGTATTACTTAGCTATCATTATCTATCAATATCGTGACAAATCATGACTAGAAGTTGTAATTCTCTAATATGGTTTTGCAGACTACAGTACTTCCATATACATCTAAATTAAGAAACGACTGTATGCATCTGTAGATATAATCTGTCACTAGAGATTTTATCCCAGTTTAAAATACCCATTCCCGTAACAGGAAAATAGCCCCTTCATGTTCATTTTTAACTGTACATTGGTGAGTTCTTTCATGTAACTTCTCACTTAAATTGTTTTTAAAACTTTATCTTTAAAAGATTTGTCTACACAACATCCAACATTTATATTTATAAACATATAGCCTCAAGAAAATTTACTAAATCTGTGTTAAATTTCTCTTCCTCCTAGCTCACCAGTTCCTTCAGCTGATTTCAAAAAAACTTCCAGAACCAGCACTAATTGAAATTGTTCAGATTACTATATCATCCCCTAATAATATTTTGTGATTCTAAACAAAGTAAATGAAAGAGCATACCAGAATATGAGACTTTATAGAGACGCTAATAGAAGATGGCTCCCTTTCTCTGAAACAATTGAGGGCAGGAAGAACTCTGTCTTATATGTGTATCTATTTCCATAATCAAAGTAATGCAATGCTTTAGATATAGTTTATTACCTTCAATTTTTAAAGACTATTACTCTATAAGTGGCTTTTGTGCTCAGGTCCAAACAACAACTGTTTACTTTTATAGTAAGCACTACAATAAACAGTTGCTATTGTTTCATTTAATCCCATTCCTCATGCTGGGAAACACCTTCTAGATACAGAGACTTGTCCTTGATTTGCACTGACATAGTCTCCTGAGTCTACACTTCATTTGGCTCTAGTAAGAGCTTGCCCTTGCCCAGCTGCCAAATGCCCAGTGACCATGCTCCAACCCCCAGGTAGGAGAATGCCCAGACAATATTCATCTTTAGCCCAGTGGCTCTCAAACATGAATGTGCATCAGCAATACCTGGAGGGCTTGTTAAACACAGATGGCTGGACAACACTCCCAGAATTTCTGATTCAGTAGGTTTCTCTCATCAAGCTATACTTTCATGACTTGTGCTCTTTCCTATGAGCATGTTGTGCATTCCAAAAGAAAAGTGCCTAAGAAACAGGGCAGGCTCAGGCCAGGGGGCACAGCTGCGCTTGGAAGCATCAAGGGGAATGTATGCCTTGTCCCAGCCACTTCCTCTTTTGCTGTCTCCCACCTCCCTCAACACCCAAAGGTTGTTTTCTTCTTCAGCAGGATGAGAAAAATATCGGTGTGGTCTACTTACAGCATTATTTTTGTCTGGGACTACAGACCATGGCTGCCCACCCTGAGTCTGGCACAACTGCCACTTTCCTGGTTTCCTCCATCTATTAATAGCCTTCTTAATAGCAATAGTGTGATTCGTGCATGGACATTTGGAAAACAACACCCTCCCCCCCCCCAATTCACCTAGCATTCCTCCTGATCTGTAATTATCAGTTACCTTGGAAACTCCAGCAGAACCTGTTCTATATGATTAAAGGAACACCTGCATATTTGTCACGGATCCTGCCCTTTAGAAATGTACATTACAAGTCAGCATGCTCTACATGCAAATAGGGGAGTTGATTCGCTTTGGGCTTTACCATTAATTTTGCAGGAGTAAGCGTAATTTCTTGTGAATTTGTTCTCTTCACCTGATTCTTGCAACATACTTAATACTGAGATATTTACTCCAGTGACTCATTTTTATTAACTACAGTAAGAAATTTGACAGAAGTTGTGCCTCAGCTCCTGGATCAGCTTCGTACGGTTGAGCAGAAGCGGCCTGCAAGCAATGTTTCTGTCAGCATCCAGAGGATCCGAGAGCTCATTGCTCAGACCAGAAGTGTCGCCAGCAAGGTAACTGATGAAAGGCATTATCCATCACTCGGTAATAATGAGAGCGTGAGGCGGAGCTCAATTCCTCAGGCAGCTTCCAGAGACCGAACCTTTCTAATGTATTATCCAGCTCAGTAGTTCTCAGCCCCAGCTGTTCAATAGAATCACATGAGGAGCTTTGAAAAATAGACTAATGCGTGCCCCAACCTCAAAGCAATAGATCAGGCTCTCTAGAAGGACCCAGCACCTGCAGTTTTGAGAAGCTCTCTGATTATTCCAGGAATTAGAATCACATAGTTAACCTGGTCAACAAAGCTAATAGAGCAAAGGAAATCAAGTAAAGCCCCCCAAATAGTCAATTCATTCTCATTATTATTATTTCTTATTTTAACAGGGATTTTAGTACAAGTATCACATGGAACAATCTTGCCTTCCTGTCCTGCTTCTTTAAGAAATTATCTGCTACAACACAGATTATTTCAAGTTTTTATGGACCACTCCACAGGCTTGACTGAGGAATCACATACTGGCTAAGCTGAACAAACTCAACAAAACTTTATTCTGAGATACTTGCATAGAAGTAACCTAGCAACACCATAACTAGAGCCAGCATTGGTAGAAATACATCCTGACATAATAATTGGCATTTTCAGTGTGGCAAAGTAGAGCTTGTCCTTGAACTTCTTTTTAATTTGTCTTTCATTGATTTATGGAACTGCCGCATTTTTCACACCAAATTGTGCATTTCATTTCCTAATTAAGAATTGTCTCTACTGGGCTATTGACCCTAGTTACTGACAGAAAGAGGAGTTAGAACTCAACTATTTTATAATGAAGAAGATTATTCTTGGTAAATATCACCACCTTTTAAATGATAATATGACAAATGGCCCATCCCACAAATTATCTTATTTAGATACCTCAACAAACATTTTAAGCCATGTTTATTTTTAAGGTACCTCAAGAAATAACATTCTAGGGGCTATCACTGGACTCCCATGTGGCCGACCACTTGGCTTGAAACTCAGGCCAGGCATGTGTGCATGTGTGCCCAAAATCCTGAGAGAAGAAGAATCTAGGAGAAGAAATTGCAGTGCAGACCTCCCCCAGGACATGATTTCTCACTTTCTCTCTCTCTCTCTCTCTCTCTCTCTCTCTCTCTCTCTCTCTGTATCTCCAGTGAGAGCACGTGCCCTATAACAAAAATTTTTGTTAAAAGAAAAAGAAAACATTCTTTGGGCCAGCCTGCCACATGGTAGTCAGGCAGCTGGATCCTACTTGGTCGATCACCTGGTTTGAGTGTCATACCCAGTAGTTTGAGAAACATGCTGAGCACATGGGTATGTGTGCTCAAAATGCCCAAGGCAAACAGAAATGGAAGAGAAGGAATTGCATCATGACCACTACTCATGGTGGTGGTGGTGGTGGTGGGTACTTTCTTGCTCTCTCTTTCTCTCTGTCCCCCTCCAACAAGTACACACTCTCTCTGTCAAATTAAAACAAAACAAAACAAAAAAGCATTCTAGATCTCAGGTTTCTGTGAGCTTTCTTGTAATATTATTTACTTGGAGTATAACTTTGGGCCCTCACCATCTAAAATCATTTTCTAAAGAGAATCTTGGCCCTAAATTTGGGAGCTCACTGAGCCTCCCAAAATGAGATGCTTTCTGTGCAGACATGTATTCTTCTCAGACTCACTTTTTTACAAAAAGACTTCAATCCCACACACTGCTTGATTGTTTATTAGAATGTATTAATCTTTACTCAACTGGCAACACTGGACAGCCTTGCTCTAGGCAGAATAGAATCTGGAGCTCACTATCAACATTAGCCAAATCGATATTAATTAGTTGATGTAAATACATCAAATTGTTCAGAAACGTTTGTACAAATAGCAGGAGTCAACATAGTCCATCCATTTCTGAGTACTCTCAAATTTACCCACAAATCAGACCAATTAAGCTTATCATGTCAGGGTTCTTAGAAAGAAGCAGAGATTATGCTGTTGTGATGCCCTTCTCAGAAACATTATAAAAAATACTTTAATGAACTTATCATTATCTTATTAAAGTGATAGAGGCAAGCACTGGAAAGCCCTTTATGGTTATCGTCTTATTTCATTCTCATAGCTAATTTATTGTCCTCATTTTATAGATGAGGAAACTTCAAGTTAAGCAGCTTGCTCATGGTCAGATAGCTGAGTCACAGAACCAGGTTTCAAACCTGATGTAAGTCAACAATGCTGTGTCTTAGAACCCCCCAACTGAGTAGATATGATCAAAAATGATACTCACAGAGTCACCCCATCCTCCTTTAATAAGGACCCTGGGAAGAAAGTCCTAGTTGTAGTAGTATACAGGAGTAGTTATAATTCTCCTAAACAATTAATTGTGTATATTTTTAGGGCCATAATTTTATGAGCATTGTGTAACTGTCCAGGAATCCCTTCAAGTTGTTTGGTGTACTCAACTTAAGAGTTTATATAGTTCATTGTGGAATTTTTTTTTTTTGGAGAGATTTTTGCTACAGGGTGTGTGAGCTCACCAGAAAGACAGTGAAACAGACAGAAAGTGAAAAATCACCCCCCAGGGGGATGGCCACACCATAATCCCTTCTCTTCCATTCTCCTTTCGGGATCTTGAGCATGCACGCACATGTGTCCAGCATGAGTTTAAGCCACTGGGTCCAGGACTCAAACCGCAGTCGACTACGTGGGAGTCCAGTGACATAGCCATTACGCCAACTGCTGGTCCTGTGGAATTCATATTTATCGTCATTCTTTGATCTCTTTGTCACCTTTTGTTTTGTTTTATTTTCCTTAACTTCCATTTAAGTTTAAATTGTCACACTGTAATCAACCCTAAATCCTTTCTCTAACAAGGAGAAGATGGATGTAAGTAAATAAATACAGAAATGGAGGAATCTAAAGCTTAGGCGCCTCCACTGAGAATTAGGAAAGACTATTGAGAACTGTGGGAACACATCTGCCCATTTCTGCAGTGTGCTAGTAATGGAACAATTTTGTAATCCAGGTCCAGGTCTCCATGATGTTCGATGGCCAATCAGCTGTTGACGTGCATCCCAAAACCAGTATGGATGACTTAAAGGCCTTCACATCCCTGAGTCTTTACATGAAACCTCCAGTGAAGCAGCCAGAACTGGCTGGGACTCCAGATCAATTTATCCTGTACCTCGGAAGCAAAAGTGTAAGAGCATGAGATCTTGAAGAAGGGAATAATACTGAAAAGGAAAACTGCTTTTTCTCCTGCCTAAAATAAAGCTACCTAGGCAAACAAATAAAAGTTCCCCTCTGATAACTCGAAAGATAACAAATAACTTTTATGGATGACTAGAGAATTGATTTAAGGACAAGTGATTCCTTCTCCATGTGGGATATTTCTGAGATCATCTTATATCAGCACCACACTACTGACTTTAATGAGTGGGAATGGAACATTTCAAAGACTGAGAACAACAGCAATTTATTATGCTGTTTGATGCTAAATCCTACTTGAAGACGCATAGAGACTGGTATTGTCGGGCTATATTATGTCCCTAGGTTAGCCTGTTGGCACACTCCTGGCAGCCATCGGATTTCCCCCAGTCTGCTGTTATTCACCTCCCTGTCGACTATGCTCTCAGAGCAAGCTCAGAGGGCAGCAGAGTCTGAGGCAGCCACGGGAAGAGGCACTGCCCAATCCAATTAGAAATTTGGATAATAGTTTAGAACAGAAGTTGCCAGTGTACAACCAAGTATTTGTTTTGCTTGTTGTCCTTAAAAGACATGAAAAAGTAAAAGATGGTATTTATTCATGCAAATTTTACTTAAGTGATTTCTTGACATTTCAGGCCAAAAAAGAATATATGGGCCTTGCCATCAAAAATGATAACCTGGTATATGTCTATAATTTGGGAAATAAGGATGTGGAGGTTCCACTTGACTCTAAGCCTGTCAGTTCCTGGCCTGCTTACTTCAGCATTGTCAAGATCGAAAGGTAACGTGAATCTATGACACGGGGCTTATATGCACATTTCATAAGAAATCTACTGAATGCACTCTCTCTCTCACACACACACAATGGTCTTGGGAAGGTTATAAATGACATTTTCTTCCCTTTTTTCTTGCTCCCCTTCCTTCCATCATTTTTGTGTTTCTTCTCAATACTTCAGTGGAAAAAATTAGAAAAAAGTAATCATCACATCTGGGTAGTGATGATTATTAGATCTTTCTTTGATCTATGAATTGATTCCAAGGTGAAATGCCTTTTCCCCATCCAATTGATTGCCAATATGCTGTAAAAGCTTATTAATATGACGAAATCAAATCACCGATTTTTTAATGAGGAAACTTTAACATTTTGGCATTAAAAATATTTTCTAGGGGTCAGCAGGTGGTACAATGGTTAAGGTGCTGGACTCCCACGTGGCTGACTACGGTTTGAATCCCAGACCTGGCGGCTTGCTTTCTCACTTTCCTTTTCTTTCTCTCTCTGTCTCTCTCTGGTCAAATTAATAATAGTAATAATAATAACAAATAAAATAAATAATTCTTTTTAAAAATATATTTTCTATAAATTATCTGGCTATAAAACATGAAATGATTTATCTCAACAGGGTAGGAAAACATGGAAAGGTGTTTTTAACAGTCCCAAGTCTAAGTAGCACAGCAGAGGAAAAGTTTATCAAAAAGGGGGAATTTTCAGGAGATGACTCCTTACTGGATCTGGAACCTGAGGACACTGTGTTTTATGTTGGTGGGGTGCCTTCGAACTTCAAGGTAAGCTTTACGACTACACTTTTTCTTTTTTTTGAGAGGTTTTCGCTATAGGGCGCGTGCGCTCGCCAGACAGACAGAGAGAGAGAGAGACATAGAGACAGAAAGCTAGAAATCACTCCCCAGGGGGGATGGTCACACCGCAATCCCTTCTCCTCCATTCTCCTCTCGGGATCTTGGGCACGCACGCACCTGCGCCCGGCGTGAGTTCTAAGCCACCGGGTCCGGGACGCGAACCGCAGTCAACTACATGGGAGTCCAGAGACATAGCCATTACACTAACTGCTGGTTCCCGCAACTACACTTTTATTACAAACCTACAGTGATTGTCTTTGGAAAGCCATAAATCCTGTAATGTTTCTAAGGTGAAGAGAACATTGATATCTTTTAAAGAGCTTAGTCAATGGGTCATAGAATTCTAAATCAGAACCTGTAAAACTCGTACATAAATCTTGTCTATGGTACTCATATTTTTAGTATCACCTACTTTCAAACTACTTAACACTTGAATATCAATTAATTTCATTCTATATATGCATATGTAATTAATATCATTCCCACCCCTGCAGAAGTATCTGTACCTTATATAACACCACAATGTGGATCCCGTCTTCAGCTTCGCAGGTGGAAGTTTCAAAAACTCAATTACCTCAACTAATACAGGCATGAAATAAAGTATCTGAGATGAGAGCACCAGTAGGGCTTAGGACATGAGACTTGATAAAGGGAAGATAAAGGAGTTGCCCAAGAAGAAGGAAAGTTGACCTAGGGTTTCAATCCCAGGGCTACTTCCTAGTTATAGGCATATTATTGAACTTTCCTGAGAATTATTGTCACTCTCTTTATATAAAAACAGAAGTACCTACTTCATAGAACTGGTGGGGGAACTGACTTTTATTATGAACTTGACCAGCAAGTAGTTTATGCTCAGTAATTCCTTCCTTCTCTGCTCAGATATGCACAACTAACAAGCCACGGTTTATCTCACAGAATGGCCTAGAGTAGACACAACTCAGTCTGGAAAGATGAGTTTATCAATGGGCAGGTCCCCTTGACCTAATATTAGCTTTATTATCTGATTTGTGATGCTTGAGCGCAATATACTCATGAGGCAGTTGGCTTTATTCTGTCTATTCTACAGCTCCCTGCGAGCTTAAACCTTCCTGGCTTCATTGGCTGCCTGGAATTGGCCACTCTGAATAATGAAGTGATCAGCTTGTACAACTTTAAGCACATCTATAATATGGATCCCTCCAAATCAGTGCCCTGTGCCAGGTAAGAAATAATTAAGAGTACTAAAGGCTTTGATAGTCATGCAGAGCAACAGACAGAAGTGTGCATTACTATTAGATTCTCAAACTTTTCTTTGGAGAAACCAGTGTTGAAATTGCACAACGGTCATGCCTGCAGAAGTTCTTGAATATTTTTCTACCACAGATGAGCACACACAAGTTTTAACAGCATTAAATGACTGGTTTACAACCTTCAGAGGCTGGAGTTTCCCTGGAGACTTCAGTTGTCTTAACATATAGGATAGAGAAGAAATCCACTAACAACAATTTATTTAATTTACCTGTAAATACATTTTATCTCCCCTCTGTAGCAAACAGGACTTCATTTAAATGCTATGTGAGAAACATGAAAGTTATGAGAATGGGTTAAAAAGGCCTCACTTGTAAAAGGGAAACAGAGCTGTAATATTTACATGTTCTCATGTTTTCATTTCAGAGATAAACTCGCCTTCACTCAGAGTCGGGCTGCCAGTTACTTCTTCGATGGCTCTAGCTATGCTGTGGTGAGAGATATCACAAGGAGGGGGAAATTTGGACAGGTGACTCGCTTTGACATAGAAGTTCGCACACCCGCAGACAATGGCCTCGTGCTCCTGATGGTCAATGGAGTAAGTGATTATTTCAGGATTACCAATTTTCATCTTTTTTTTTTCACTTAGCTCATTTAATATTCTGCATAATTATTGTATGTTGACCCACTTTTTTTCTTTTTTTATTTCTATTTCTTTTATACATTCAATCATGTTACTTAGCTTACAAAGTGAATATTCCAACATGTGTACATTTCTCACCAGTCCAGTTCACCAGACTAGACAGTTATCTTCAATAGATACTAATCCATTTCTTTGTCCCATAAATGCCTTGCCTCTCTATTTCTTTCCTTAATGTCCTTCTCTGATGCAATTGCATTTCTTGGCCTATGATAATTTTTCTACTTCTTTTCTTTTATTTCCTTAGTTTCTGCTATTCATTTTTCCAGGAGCCCTCTCAGGTTGAGGGTGCCATGCCATCAAATTGAATTTTTAGCTCAGAAAACAAAGTTATATTGCTCTTTTCAGGAAAATTATGATAGCCATAAGTAAAGAAGCTCTGAAGTACATTTTCCCACACTAGATGTCTGGGTATATATTAAATATGCCTTTTCACAAACTGAAGGAACAATGAAGAAGATCAACACCAAGATCTAGATGAGCAACATATGTGTGCAAAAATTCAGCCTTGATCTCCTGACTTTTCAAAATTATATGCCTTAATTAGAAAAAAAAAAAAAGACACAAAACTTGCATGCTTACTGGGTATTTACATATATACATATGAATTAATGCACATACACAAGTATACATACATGTGATGTAAGTATGCTATAAAACATTCAAAACTAACAATAAAAGACAAGTTATACAAAGATTAAATAAAATAGACACATAAAAATAGATAAAATATTTATAACAGAGATGAAATAAAAATTTCACTTAGTGACACAGAAACCTTTTGTTCTCATTAATTTTTTTTTTTTTTTGGAGAAGTTTTTGCTGTAGGGTGCATGCACTCGCCAGACAGAGAGAGATAGAGAGACAGAAAGCGAGAAATCACCCCCCAGGGGGGATGGCCATGCCACGATACCTTCTCCTCCATTTTCCTCTCGGGATCATGGGCACGCACGCGCTGGCGTGAGTTTAAGCCACCGGGTCCGCGACTCAAACCACGGTCGATTAGGTGGAGTCCAGTGACATAGCCATTACGCTAACTGCTGGTCCCCTTTCTTTCTTTCTTTTTTTCTCTCTTAACTAAAAATTATTTTTGATAGCAGTGTTAGAACAATGTAACTAAATATTTTTTAAAATATTGTTAATTCTTGTGATACAGTGAGTTAAAACTCTTGCCATGAGTCATTTATTTCAATACTAAGTTTTACTACTGGCTGTCTTAACTGAATAAGATATCTTACCAAAAAAAAAAGTAAGGAGAGTTGGCCATGCCTACAAAATCATATACAGTTTTTCCATCTGTTCTCCAACTGGCAAAGGTTATCTTTGAGATTTGGCTGGCACACGTTCCTCTTCCTTGATGTCAGTTCTTACAAGCTAACCAAATACTTTATCATTTTGTAAATGCTAATAAGAGGGTTCAAAACCATTGAAATTCTTGATTTGAAGAATTTTTAAAACAGAAGTTTCTTCTCACAGTGTCTTAATAGTTGCAAGTATGAGAGTTTTTATAGGTGGTATACTTATACTGTTTTCATCAACAAAATTGTTTAACAATAGAAAATTTTTCAAACATACTTTTTAGAAACCATCTCTCCACACTATAACTTTCTTCAAAAAACAAGAATTATTTTTTATTCATCGTTATAGTACCCTTACCTTGAAGTGACAGATCAAATGTGTTTATTTTTTTAGTCACTTTCATACAACTAAAAGATATTTGTCATCATAAGTAAAGATCAACAAATTTAGAATAATTCATTTATAAGAAAAAGATCTAATTCTCTTTCAGTTTGGTAGCATTCTTAATAATTTGCAAGAGGTGACTAGCAAACATCTTTGTGTCTCAAAATATTTTCACATCACTCTATATCCCAATACAAAATTATTGTAAATAGTCTATTTTTAAGTCATCGCATCATGAGTCCTTAACAAAGCACGCATAAAATGAAACACAATTGTAGTACACTAGAAGTGAAGAGATGGCTGAGGGCCACCTCTAACTCTGGTGCAGAACCCCACTTCAGAAAACTCACATATTATGTGAATTTTGTGAAAGGCTGACAAGAAAATGAAATGAAAAGCTGTGTTCAATAACCCGTATAGTACATATTAAAGGTTAGTATCCTCTTCTACTTTAGCTTATTGTAATTAGTGTAAGTAGAATTTAAAATATTGTCTCTCTGAGCACCAATAAATTGTTTTCTCTACTCTCAGAAATACACAAACTCCACTCCGGAGATGACGTTTTGTGGAATAGTGACTTTACCACAATACTCCATTTTTCAAATCCATGCAATTCTTTACTTATAAACTGTATTCCAAAACAAGCAAGTTTGACCTGTAAATGATTTGAGTGTTACAGAATTCATTTGTTTTCAAATACCCTGTGTCCAAGTGCATGATAATTCTATATATTTTCATAAATTCAACATTTAGAAATAATTTTAAAATGGCCTTTTAATGTCCATATTTGTAATAATTTAGGGGAATCTTTTCATTGTACCTTAAAGTTATTTTCAGTGTTACCAATGTTCATCTTAAAAATGAGTGGAATTACATCTCTTGACCTGTTACAATTTTCAAAATTTGCCCGAAGACAAGGCAGTTGAATAAATGTGGCATGTTATACTGTTTTCAAGAGTTTTAAAAGGTCAATAATGAAAACTTAAAATTTCATTTATTAATATGTAAAGTAACATAAAAATGAAAGAAGATAGTTATTTGAGATTAGGTACAAATATTAACACTTACATATTAACATGAGAAATAACTGACATGGAAGTAGCTGTCATTTTCATTTCATAATAAGAATTTCACAGAGAGTTCCTTAGCCTTCAAATAATTTCAACACTGAAAAAAACACAATGTTGTTGCTTGTTTTTTTTCTTTTTTTTTTTTTAGAGGTTTTTGCTATAGGGCGCGTGTGCTCGCCAGACAGACAGAGAGAGACATAGAGACAGAAAGCGAGAAATCACCCCCCAGGGGGGATGGTCACACTGCAATCCCTTCTCCTCCATTCTCCTCTCGGGATCTTGGACACGCACGCACACGCGCCTGGCGTGAGTTTTAAGCCACCGGGTCTGGGACACGAACTGCAATCGACTACACGGGAGTCCAGCGACATAGCCATTACGCTAACTGCTGGTTCCCACAATGTTGTTTCTTGAACTCATCTAAATCTGTCTACACTTTCATAATAGCAGATACGCCCATTTACAATCTTTCTCTTCACAGAGTGCATTTTTCAGCCTGGAAATGCGCAATGGATTCTTGCATGTATTCTATGACTTTGGATTCAGCAATGGCCCTGTGCATCTTGAAGACACGTTGAAGAAAGCTCAAATTAATGATGCAAAGTATCATGAGGTACAGAATAGTCTTGCTGGTTTTGTTTATTGTACTTAGATCTAGTGATCTCATCATGTGACTGAATAAGATGGGCAGGGTAGTAACTGAACTGAACACTCACATCCAAATAGCAGTTGAAGGGTCTCATTGTTTCAGATTTGTCTGGTACATAATCTTCTTTTCTGATGTCAGTTCTTATAAGCTAATCAAATATTGTATCATTTTGTAAACTCTAATAAAAGGGTTCAAAGCCATGAAATCCTTCTGTTGAGGGATTCTTAAAACAGGTTAGAAATTTCTTCCCATAGTGTCTTAATAGTTGCAAATATGAGAGTTTGCCCACATCTACTACTCAACTCCAGAAAAAAACATTTGCATTAAAAGAATATTTTTCTCAAAAAGACATTTCTAATAAAAGATTCACTGAAATATTTCTTTAATAGGTCCATTAACCAAGTCCCCTGCAAAACATCGGCCATTAAATGGCACTCCTACAGAAGCCTTCCATCCATTTGTTGAACATACCAGAGTATATACACAGCCATTTTTAAAGTCTATTCATCTGTCACTTCCATGGGGAAGAGAGACAGAAAGACACCACTTCTAACACTTGACACTGCAATACATCATTTTCTCCCCACCCCACCCCAGTTTTACACAGCCCCAGATCATGGGCATATGCATGCCTGGCATACTCAGGGAGGTCTTCAGGCAAGAACCTGGAACCTCTCTATGTGGATCAGTCTTGAAGCGCAAGTTTTACCACTGCACCACTGTCCAGCCCCATAGCCATTTTGATTATTATCTTTTGAGACCCACTAAATGTAAAAGTAGTAGATAGAAGTAAATATAGAATTGCCTTTTAAATTATTTATCCAAAATTTAGAAAATACTAACACAATTTTTCTTATAAAGAGAACCCACAAAGAACACTCTTAAGACATGAAACATTAAGTGCAGCTCACTGAAAATATACTTCATCTATTTTCATTGACTACCACTTTAAATACACAATTTGATAAAGCAAGTAAAAGGTATAATATCTTTCATGCTGAACCTAAATGCAGGGGATAAGAGTGTTCATTTCCCTTTTCCGTTCAAAACTTTATGAGGATGGTTCATAATAAAAGGAGAATATTTTAACTATTTCTCTAATAGGATGTTTGCAGATCCAGTATAGCTATTTCTTATGCCATCAAATAATAACACGAGGTAACATGCAGTCTAGAGTCCAGAAGGCACCTGCTTCCGAGTTCAGTAGTGGTCAACAGGGACTGGGAGATGGGGAAAATAAGAAATTATTATGTAAGTATAAGTTTCGGCTATCCTGGATGAGTAAGTTCTAGAGATCTCCTGTGTCTTCTAAACAACATAATGCCTAGAGTCAACAACAATTCAAAAATTATTAAGAGGGTATATCTCTTGTTAAGTGTGATTAACACTCACACACACACACACACACAAAGACAAAAGGAAAATTTGGAAAGTGTTGGGTGTATCTATTACCTCAATTGTGGTGATGTATAGCGTTTACAAACACATCAAACTATATACATTAAACATGCAGTTTTTTGTATATCAATTATATCTCAATAAAGCTGTTTTTAAAGAAGAAGAATGCACCTGCTTATAGTTCTTTCCTAAATCCCCTCAGAAAGGGCTGGAGAAAACAGTAGATCTCATGGCACAATTTTTCTTCGGCCAGCTCCATCTTCATATAGACATTTTTGCCCAGGAAATGTGAGCTGCTGGTTGTAGAAGCAAGAGTTTCATTTCTGTGAGTAAGAAATGAAAATCTATTCCTTGTTCTGTGAACAAACAAGCACACAGACATGGAGGACCAACTCTCATATCCAGAATCATTAAAATGTGTGAAGTGTTCAAAAATCTGATTATTAAACAGTTGATCAAGGCTTTGCTATGTGTTATTTCTCCCAGATCTCAATCATTTACCACAATGATAAGAAAATGATCTTAGTAGTTGACAGACGACATGTCAAGAGCATGGATAATGAAAAGATGAAAATACCTTTTACGGATATATACATTGGAGGGGCTCCCCCAGAAATCTTACAATCCAGGTAAGGGTTTTTGTTCAGTAGCTGCTTGCTCCTAACAACGACTGAGCTGAGTATTCAACATCCAGGAGAAGTCTAGTAGAAAGTTTAAGCACACCCACTTGCTACTTTCACACACAATGTCCTCAGCTGTGAGCACACACATTCAGACACCCACAGGCCCTCTGCAGTCAGTCTTCATGACCTCCTTAAATTAGCACTAAAGATTTCTTTGCCATAATATTCTTAGAACATAATCTAATACAATTTTTCTCATGAACAAGTGGAAAGGCAGAGCATGTATATTATGAGAAGACAAGACAGCATTGTCATCTTTTTGTTTTATCCTAATTTAAACATATTTTGGGGACCAGCAGATAGTATAATAGTTAAGTGGTTGGACTCCCACACGGCCTACTGCAGTCCAAGTTCCAGACCAAGTGGCTTGAAACTCACTCCTGGTGTGTGTGGGTGCATGCCCAAAATCCTAAGAGGAAAATGAGAAGGTTGAGGCAGGGCCATCACCCCCACCCCTGGGGAGTGATTTCTTGGTTTCTGTCTCTCTGTCTTTCTCTGTCTCTCCAGCAAGCTTATGCTAAAGAAAAAAAAAATCTCTCAGAAAAACACTTATTTTAAATTCTTCAATAGCCTCTGTGGATGCAAAATTTTTTAAGGTATCCAAGGGGTTGTCAACTACATATAAAGAAATATATATTCTTATATAATCAAAAATTCAATGGTCTTTTATTGCAATCAGTTCATATCATTAAAAACCCTTAAAACTGAGAGGCAACTTTAGGATAATCCAGTTCAGCGATGCTCAACGATGTGTCTCATTGGAATAAACCAGAGAACTTTATTAAGTTCCACTGCCTGTGACCACTTCCCAGGTATTCTGATTGGTGTGGGATAAAGCCCACATAATATAAAAAAAAAAAAAACCCTTCCCAGTCAGGTGAGTATACTGTGCAAATAGAATTTGAGAACTGCTAATAGAGTCCAACTCCTCACTCAATACAGAATCCCCCCCTCCATAGCCCTCACACCTCTGTTGCAACGAATTTTGTGATGTATATATGATTACCTCAGACAACCCCAAAAAAAGTCTACTTTCAATACTTGAATTGCTGCGCAGCTCTTCCTTACCTTGAGTCAAAACCAGTGATACCATTTTCCATGCTGAATGCAATGCTTCATATTTAAAGAAGCTCTCCAAACTTCCTTTCCAAATTAAACACACTCTTCAGTTTTTTCAACCACGTCACATGAGACCTTTAACAATTACGGTTGCCACCATATGCACCCAGCCTGCCAATTAGCACAGTCTTCTGGGCATGATCTTGTCAGAAGAGAATATGGCGGGGCTATTACCCATTTGTTTGACTGCTGTCAATCTACAGTACATTCAAACCATGGTAATTTGGTCAAAACTAACTGCAAATTTATTCAGTATACAATATTATGTTCTTAGGCACTTCCTGTATACCAAGTATAATGATAGGTATTACAGTAGGATCACAGTATTGAACAAAATGCCATCCCTGATATAAGGACAAGGGATTTCTTGCTTTCCTAGAGACACAAAGGCCCAGTGTTCACGAAGGCTTGCCTCTGGCCTTAGTTGGTTAAAGTCAAGTGACTGTTGCAAATAAGGCCAAGAAGATGGGTTTATTATCTCAGTGGAAGTCTAAAGAATTTGAACCTAGGTACTTATGGTATTACTTGTACCATAAGAGAGTATCTTAGTTTTCTTTTATAGGTTAAACCCTGTAAAATTGCCAACCGTTGACAATTTTTGGACCTGTATGATGTCAGCTCCCTATGGTCCAACCTAATAATCATCTATAAAGGGAAAATAATAGCATCTCCATTTATCTCACTACTTTATTACAAATATGAGATGATGGTAAGTTAAATGATTTCAAAAACTGTAAAAGGTATAAAAATAGACTTGATTCAGATTCAGAAAACTCTTCTATAGGCAGATTAAATATTATGATGTTCTTATCCAAGAAAGCATGAGAATATGGATGGTTTCAGCCCTCACAAATGACTGCATGTAAACTCAAATTCCATAGCCTATGTATGGAGGGTATCATTATCATTGCTGTGTCAGTAAAAACTGGTTTTCTTTTCCAGGACTCTAAGAGCACATCTACCCCTAGATATCAACTTTAGAGGATGTATGAAGGGTTTCCAGTTTCAAAAAAAAGATTTCAATTTACTGGAACAGACAGAAACCTTGGGAGTTGGATACGGGTGCCCAGAAGACTCTCTGGTAAGTACCACTCAAGCAAAAGCTTTTGAATAAATAGACTCAGGCTTACCACTCTCAAAGACTAAAAGAGCTCTATTCAGCTTCGCTGTGATTTTAGGTACACCTTGAGTTTCTTCTGCCACCAACAGAAAGAAGAAGCACTAATCTAGAAAGGCTCATGGGGTTCTTTTGCTTCCATTTTCAGTGGATGGAGCACCCAAAGTTCAGAGAGGCTGCATGAGTCACGTTGCTCACTCAGGATGAAGTTAAGAAGCTGAAACCCACTAGACAATACAGGAGGGCTAGCTTGTGTGAATCCAGCATAAACCAGAAGTCAAGACAAACTATATAGAAACTCGCAGGCAGGACCCTTCATATATTAGAAATTGACATGTAAACATTTGATAATTATGTTAAAACACTATTTTTTTGTCACACAGATATCTCGTAGAGCGTATTTCAATGGACAGAGTTTCATTGCTTCAATACAGAAAATATCTTTCTTTGATGGCTTTGAAGGAGGTTTTAATTTCCGAACACTACAGCCAAATGGGTTACTCTTCTATTATGCTTCAGGGGTAAGTACTTGTTTTTCCTTGAAGAGATTTCTTTGTGATAATTTTTTTGTCTATTAAAAATAATTTTTGTGTATTTTAAAAGTGATTTTCAGTTCAGTTCAGGTTGACTTTGACTAACAGGTATACACACAGAGGCTTCATTTCAGATACTTTATAAAATATTTTATATATAGAGAGAGAGATTTATATAAATTATATATGTAACATTTATATATGTATGTTATATATATAATATTTATATGTGTATTCTATATATATATAATATATATAAAGTAAGAGTTCTCTTTTTGAGAGAGAGATTTTTGCTACAGGGTGCATGCACTCACCAGAGAGACAGAGAGAGATAGACAGAGAAAGAGAAAAATCACCCCCCAGGAGGATGGTCACACAACAATCCCTTCTCCTTCAGTCTCCTCTCCATATTTTTGGCACACACACACAGACACACACACCTGGTGTGAGTTTCAAGCCAATGGGTCCAGGACTCAAACCATGGTCGACTACATGGGGGTCCAGTGACGTAACCATTATGCCATCTGCTGGTGCCAAGAGTTCTTAACCTTGGATTCATAGACCTCTCAAGGGTTTGTGGATTGAATCCAGGGGAACTGTGAACTTAAAGGAGAAAAAAATTACATCTCTGTTTTCTCTAACAGAAATTTATTATTTTTAAATTATGTATACAGGCAAGAAACCACAGTAGTATTAGCATTACCTGTGACTTTGGATAAATCACAGATACTTTTTTGTCTCACATTACAATTGTCACAGATATCTCAAATATTATTTTTTCTCATTGCTACTCTTAAAGTACAATAGTTATTAGATGTACTACTAAACCTTATTTTAATGCTTTATATTAGCTTTTATGATTAATGCCTTAAAGAAGTATAAATATTGCTAAAACACAGATTCATTTTTTAATATTTCAAAAACTATATTTTCATATCATTAGTTTCCTTTGTATTTCATATCATTGGTTTCCTTTGTATTTCTACATATTCTTTTTATGCATTTTAAAAGTTCATTTTAAAAGGAGTCTATATGTATGACCAAACTGCCAAAGACATCTATGACACACAAAAAAATATTAAGAACCCCAGTGTGTACATCAAGAACAAATTCATTCATTATCTAATATGTAAAATAGTAAAAAGAACATACATACTTCTCTGTTCTTGGATTTTCTATAGAGCATTGGAGCTCGACTTATAAAGATCTGTTATTTCAACAATAAAATAAAATTAATAGGGCATCAGTGACCCTAAGATCCAACTGATGTGTTTCTGAAATGGCCATCATCAATTTATACACTGATGGGCCAAATCCTGATATGATTGCTGGGAGCGACTTTCATTTTTCATGCATGCTACCTGCTTGTTTCACATTTATATCCAGTTTAATTTAAATCAGTACCAGCTGTGAGAATTTACCCAGCGCATTTTGTAAAACCTTTGCCCAGAAATCTGCCTCAGATGACTCTTTGTAGTTACATAACACTTCTTGTTCACAAGTCGTAGTCTATTTTGAGATCTGACTTTAGAGGTCGGTGCCCTGTCCATATGTGGGGGTTAGCGGGAAGGCAAGACTATCATTATCATTTAAGATAAGCAACATGCAAATTCAGAAAAAAAAAAAGTTAACTTCTGGTTTTTCTTTTTAATTTTTCTTCTGTCTCTATAGATGAGAAAGTGAAATGCTTTAAAAACGAAACTATCAAATTAACCCTTGCCTAATCTCCTAGTCATCCCCAAGGAGACTCCAATGTTGTCTTTTCAAAGGAGATCAAAAATGAAACTGATGATGGAGTAGAGAGGCTTGAGTTTGGAAAGTGAGACTGGGACAACTCTCATTATGATAAAATCACCACCATTTTCAGTAAAATATAGGAGAGTCTGTTTCCAGGAAACTTTTCTAATTTGATAAGCAACACCAATATAAGTAATAAGGAATTTTTTTGTTATTTATAGAAATTATTTTACAAACAAATTTACTCCACACTGTGTGTGTGTGTTTTAAGCAATACCATTAAATAAGTGTTAGAAATGGGACCCATCTTTTGGATCCCTAAATACCCTACTTAAAAACCTGGGCTTGGGCCAGACAGTGGCACAGTGGTGGAGCAGCTGGACCCATACAGGAAAGGTCCTGGGTTCACATCCTAAGACCTCTCTGAGTACAGGGGGTACAAATGTGTGCCCATAGTCTGTTGAGACTGTGGGTGGATCACAGCATAGGGACCCTGTTTTGGGTACCTATTTCACTTCTCTCTCTGTCTCTCTCTCTCTCTCCTAAGAAAAATAAAGAAACCTAAAAAAAAAAAAAAAAAACCTGTGCTTGCATTTTAGCCAGATGTGTTCTCCATTTCACTGGACAATGGCACCGTCGTCATGGATGTAAAGGGAATCAAGGTTCGGTCAGCAGATAAGCAGTACAATGACGGCCTGTCCCACTTCATCATCACCTCTGTCTCACCCACAAGGTACAACCCCTCCCTATTCTTCCCACCATAGGTTTTTACGTGGAGGATGTGACTATCTAATGCCACTCTGAATTGTAGATTACCTATTGCTTTTGTAGTAGTTTTAAAAATGCTAGGAAGAACGGCTTATTACCTTATAGAATATGCCTAATAAATCACTTTAAAATTATTTAACAGAAATATAAAGTTGTTTAATGAAAAACTAAGCACTTGAGGGAAGTGCTTACTCATACTACAGTACTTACTGAATGGAGTGCAATGTTTTACACAAAGAAGGTGCTCAACAAATACTGATCTTACTGGGATTTTAAGTTAAACTCTTGAGAAGGCTACATATATGGCCACATTTTTAAAGCTCTAATTAATTTTCTCTCTAAAATATGTTATACTGAATTTCTTTTTCATAATAAGAGAACTTTCTGGAATAAGAAATTAACTTCTGTTGTAGACTGTTGCTAGTCTATGCCTACTTCTGTGGAGTCCTCTCATCACACAAAAATTGTAGCAGGCTTTTTCTAGACCCAACTTCCAGTCAGGGTCGAAACCATTCTATGTACTTTACAATATGTACTTTGTCTCCCACAAAGGGGATTAAATGTTCCCCATGTGGTATATTCTGCTTTCTACACACACACACACACACACACACACACACACACACAAATAATGCTGATGACTAGTTGTCTAAACTTCTTGCTTTATGTCTTTACATTTCAATCTTGGTTTGGAAGATCTTTTGCCTATAGAAATATTCAGCTGGGCCAGCTTCATGGGACAGAGGTTAAATGATATACCCTGGAAGCCAGATCCTGCATGGCCAACCATGGCTTGCATATAGGCTTGCTGGGGGAAAGCGTGTGTGCCCCAAATCCTGGTGGAATGGAGAAATGAAGGCAAGAGCAGCAGCATGGTCATGTCCCCACTGAGAGATGCTCACTCTCTTTTTCTCTCTTGCATACATGCATGTGGAAGTGTACGTGCCCCCTGGCAATCTAAAAGAAAAACAAATATTCAACCATTTTATCCTGGGCCTCATGTCTTGAAAAGATCACTAATTATCTTTTCATTGAAAAGACAACTGATTATATTTTCATTAATCAGATGTTCCATCTCAATTCCATAAGAAAACCTATGTATGCCACCCAGAGTGGAATTCAAGGTAAAATGTTCTCTGTGGTATGTAAAGGTGCTTTTTTCTTTTGCAGATATGAACTAGTAGTAGATAAAAGCAGACTTAGGAGTAAGAATCCCACCAAAGAAAAAGTGGAACAGACCCAAGCAGGCGAAAAGAAGTTTTACTTCGGTGGATCACCCATTAGTCCCCAGTATGCTAATTTCACTGGCTGTATAAGTAATGCCTACTTTACCAGGTATAATATTTTTATTTTTTATGATTTGCTTGATTGTTAAAGATCAAGATAAGAATTAAAATACTTACATTATTAAAACTGAGAACTATGAAATTTATCTCAGACATTAGAGGGTAGTAATTAAACCTTGCACGTGCTTGAGCAGCTCACATACTTGGGACTGTGCGAAAGGAGAGAGATATCTCTTTGCAGAGTGCCTGGCATACAGCAAACCGTAAATATCAGATGCTATTGTTTTTGTACTTGCTATTAATAGTATAGTGTAAAGTAACATACTCAAATCCTTGTTAGAGTTTCAAGAGTCTTCTTAATTTAATGCATGGCTTTAAACAAAGCTATTAATCTAGGCCCTTAACAAAAAATAATAGAAACTGCTTCAGTACAAGGACAAGCAAGTGAAGAATTAAATACAGATTAAGAAACAGAAGTAGTCTCAATTGTTCAGAGCATGGTGAGGAAAGAGATAACCAGTCAGTTAGAATGTGCAGTGTCAGGTGCATAGTTAACTGACTGACTGATGATTTAAAGGGTTCTAGTATTGCGATAGTGATAAATGGGTAAAGACACATCACACACACCTGCACAAAAACTTTAATCATCGAAGTTCTTGAAATTCTGTAGTTTTTATCACGTTCTTCTGAACAATATGTTTAGAGTTTTCATTTTTCCTCTGATACAAACACAGGTTAGATAGAGATGTGGAGGTGGAAGATTTCCAGCGGTATTCTGAAAAGGTCCACACTTCTCTTTACGAGTGCCCCATTGAGTCTTCACCATTGTTTCTCTTTCACAAAAAAGGAAAAAATTCCTCAAAGCCTAAAACAAGTCATAATAGAAAGGTAAGAGACAATGTTATGCCAGCTTCCCAGTTACCCTCATGTTCTGTGCACATAACAAAAACACTGTTGCTTTATAGAATTTACTCATTTGCAACTATAACATACATCTAAGTTGGGATTCTTGCAATATCCCCTATTCCAGTTTACCAGTTTTGGTGCATGGATTGTTATTCCCAAATGAATGGTTTAAATCAGCTATTTACACATACTTCCAGCCACTCGATGTTACAAGGACTAACACTGCTCTCTTCTTTTTGTTTGTTTGTTCGTTTGTTTTTGTTTGTTTTTGGAGAGGTTTTTGCTATAGGGCACGTGCACTCACCAGAAAGACAGAGAGAGACAGAGAGACAGAAAGGAAGAAATCATCCCCCAGATGGGATGGCCGTGCTGCAATCCCTTCTCCTCCATTCTCCTCTCGGGATCTTGGGCACGCACACACATGTGCCCGGCGTGAGTTTAAGCCACCAGGTCCAGGACTAGAACCACGGTCGACTACATGGGAGTCCAGCGACATAGCCATTACGCCAACTGCTGGTCCCAACGCTGCTCTATTCTTAACAATTTGCACTATAATATATATTGTTAAGTACTATATTTTCCTTATAGTATTTGCTTTTATGTAATAATATCAGGTTTTTATTACAGTCATGGGAATTATTACAGTTTGTGATTTTACTCTTTTTCTCCCAACTTTTTTGACCTTCGCTTCAACCACTCATGTGCACAGAGGATCTGTCACAACTAGAACTACTCCGTCAAAAAATCTTGCATTCTAAAATTCCGTTATCTGACTACTACCTTTTTCCATTCATTTACTCCCACCATGCACATTATTTGCCTTCACTACAAATGAAGCTTTTAATCCTCTCCCATTCTTTCAGTCTAACCCTCCCTACTCCTTCTCATGGTGCAATGTATTTGTACTGAACAACGCACTCGAGTAACAGTGCTCGCATCCTGGCCTGACAGGTCTCCCTGCTTCTACCTTATTCCCTGACAGTCTATTCCCCACACAACAGCTAGATCCTTATGAATATAAATCATGTGTCACTCCTCTGCTCAAACAAGCCCCCTGCTGCTCAAGGTCCAAGTTCCTATGGTGTTGTAAGAGGCCTGCTGTGATCCTGGCCCCTTTCCCTGTCCTGTGTTCTTCTCACACCCACCCACCTCACTCACGCATCGGCCCACACCAGTTTCTCGGGTAGTCCTAGAATAGGCCAAATGCACTCCTACGTTAGGTTTCCTCTGCTTGGACAGCTCTCCCCCAGATTATCTGCATAGACAGCTGTTCCTCCTTCTAAAATTGTTTAATTACCATCCATTTAAGATCTGTCTTCATCCCATATTTAATATTCCGGTCTGCCTCTTGCCTCCCACCAATACTATTGATTTCTTTTGCCTTTTTCTATTTGTTCTTTTTTACATAGCACTTATCACATTTTAATTTACTACTGTAGTTCATTCATTATGTTTATTATGTATCATCCATCTCTTTTGCTAAAATTGTAAGCTCATTTGTTTTTTCCCAGATGTATCCTGTGCACCTAGAAAATACACATATTAGGTGTTCGATAAATATTTAGCAATCTGCATCATAGGGCTGTATTGAAGACTGAATGAGTGAATGCATGAAATGCACTCAGCACAATGCAAGGCATCTAGTAAACATTCAGTGAGTGTCCCTTGTTATATCACAATAAAGCTTCATGAGTACTTCTGCAGGGTCCAGTCCTAAAAGTAGAATTGCTTGGCTTGAGGGAATGTGCATTTCCAATACTGAGGCAATACCAATTTACACTCCACAAAGAATATTTGAAAGAAGTTATTGTCTCATGCTATTGCCAACACTGGATATTATCAATATTTTTGCAATTTTGCCCATCTAATGGACAAACTTGACATCTCATTAAAGTTTTAAATAACATTTCCATGAATGCTAGTGGGGTTGAGCATCATTTTAGGAGAAGTATCGATTGCCTTCCAAGTCTGGAGTCCAGGCCATCAGCAAGAGAGAGAAGCCTCTCCACCAGCTTTTCTCCTCTGATGGTTTTGCACTGACCGTTATATCTTGAGTTTCATACAGAAGACTAAATGATTCAGAGAAAAAATTTCATTGATTTTTTAATGGAAGATTTTGCTAGAAGTTACTATGTAGGATTTTTCAGAGCATACTAGGAAATTCTGATGGAGTCTTACTATTTCATTAGACTTTGATCCTAAAAGGTTTATCCTGAAAATTTTGTGGCTAGCATTTGAGTGCTGGACAATGGGTCATAGGCAGCAGATGATCATAATAGACTGATGAGGAAGATCAGTCTTCTAAAGCAAACACAATCTACCCTTTTAAATTAGCACAGCTTCCTATATGAAACAATTAAATATAGTTTCTTAATAAGCATTCATAATCTCAAGGTTACAATCAATAGCTCTATTAGCACAAATTTGCGATCTTAACACAAACCATTTTATATTATAGGAAATTTTTTAACCTTTATAGTGAATAATCTTACACAGAAACTCAACTTTGTAGTAACAAGATACAGAATCACTAAAGTTACATTTTATGGTAACCAGAATGTCAACATTTGCTAATCTTTTCTCATATTTACCTTTGTTTCAATAGCTTCTTAAATAGCTACCAAGAAAAACTTAAAACCTACAGTTTCAATTTTTATCAAGCCTACCTCAAAGCAATTGAGATTATAATAATCTATTTTCACAATTGCTTCCTAATAGTTCATTTTATGTATTTATTATCGTTCATTTAACCATTATTGGACTTGCAGTTGTTGAGTTTTTTCCTTTTATGACTGAGGGTCCTTATACCTAAAATTTTTAGTACATTACTGAATAAATCTTCAGTATAAATTTCTATAGGTAGAATGACTAGATTAAAGCAAATTGCTTCCCATAAAGATAACACTGATTTATATTTCCCAATGGATATTTGAAAATTCCTCTTACCATCTATGTTCCAGCCCTAAAATTTTTCATAATTTTTAACTTTCAAATTTAGTTGGGAAAATGGTTTCCATTCAGTTTTAATGTAATAAATTGAACATTTTAATGTATTATTTTAGACATCATTCTGGGGTATCTTAGCCAATCACTCTTCTCTGAGAATTGATTCCCATCAGGTAGACCCTGTGTTTTAGGTGTGATCTCAACTCCCTGGATATAGATGACTGGACCAGCAGAGGTCACGTGAATTAAGCCGGACTATCAGGTTTCTCCCTGGGAAACACAGAACCCAGAAAAACTAGCCTATGCTAGTAAACCTAAGATCTCTATATTAATCCTGCAAAGAGGAAGAACGCTGCTTTACAGCAATGAAAGACAGAAAACTGTCCACAGAGTAAGAATAAGAAGTGGAGAAATACTGAGAAACAAAGCTGGGATACCAGAGCCCTCCAGAAAAGGAGTGCCTTATTTTTTCTAGCTTCCCATTTCTTGATTCTGGCCACTGGTGGGATCCCATTACATGAGCTTCTCTTGGATTGTGGAGAATACTCCTATACCTTATAGCACATTTCCCTATTTGTCTTCAGTAGTCCAACTAGCTTGATTATTATCTGACACAAAAGAATCTTGCTAAATTAAAATTGGTACCACCAATAGATAGCAACTAATAGGTCCTTGGGGAAAAACATGATGTTAAAGTTGAAGTCTACCAGGGTTCAGTGAAAAATCCCTGTAACATACCCATTTTGGGATAGCAAACTGATTCTGTGTTGTACAGTAATAAAGTAATTGAATTATAAATTGCCTTTTTTATCACTATTATTACTATTAAGAGTATATGCACACAGAAGACTTAAATTTGGTTGTCATATATAAAGATATATGTGCTTACTAATTTTTGCAGCAGTAAAAGACAGATCCCTCTCAATCCATGTATTTCTACATTAAAACAGAGTAAGGCAAGGCTGGCAATTAAAATAGTCATGGTCCAAATTACCCTGTACTCTGTTGAGCCCCTGAACTTCAATTCGCTATGGCTCTCTTCCCATAGCTAAGTGGATGTGCTGATTGAGAGTGAGATTCACTCGGTCAAAATAGAACAGGAAGCAGCCAGAGTTGGAGAAAATCCTTCCAACGCTCTGTTCTCTCACTTTCACCCTCTTGGTCTTATGCAAAGCATTTCCAGCTGGGCCTCTCAAAGAGTTAAAGGTGATCATAACTTCTATTATAAGGCATATTACTCCACAGTCTTAGAATACAAGATAGGCTTGGGGAAAATTTCCCAAGACATATTAGAAGAGTCTCTCTGTAGCTCCACTTTAGCCCATTGCCCACCATGACTCCAAGCTGTGGAGAAGGGCCTGGTCCAAAAAGTATTGGCAACTGAATGTTTCCTCCATTCAAGAGAAATGTTTCTATAGCAGAGTTTCGTTTTCTAGGTGCCAACTCTATGAGGAAGGGAAGAGGGAATGATGGAACCTTAGCTTTTCTTTAGCATGTGAGCCTATGAGTTCCCATCTCTTTCTCCAGCCTAATCACCCCTATGACAGTCTCCACTGCCAGAAGCTGATTGTGCAAGGTGCTGCTCCAGAGCAAGATACTGACACAACTATAATTGGCCCTTTTATCAATTAACCAGCCCTCTGTACTCCACACCTGCATTTGAGGGTAATTTTGGGATTTGGCTGGAAAACTCACTTTTTTGGAGGTTTCATCTTCTGCGCTTTCTGAGATGGCTTGTCTCTCTTTTTATCTGCATTGTATCTTCCAGAGATTCCACACTGCTTTGTTCTGCTAGTAGAAGTCCTCCTAGATTTCCGGGACTGCTGTGGCTTTACTTATAGTTGTATAATTCTTCTGACATTTCAGTGAGAATTAGGGATGGGGAAACAAAACGTGTGTGCCCATTCAAATTCCTGAACCAGAAAGCATCCATTCTTATCTAATTTCTCTTATTCCTTCTCTTGCTGGTTCTGCAGTCCTACCCACACCCAAACATTTCCTCTCCCATCGGCACTTCCTTTGTGGCAAACTAGCTTCCCAAAGGAGTCAGATCAGGCCACTCCTGCTTTTAAAACCTGTGTGGATCCTCATCACCCAAAACACAAAACTCAACTCTAATAAGTCATCGAAAGTCCTTGCTACGTGGTACCAACCTGTTTTCCAATTTGCCTTTTATGTACCTATTTCTCCAAATCTATTTGTAGTTCCTCAAAACTAGTTCATTTCTCAATCCCCTTTCTAGTCCCCACCCACCTACCAGCCATGGAAGATATACAGAAACTTATTTCCTTCCACTCCACTTTTACCCATTTGATAGGCAATAAACATCTGCTTGAATTAATTAATAAATGACAATGATCAAATTTGCTTGCATTTACTTTAATTTTGCTTCAGAAATTAAAACTAAATAATTACTAAATTTTGCCTAGTTTTTTTATACAATCATTGTATATCATTACAGTTTGTAAAATGAATTTTCCTGTCATGAATCACTGTGTATCAATCTAGTGAAAGATATTATCATACGTGTTATCATTAACAGATAATTTTCCATTTTTGTGTCTCTTATGTTTTGCTTCTTTCTTTTCACCCTTAATTTTGCAACTTGAAGGTTTAACATCTGCAGTGAAATTTTAAGAGCAAAAATGTTATGTCTAAAATAGTTCTATACCCTACCCCATAAAAGTTTACTATATATCTATCACCAAAAATACTTTAAACATTTTTAAAACGTTGCTGAGTGTGTTAAATTTTCATACAACATGTATAAAATGATCTGTGTTTTAAAGTGATATTGTTTCCTGTAAGAGGGCTTTTTTGGTTGATTTTCACAGGGCTATTTTATTGCCAATTTTTCACTATTGTTTAAGATACGCATTTAATTTAAATGATAGAGCAGTTGTCTCTATGGCTTCAGTTAGCTATCACCCACCAGAATTTTGGGGTTTCTCAACATGCTCCGTCGTTGTCATAGCCGCTGCCGTTATTTGCTTATGGTGGTAAAAGGAGAGAAGACAGGAGCCAAATACTCCATGGACGAAAAGTTCACAAATAACATAGACTTCATTATTCTTTATTATGACAATTACTGGTGAAGACACTAGAAGTCCAATTTGCAGCTAATATGACATTTTTCATTCATTCCAGGGAGAGAAAAGTAAAGACGCACCATCATGGGATCCTGTTGGCCTGAAATTCCTAGAGCGGAATGCTCCGAGAGACTCTCACTGCCACCTTTCCCACAGCCCCAGAGCCATCGAGCACGCTTATCAATACGGAGGGACAGCCAACAGCCGCCAGGAGTTGGAGTACTTCAAAGGAGATTTTGGTGAAAAGTAAAGTAACACACTATCTTTCCAGAAACCTAATGTCAGGACTGGACTCCATTCTCATTGTAACTAGCATGTCATCTTTTTCTAGCTTTCTTTTCTGTGACGCCTTAATTCTATTATGTTATCATTTAAATAAATACTAAAAACACATTATTTATGCTTTCAGGGACCTTCGTACTTTCTGTGCCTTTCTCCCCAAATGTCAAATGCATAGCATAGCATTCTCCCCAGAGTTTACTGTGTTTGATCAGAAAAGAAAAGGCAATCAAGGAAAAGGGAACAGGGCAAGTTTCAAATGATTCATTACCTAACCTTGGTATCACCTTCCCTCCCCTGTATGAATTGCTTTCAGACTGTAAATGGGAAAGCATCCAAACTGCTAGGAGGTTAATAAGGAAAGACACTGAAAATAAAAATGTGCTTCTACGCCTCCTGTGGCTCCACGCTGTCTCTAAAGCCCATCCCCTCTTATCAGTATTTCGCAAATCTCCAGTTATTTAGTATTATTCAGGACATATTTTATAGTGTTAGCACCGAAATACATATTGTTTTCTATAACTCTTTCAAACATTCATACAGATAATGCATTCAGTAAGAAATCTCTAATGCCTTGCTACTTGCTAACAGGCAGAATCAGTATTTTATTTCTTTAGGAAGGATGAATAATCAAAATAGGGGTCAGTCTAATCAATGTATCTTATCCATAGCTTAGAACTAAATTTCTAGGACATTTTGTTTTAATTTCTACACTTAGGAATGTTTTCAACATGTGATATCCATCAATCAATTCTTACTGCAAAAAAAATTTAATCTGTGTTTTATATAGTACATAAATCATTTTATTTCTATGAAAATGTCTACATACTAATGAATCATTAGTATTTTGTCCATGTGGGTAAGTTTCTGTAACAGATAGCTTTTTTACTAAATTGCAATCAAATTTTCAAAGCAAGATGTAATAAGATATTTAACTAAATCAACATTTTGTTAAATGTGAAATGTATCCTTGTATAAGAAAGTAGAGGAGAATTTACATTTCTGAACTAGCCATGCTTATTTAATATTCATTGATAGTATTAAACACTAATTAGAAGTAATACTGCTTGGGATAAGATAGAGCGGCTACCTATCCTTCATAGAGTGTATTAACTTTGGAAAGTTAGCGGTGATCCTCAGTCTCATTTTACATGTAATAAGCTTTTTCTTTTCGTTTACCAGATCTCAGTTTTCCATTCGTCTGAAAACTCGTTCCTCTCATGGGATGATTTTCTACATCTCAGATCAAGACGAGAATGACTTCATGACTCTATTTTTGGCTCACGGCCGCTTGGTTTTCATGTTTAATGTTGGCCACAAGAAATTGAAGATTAGAAGCCAGGAGAAATACAATGATGGATTGTGGCATGATGTAAGTTGAAAGCAGAAAACAGTATTATCAGCAAATATCCACCACTGTCAAGTAGACTGACATTAATGCCCCACCACTAATTTCTTTAGAAACATCCATTTTAAAATTCTGCTGTTTTAGGGACCAGCAGTTAGCATAATGGCTATGTCACTGGACTCCCACATAGTAGACCGCGGTTCAAGTCCCAGACTCAGCGGCTTAAACTCACACTGGGCGCGTGTGTGTGCATGCCCAAGAACCCGAGAGGAGAATGGAGGAGAAGGGATTGCGGCGTGGCCATCCTCCCTGGGGGGTGATTTCTCACTTTCTGTCTCTCTGTCTGGCGAGCGCACGCGCCCTATAGCAAAAACCTCTCCAAAAAAAAAAAAGAAGAAGAAGAAAAATTCTGCTGTTTTACACTTAGAATGAAATTTTTTTTTAAGTTTTGCCATAAGGTGCATGTGTTCACCAGGGTGAGAGAGAGGGAGAGAGACAGTGAAAGGGAAAATGAGAAATCACCCCCAGAGGGGATGGCCACACCACAGTCCCTTCTCCTGTCAGGATTTTGGGCATGTGCACACATGTCCAGTGTGATTTTCAAGTCACTAAGTCCAGAACTGGAACTGCTATCGGCTATGTAGGAGCCAGTGCCTTAACCACTGTGGTACCTGCTAGCCAGAGTACAATTTTTTTTAAGGATTTTTCATAGGGCATGTGGGCTCGCTGGAGAGAGACAGAGACACAGAGGGAAAATGAGAAATCATCCTCCCAGGAGGATGGTCATGCCACAATTCCTTCTCCTCCATCCTCCTCCTGGGATTTCGTGCACACACACATGCCCAGTGTAATTTCCAAGCTGCCAGGTCTGAGAATAGAACTATGGCAGGCCACGAGAGTCCAGCCCCTTAATCACTATGCCACCTGCTGGCCCTCAGAGTGCAATTTTTAAAACTTAGATTCAGGACCAGCAGATGGCAAAATGGTTACATCGCTGGACTCCCATGAGATATTTGCATTTTGAGTCCCAGACCCAGTGACTTAAAACTCACACCAGTGCATGCATGCCCAAGATCCCAAGAGGAAAATGGAAGAGAAGGGACTGCGACATGGCCATCTCCCCCTAGAGAATGATTTCTCACTTCTCACTTTCTATTTCTCTCCAGCAACCACGTCCATGTCCTATAGCAAAAAAATTAAATTAAATTAAAATAAAACAAATTCATCCTTGTAAAAATTTTGGAAAATACTATTTAAAAATAGAAACAGAATTAGTGTAATTCTTTTCACCGATGGATCGTAGTCAGCATAAAATGAAATATGATTTCTAACAACTTTTCACTTGAATTTTTCCCCCATTGCCTATAGATTGTTAATTTTCAGCAGCTATTACCAAATGTCTTTTAAAGATTAAGTTTTGCATAATACAAAGCAAAGAGTAAATCAGTTTGGAAGATAGACTGTCACAGGGGGAACGCTTAAAGATTGAAAGAAATCAATGTGGGAGCCAGCAGGTGGCGTACTGGTTGAAGCACTGGACTCCCACATGACTGACCATGGTTTCGGTCCTGGATCCAGAAGGAATTGCAGAATGGCCATCCCCCGGGGGGTGATTTCTCACCTTCCCTCTCACTGTCTCTCTGTCTCTTTGACAAGCAGAAGTGCCCTATGGCAAAAACCTAAAAAGAAGAAAAAGAGAAAGAAAGGAAGGAAGGAAGGAAAGAAGGAAAGGTAAGAGAGAGATAAAGAAAAGAAAGAAAGAAAGAAAGAAAGAAAGAAAGAAAGAAAGAAAGAAAGAAAGAAAGAAAGAGAGAGAGAGAGAAAGAAGAAAGAAAGAAAGAAAGAAAGAAAGAAAGAAAGAAAGAAAGAAAGAAAGAAAAAGAAAGAAAGAAAGAGAGAGAGAGAAAGAAATCAGTGTGCATGTAATGGCAAGAGTAAGCAATGTAAAATGCATTAGAATTAATTACAAGGATTTTTTTAGTTTATTTTCCATGAGCAAGAGAGAGAATGAGAGAGAACCCCTAACAGAGCCTTATATACCACAATTTACACCCAGCTTCAGTCAACCCCAATCATGGGCACACACGTGCCAATGTACTCAAAGAGGCTTCCATCTTGAACTGACCCTCCCATGTGGGTCAGCTTCTCAGAGCATCATCTTTTACTGCTGTGCCACAGGCCAGCCCCAAGCAAGATGTTTGACCATAAAGGATGGTCAACAGAGAATAGCTTCACATAGAATTCTGCTAAACATAAACTATATTTACAAATTAAGCCTGTAGGGGCCAGCAGATGATGTAGTGGTTAAAGCACTAAACTCCCACATGGCCAACTGCAGTTCCAGTCCCAGACCCATGGCTTGAAACTCATGCCAAATGTGTGTGCATGTGTGCCCAAGATCCCCAGAGAGGAACGGAGGAGAAAGGATTGTGGCATGGCCATACTGCTGGGGGGTGATTTCTCGCTTTCTGTCTCTCTGTCTCTCTCTGTCTCTCTGACAAGCACATGTACCCTATAGCAAAAATCTCCCCAATAAATAAATAGATAAGATTAAGCCTGAAGCTTTAAACCATTCTATCTAGAGATCAGAAAACATGGATCATTTCCTCTAATACATAAAGTAATAAATTGAAGATAAGCAAGAAAAATACACTTATGTATATAAAGCAAGAGGACTTGGGGACCACTCACATTAAGGTCATATGCTATGCAAGAAAACAGAATTAATTCTATTAATTAAAACAGAGTTGTCATTCCAAAAACTGGACAGCTAGAGGCCTACTAAGGAAAAACTCTTGACAAGCAGAGAAGAGACTTCTTTTTTTAAAATGAACTTTCTGCAGATTGCCCATAGCACTGCAGTAGCAAAGCAGGGAGGAGAGGTCACACGGTCATTTCCCCAATCTTCAAATGTACCTGAGATGTGCTACTGTTCTCCCCTCCCAGGTGATATTTATCCGGGAAAAGAGCAGTGGTCGACTGGTAATTGATGGTCTTCGAGTCCTAGAAGAAAATCTTCCTCCTACTGGAGCTGCCTGGAAAATCAAGGGTCCCATCTACTTGGGAGGCGTGGCTCCTGGAAGGGCTGTGAAAAATGTCCAGGTAAGCCAGGGGTGACCAACCAGAGTCATTGACCTTTAGAGATAGAAGATCACTCAGTGCAGGCTCTGATTTCACAGATTAAAAACTAGCTATAGCTGGAGATAGGCTGTCAAACCGAGTATTGTCTTTGGGGCTGTGTCTTTCCTATGGCATTATGAAGTCAGGAGTGATCTTTTAATTCTAGGGTAGAGGTGAGATGGAAAAAATATAAATTATCTTCAAAATATATGTCTCAAAGGGATCTTACATGTTGAACAACTACTCATGTTTTCAATGCAAAAAACGGTTAATGATTCCATTACATATTATTGAGTGAAAAAATGTTTCAGATCATTTATGTAAATTATGATACCATTTTTTGTTTCTTACACACACACAAGCACACTATTCATAAATATGCAAGGAAATGTAGCTGTCCCAGAGCAGAGGTAAAAAGTGTATATATAGTAAGAAACATATTTTTATAATTAAAAAAATTTAAAATGTTGTACCTGTAAAAAATATTTACCAATGCATCAAAGGACTACATTTTTCTTAACATAAGTACAAATTTGTTTTAGCACAAAATGTTAATACATTTCTACTAACATATGTAGATAAAGTAAGAAAGATGATTCACATTATAATTAGATTCTAAGTAAGCACCCCCAACTCCATAACAATTTCTTCAAACAATTTCCAAATGCGGTATCAGAAATCAGCTGAATAGAATGGCCCAAGTTCCATGTCTTGTGGTATGATAAATTCTCACTTACAAAACAGCAAATGAAGCCAGAAATACACGCTTTTCTGCTGTTTCTTTAGCATAGTAGATTTAGTTAAGAACTTTGTTAGCCTTCTTTGGCATTAGGTGACATTGAGCACACTCTTGAAGACACACGTTGAGCACACATTCTTGAAGAAAAACTAGGATACTTCCCATATACAAATTGAAAACCATGGTCTATGTAAAAACTTGTATAGTGTAATTATTACAGGCTGACATTATCAAATACAAAAATCCAGCTTCAAAGAACTAGGTAAAAAGCAACTACAGTGCCTGGAAAAATATTACTCATTCAAATAGCCAAAATAAATAGGAAAAGGAATTACTTGCTTTCTTTCAGGACTCGAATACTCTCATTTTGCTTTCCCTTGGTGCATCTGTGAGTGCTGAGAAAGTGGATTTTAAGAAATGTCATCTTCTTTCAGATTAACTCAGTCTACAGCTTCAGCGGCTGTCTCAGCCATCTCCAACTCAATGGGGCCTCCATCACCTCTGCTTCTCAGACATTTAGTGTGACCCCTTGTTTTGAAGGTCCGATGGAAACAGGAACCTACTTTTCAACAGAAGGAGGATATGTGGTTCTAGGTAACAAAACTTTTGTTGAAAATTTGAATCGCAAAATGATTTTTTTTTCTTAGATGGCTAATAAGGAATATCAGGCCTATAACTAAAATAAGAACAAGAATGCCAAATGCAGCCCTAGATGATGACCTCTTTCCCCAAGGACCGTATTTGTCCCTTCCTACCGCTTCAGACCAAACATGCATCCCTCTCCCTGTCTGCCCTCCCTAACCAGCGCCCTTCCACAGCTGCTAAAATTCTGGACCATCTTGGCTCCTTTAGAACCTCTAAGCTGCTGTGACCTGATCCCACATCAGCTCTCAGGCACATTGCTTTTCTAGATCTTGCTCTGCTCCCTCTTATAGTGAACCATTGTCCCTACTGAAAGAAGTTCTACTTCCTCTTCCTGCCCTGGAGCACCAGCAGTCAACCACTATTCTTCAGAAATCTTATCTCTGAATTTTTATTCTGCTCAACCATTACTCTCTCACTTACTCATTCAACAGTTTTTATTGTATGCCTCCTTATGGCAGTCCCTAAACCAGATGACAGAAGATAATAATTCTAAAAATAAATAAAATCCTAGCAGACTATATATAGTCACCAACCAATCCATTCCAATGAAAGTTCTTTTTTTTTCCTTAATGAGAGAGTGAAGGGGTGGGGGAGTAGGAGATAAAGAGAGAAAAAGGAAAGAGAAAGAGGATATTTGACAGGGTCTTGCCGTGTCCCCATCCTCCTGCCCCAGCCTCCCAGTTAGCTAGGATTACAGACCTGTGTTACAGTGCCCAACATGTTTAGGTCGATCTGGAAACCAAACTCCAGCCTCTCATGCAGCCCTAGCCTTGCACGGGAGCACCCTATGGCTTATAGCACCATGACTGGGCCCTGGCAAACATTCTACATAGAAAGCAACCAGCAGGTATTAGGAAGGCACCAGGTTAGGTGCTGGGAATGAGGTTAGGAAAAGGATATAAAACCACACATTCCCTGCTCGTAAGGCATTTAGACATTCTATACATCCTTGAACAAAAATTACAATACAACCAAGTACACCATCCTGAGCTACCAAATGCCCAATAGAATAATTACAGTAATATATTCTCTGTCTAGTTCATATTCCTTTCCTTCCCTGCCCTACTCGCCTTTACTCCTAGTGAAACACCTACAGCTAACATTTCTTAGCCTTTCATTAAATCTCAGTAATAAAAACTATAAAGGTTTGGACAATTTGAAATGCAAGACAAACTGCACAATTTATGTACTACTCCATGAACATTAACTAACAGCAAGAAAATTCAGAAGTGATTTATAAGAAGACATGTCACGTGACTATTATTAACATGCTCAGGTTTATGGTGAGCTTCTTGGAGTGAATGCAGCTATTCTTAAAAAGAATTTTCTGGGGCCAGTAGATGGTGTAGCTGTTAAATCACTGGACTTTCACATGGCCAAAGCGGTTGGAGTCTCGGATCTGGTGGCTTGAAAATCGCGCAGGGCGTGTGTGTGTATGTGCTTGCCCAAGATTCCAGGAGGATAGAGAAGGGATTGTGTCGTGGGCATATTCCCTGGGGGCTGATTTCTCACTTTCCCTCTCACTGTCTCTGTCTCCTCCCCCAGGAGCACACATGCCCTAAGACCAAAACGTCTCAAAAAAGAAAAAAAAAAAAAGGAATTTTCTAGGATCACTGAGCCAGCCTATGGCCTGCTTGTTAGAGTTATCTCCCATATGTCCAACTGTACAGTTGAAGTCCTGGATCCAGCAGGGGCATGCACATGTGTGCCTGAAATCCCAGAAGGAAGAGCAAATGGAGAAGGGATTGTAGCATGCCCCATGGAGAGTGCTTTCTCTTTTTCCCTCTCTCTGGAGTGTAGGTGCCCTGCAGCAAGAAACACACACACACACACACACACACACACACAAAACAAAACAAATATCTAGGATCACTGCAGTTCAGCTGCTAAATACCTTTGCTGCTCTCACCTTCTCTCTCTGAAATGCTCTAAAGCAGCAGCACCAGCTCAGAGTTGATCAAGTCAGCTCCCTTGCTCAGTGACTGCCAAATAAACCCTACCGGATACGCCAGCATTTGAGCCTTCCAGGGTGGGTCCCCCACTCACCAAGCCTCCTTCTCCCCTCACGTGCTGGCTTTCACAGCACTCTCCAAGTGTTCTGCCTCTGTACATGTGCTCATACTTTCCCCGCCCAGATGGACCTGTCCTCCTCACTTCTGAGATAATAATTGATGCTGCAAGTTGGAATTAATTTCCCCTCCCCAACACTCCCATAGCACAGAGGAGATTTTTTAGTGTGTTGTCACCACCCCCGTGCCCCACAAGAGGAGGGATGTGTTAGTTATCCTAATCCCCCACAGAGCTTTCCACTGCAAGTTCGACACAGAAAAGCCACTTCTTTTCTACTTATGTTGAAAAATGTGCCTCAAGTTTTAAAAACAGTATTTAAAAAATCATTAGAAAAGTACATCAAAGTTACAAAATGTATTTTGCTATTCTTGAGAACTTACAGTGTTTCTCTCCACAGATGAGTCTTTCAATATTGGATTAAAGTTTGAAATTGCCTTTGAAGTCCGTCCCAGAAGCAGTTCTGGAACCCTTGTCCATGGCCACAGTGTCAACGGAGAGTATCTAAATGTTCACATGAGAAATGGACAGGTAGTGTCTTAAAATTTTTAACAGTCTATATCATCTGACCTTAGATTCTAGGTCTGAAGCAGATTTACTTTACAGAAGGATTCCTCGGTCTTTCCTAACTAGGGAAACAGAGAAGGAATCTGTAAATGTGAAATTTAAATGTGGAGAATATTTACATTCAGGTACATACATTCTTCGTTTGTTTGATTAGAATGAAGAGTCATGAAAATATGTCAAAGTTACCAAAACAAAACAGAAAGCGCACCAATAACAACATAAACAGTTCTAACAAAAAAAAATTAGAGAAAAAATTTTCTACCCAATAGCAGTAATACAATACAATATGCATGTATCAAAATAGGAACTAAAACATTTATCTTTTAAACATCTATAACATATGTATATCAGACACACACACACATATATAATCCTCAAATGCTAGAAAAATTTTAATTCTATTATAATTAAATGATATTTTCACCATAAAATATTACTAAAGAATATTTATGAATGTCTTCAAATAAATATCAAAGGAAAAGCATATTTTCATTGATACCTCTAACTTGAGATAATGAATTTTTATTTGGGTTCTAGTATATTCTATGAAACCATAACAATAAAAAAATCTTTACATGGTACTTACAATGTGTCAGGTACTCTTCTAAATACTTTATATGAATTAATTTATGTAATCTTCCCAGTATCTTTATAATGTAGGCAATATTATTATGACTCTTGTTTTACAAATGAGAAAACAGGCAGAGTAAGACAAATGGAATCAGACAATGACTTAAGACTCTCTGCTCTTCACCAATATGTCAACTGCTTCATATAATACACTCTTAATTTATTCTATTATATTTCTTATTGCCTCTCTTTTCCTATTTTCTCTCTCATATAATTATTTCATTCTCTCTCTAAGGAAGTGGTTAAACTATTTCTATACCCTACCAAAGAGTGACCCCTTGTGTTCAAATTTCAAAGTTAATCGTATGTGGATATTTCTTAAAGTATCTCTTTACTATGGTAAATTACTTAAGAAATTCAGTATTATCACTAGAAGGAACAAAACGAAATTATATACTGTGCCTTATCTGTCTCAGGTCATAGTGAAAGTCAACAACGGCATCAGAGATTTTTCAACTTCAGTAACACCCAAGCAGAGTCTCTGTGATGGCAGATGGCACAGAATCACAGGTAAGAAAAGCTGAATATATTGGGTTTCTTTTATGAAGGTGAGCATGCACACCTACTCTGGGATGATGACCTGGAAGCACTTAGACTATAATTTACATGATAGAGGGTGGATGACAATCTAAAAGAGGCCAAGAAAAGAGAATCAGGTGTTACTACGCTAAGATGTGTATATTGAATCCACATATAATTTGAAACCATGAATGTTGCCAAAATAGTGCTGGGAATGGTTTAGATAATGCATAACTTTTGAAGCAAACACGTAGTCCAAGATTATCCAAATATTCTTCCTTATGAAGGAAAATGTTACAGTGATTGGTTGATTAGACATTTTTAGATCTTCCCAGTATCTTTATAATGTAATATTATTTAAATGCTTTTTTATTGCCAAAGGGAGTGAGCACTCTTGAAAGTCATGCCACAGTCTTTTTTGTTTCTCCATTCCATCAGGACTTTGGGCACGCATGCACGACCACCTAGAATGTTTTCAAGTCATGAGGGCCAAGATTTGAACTGTGGTTGACTATGTAGGATCCAGCTCTCTATACACTCTGCTGCAGGACTGGCCCCATTGTTAGACATCACTGATATTTTTTTCAATAATAGAATAAAGTATGAGAAATTATTCTAGTCTACTGTGATCAATTTCTCTTTCATGTGAAAATTCATCAGTCCAGTGCCACAAATGACTAGTCTTTGCCCTGTATTTCAGTTATTAGAGATTCGAATGTGGTTCAGTTGGATGTAGACTCTGAAGTGAACCATGTGGTTGGACCCCTGAATCCAAAACCAGTTGATCACAGGGAACCTGTGTTTGTTGGAGGTGTTCCAGGTATGTGTTGTTTATTAAAAGGGAAAAGTCTCTAAATCCAAAACACCGTTTAAGTTCTTATAACTGTTCTTATAGTGTTAAGAATTGAGTCATGTGTTTTCATAATTCACCAAATAACTCAAAGGTTTTTATATACAGTATCTTTTAATAGGAAAAAGGCATACTGAAAGTTGTGATTCCCTATCTAAAGATCACAATGAAAAACGCATAAGAGCTAGACCCCTGCATTCCACAGGAGATACCTCTCCTCCCCTTGCCATATTTGCTTATTTTTCTCCTCTGTCCTTCTTCTTTCAGGTGCCCTCCACATAACACACACAATGAAATATGTGTTTTATTTTGTCTCTACACAAAGACTCATTTACTGTTGTCATACTACTCTGGAATCCAAGAACCTTGGAGAATTATAAGTTTGTTGATAATTGCTCTCCTTCCTTAGTGGCAAAGAATGCACAGCTCTTCCTGGCCAGGATTAGTTTGAATTACGAAAACAGCTGTAGACCATAAGTTCTGTTGTCCCTATGTGGTGACGCTCCCTAAGAGAAGTTCCAGCTGCAATTCTATAAACACCATCAGTAATCATTGCTGTTAGCTGCCAAGAAAAGTGTATAATCCAAGATGGCGATAGTGGACACTCATGGACCCCCTACAATTGTTTTAACCCTCCAAAGCAGACGCCATGTCCTTATGTTGAATACATTTGTTTTTTACACATTTTACCAACTTGGGAAAACTGAATGTTATGGCTGGAGAGATATAAGGTGATACCAAACTTCTGCATCTGGAATTTGCTAAGGATTTTAATAATCTACTAACTTGATTTATGTGAACTGACCAATGTACAGGTAGTTAATGCTTTAATTAAGAGAGTGAGAAAGCACCAAATTGAGCATCCCACCATGGGTACTTCAAAATAGTAACAAGTACATGCTCTTCTGCTTTGTAATGTGAATTTTTCAGATACTAGTATTGAAAGTGATGAAAACTCAGTATTCCCAAAGAAATATTTGAGACCCTCAAAAAGCAACCCTTTCCCTCTTTTACTCCCGTAACTCAGTACTCCCAAAGAAATATTTGAGACCTTCAAAAAGCAACCCTTTCCCTCTTTTACTCCCCCTGTCCACTCCCATCTCCATTTCCTAGTCCTCTCCTCCTGGTCCTGGCTTCAGTTCTGAATGGGATTCTGGCAAAAGTCACCGCTGCACTTCATGCAGGTCCAATATGGAGGATATCTCACAGCAGTTCTTAGATTTCAGTACATTGCTTCTTTCCTAGAAATCAAGATATGGTTTAAAATACTTTACAGGTTCCCATGAGCTAACAGGATCAGCAAAGCATACAAGGTCCTTGATCATCTGTCCCCTGCTTCCCGCCTCTGTGGTCTCCCCACACCTCTAGGACTTTTAGTTCCCTAATATCCGGTGGTGCTTTGTTCCAGGCCTTTACACAAGTGTGCTGCACCTCAGTTTCCAGGAAAGTTCTTCCCCTAATATCTTAAAGAACAACTTATTCCACTCTTCCCTCGATATAACCCTTTATTTACTGGCCTTTAGGACTCAGCTCAGACTTTGATTTACACACACATGCCCCTTTTCCCCAGAACGTGTATTCATACCACCATTGTTGGACTTACCTCAGAATACTGTTGCAGCTAAGTAAACAATCCCTGCTGGCATAGATGTCAGCTTCACTAACACATTTATTAAGTGTCTCTTTAAGCACTGTGCTGGGCTCCAAGAGATGAATAAAACACACGTGGCCTCCCAGCTCTCATGGAAGTTATAGTATTTGTTCTTCACTTTGCACCCAAATTGTCTTCTACACATCATTCAGATAAATATTTCTCTTTAATTTTCATTTTTTTAAATAGTCTGATCCCAGTACCACACACTACCATCATCTCTCCCTCCAAGAGCTGTTAACCTCCACTGACTAGATTGGCGAGGTATACCTGAACCAAATGCAGGCTGTCAAAAACACAGAATGAAGAGCAAATCTTAGCTAAAGAGCTAGCACCCAGGAACTGGCAGAAGTGTGGGGGGGAGGGGCGGGGGGCACAGCTAAACACCAACCCACTGAACTATTACAGCTTTTAATGTCATCTGGGAATCATGCCAGCAACCTAGAACAAAAGCAATTATAATTTAAGCTGGGTGTAATTAATTATATCATTTTGGGCTGTTCAAGATTAATTCCACTGAAAATCACACCAAAAACCAGGGCATGAAAAAGGATAACTAAAGAAATTAGACATAATTAAAACCCTTATGTGCACTGAATTCTCTTGAAATCTCTTATATCACTCAGAACCTGGTGATTCATTTCTGTCAGTAAAAGTTAATATATATATAAGACTAATAGAAAATAGATTTGTACACCAAAAAAGTCAAAATTACTGTATGGTAATTTAAAAAACATTTTTTTAAGTTCATGTGGCCCACATGCAAGTCTAACTATTTATTTCTTTACTGAAAATCCTGTATTATTCTGTATATAGTCAACCCTTCAACCTGGGAAACAATCTACCTTAAAGTCGTGTTTTGACTTTATCAGTCAGTTATTGAGGGTCCTAGGGCACTTTATTGTCACTATTTAGAATTAATCGTGTGGTAAATTATGAAGACCAAGATCACTGCATGCATTATTACCTCCAGATGATTTCCCCCATGAGCCAAAGGGTGACAGGTTTGGGATAAATCAACACTCGTGTTTCAAATCTACTCTCTAAAGTGAACAGAACCATTAGATGTTTCTACTCTTCATAATCTTTTCTGTTCACTCAGTTTTCCCTGACAATGAAGTACACTGCACGGGCTTGAAGAATATATATAGTCTTACTAGTCTGGCGATAACTGAAGTGTATTGATCTCTCAGGCCCTTTCCGAATCTGAGACTTTATCATTATCGTTCTAAGTATAAGAAGTTACTTCCATGATTTATTTGCAGTACACAGCTTCTGTATATTCCTACTGTACATTGCTTAAAACACACATTACTGCTGCTCGATGATGTTGAGTTTGCTGACCTGTTCCATGTTCTCTCCCGAGTTACTGATTTCTAAGTGGTTTCTGTCTTTTATCTGCTGCTGCTCACATAGCTGTTTGTACATAATAATAAGCTTTGACTAAATGGATTTTAAATTCATGGTATTTCTAAGCTCTCTGAATTGCTTTAAATTTTATTGCTTCTATCATCCCAGTACATTTGTGTCTGTACAATTAATGAGCATAAGGCTTCTTTTAGATCTCTAATTAAGAGTAGAATGTTCCCCTGGCATACCACAGGTCACCTGTGCCCACAAAAAGATGAGTCTAGCTATCGTTATCCTAGACAGACTTCCTAAGTCCTGAGCTCAGAAAAATTAAATTTTGCTTATTTGAATTCATTATTTTCTCATTATATTTTATGAGATTGGCAAAAATGTGGAGGCTTAAGGGTGAATGGCAAGGATACAGATTAAGCAGAAACATTAAGTCCAAAAATAGTGTGTAAGTGGCCCAACCAGTGGCATGATGATTGGTGTGTCTGAATCCCATGTACGTGGCTGACCAAGTGGCTTCAGTGGTGGGAGTGGTAGACCCAACGGTTTGGGGAACTCACTGGGCATGAGTGCATGCATGCCTGAAATCTCAGAGGAGAGTGGATAAAAAGGGATTTCAGTATAGCACCCTGAGGGTGCTCGCTCACTCTCTCTCTCTCTCTCTGGCAAGCACATGGGCCTTATAGTAAATTATAAAAAAAAAAAAAAAAAAAGGAGGGTGGAAGCTAAAATATCTCTTCCCCATCACAGTCAAGCATACAAAATAACTGAAGCCCTGTAGAAATTAAGCTTACAAAGCATATCTAAATGATAAAAATTTGTTGCTGTGGTTTTACATGTCAGCGGTAAATTTCAGCCTTGGGAGACAGCTGCAGTAGACAGAAATTTGATCATGGAATATGTGGTAAAACATTAAAATTAACACATGTGCATATTACTTGAAAAGCAAATAATATTCCTTAGAAGTAAGTTGATCAGAACTACAGTCATCTCTCTGAGTCTGCAGGGGATTGATTCCAGAATTGCCCAACAGATACCAAAATCCAAGAGATAAACAAAATGAGCAAGTCTTTCATATAAAATGACCATAGTATTTGCACATCACCTACTCGTACCCTCCTATATGCTCTAAGTCATCTCTAGGTTACTTATAACACCTAATATAATGTAAATGGTGTGTAGTTGCTATATTGTATTATTTAGGGAATAATGGCAAAGAAAATAAAAGTCTGTACATAATCAACACAAATGCAACCAACTAACTATAGTACCTGTCAACAACAAGGTAATATTTTCAACCCTCAGCTGTTCAGTCCATGGATCTGCACCCCTTGGATATGGAGGGCCAACTGTTGCGTTTTTGAGAAGTAAACCTTGATGTTGATGTGAGAGTTATTGTGTATTTTAATCAAGAGATGATGTGTTATTGTGTGTATTTCTACGAAGAAGGAATATTTGAGTGAGATTGCCTCAACAACAATTTTTTGGTTTTGTTTCTTTCTCCTTTCAGAGTCACTACTGACACCACGCTTGATCCCGGGCAAACCATTCACAGGCTGCATCCGCCACTTTGTGATCGATGGGCGCCCAGTGAGCTTCAGTAAAGCAGCCCTGGTCAGTGGCGCAGTGAGCATCAACTCCTGTCCTGCAGCCTGATTCGACAGACCGCCACTGCCCACGTACAAAGTTCTTTAGAGCACTGAAATAAACATGAAGCCAGCCGGGAGGAACAGCACTTCTTCCTCCAGGCAGAAGCTTTCATCTAGTTGAACAAGATTTACAAGAATCATCAGGGACTGGATGCTCCTTATTTCTCACTTGGATTCTTACCTTGGGTCCAAAATGTCTGCAATGGACAACAATGGAAGGAGTGGCAAACATACTTGTATTGAGAGTACATTTATTTCCTGCTGGTGAAATTACTGTTCCTATGTCTAATAAAATAGAAGGGGTTCTAAATAAACACTGGCACACATTTTTAAAGTATGACTAGATTCTCAGATCTTTCTTTCAAGGAAGATAACTTTCAGCCTATACCAAAATATCTTTAACCTAACCTACCCTTCTTTATCTTAAAAGATTTGCTAAATTACATATAATCTGAAATTAGATGCTAGATTTGCCTTCTTCACTTTCATTTGTTCTGTCAGTATAACGAGAATATCTTGGGCTTGTAGCACCAGTTATCAATGTTAATAAAGTGAATTTCTAACAGAGTATTAGAAAAATGACAGTATAATTTAATGTTTTCTACAAAGAGAAAAGAAATTAGACTACTTTTTTCCTTTCTTATCTTCTTGAAAGGAAAATAAAATTTTGCAGGAGAGGAAGCTCCTGTAGGTTATTACTTTTACTATTACTGTGAGTTCTATAGGCATCATCGAAGACATTACAGCAAAAGGACTAGGACAGAATTCATAAAGTTAAAATTAAAAATATAGAAATCCTTTTATTAAAAGATTTTCCCTCACTTGCCTACAACACAATTAGTAGTAAAACAACTAATTAGTTGTAAAACAACACAATTAGTTCTAAAATTTTATAATTTTTTCATGATTCTATATCAATAAAGTCTAGAAAAAGAAAAATATGCTTGAATAGCTGATGGAATATTAAATACAGAAAATGAAATAAAAGAATTATGAGATAAAATAGGTCCCAATATCAGAAGAACTGAAGACATATAAAGGGAATAACTTTAGGGAGGAAGAGGGGGCTACAAATATTTTGAGAGAGACCACCAAATGACATAATGGTTACATCGCTGGACACTCACAGTCAGCCGCAGTTCGGGACCCAGATCCAGCAGCTAAAATCTCATGCCAGGAGCATGTGCGTACTTGCCCAAAATTCCAGGGGGAAATGGAGAAGGGATTGTGGCACGGCCATTCCCCCTGCAGGGTGATTTATCACATTCTGTCTCGGTCTCTCCAGCAAGTGCACACATCCTATAGCAAAAACCCCTCTCTTTAAAAAAAAAAAAAAAAAAATTTGATGAATTACCGAAGGGATTAAAATGATATCCTGCCTTGGAACAATTTCATACATATACATACATCTACATATAAATGTGTGTGTGTGTGTGTGTATATACACACATGTATATATATTTTTATACATATACATATAAAGTGTATATATATATATATATATATATATATATATATATATATATATATATATATATATATATATGGACCCGGTGGCTTAAAACTCACACCGGGCGCATGTGCGTGCATGTCCAAGATCCCGAGAAGAGAATGGAGGAGAAGGGATTGCGGCGTGACCATCCCCTCTGGGGGGTGATTTCTTGCTTTCTGTCCCTATGTCTCTTTCTGTCTCTCTGGTGAGCGCACATGCCCTATAGCAAAAAACCTCCCCCCAAAAAATAGCTAATACCTGTTCACAGAGGACTGACTTAGTGTCAGCCACCATGAGAAGTTGACATTGATTTTTCCTCATTTGTTCCTCACTAGTCCTAGGAAAGTAACATTGAAGCTAGTAGGGTCTCACCAAGAAAGGAGGGTACAAGATTGCAAGTATTCAGCTCAGCCCATTGTCACCATGAAAGAACCAAAGTGCTGGGCTGAGGCCTTTGAATCCAAGAGTCCGGGGTTAACTGAACTACTGTTTAAAACACACTGAACCTTTATCATATTCTCTCCATCAGACCCAAGCAGGTAAAAGTGGCTCTGCCATTTTCTTTTCCACAAGATTCTCCTCAGGCTTCCTAGAGTTGCGCCCTGTATTGCCTCGTTTCTCAGAAGTGGCACTAAGCATCCTAAACCAGCCAAGTTGCAGGCCCTGTCTGGACCCATAGCCTCAGCAGGCATGCACAGACTCACACATATGCAGACTAAAACCACAAACACTCTTCTAACCTCATCATTTATAAGGTCACCTCTTTGCATTGTTCATGTTCTTAAGCTCAGTAAATAAGAATCTACAAACTCATGTACCTCTTTGAAAACCACACAACAAACACCTTTGAAACTAAATTTACCATTTCTAAGATGCTGAACTAGCTCTGAGATGGAAACCCTCTCTCTCAGCTTCTTTCTAAGGAAAAAGATTTTTCTTTTTTTTTTTTTAAGGTAAACATAGCATATTGCACTTCATACAGAGAAATATGGATCGGGTGCTCACAGTAATTTTGACCAGATGTTATGTGTGTCCCCCTGCCCATTCAGAGTCCCTTCAAAATGAAGAGGACCTTCCATTGCCCTGATTTGGGGTGGGGGGGAGCCCTATAAACCTGTAAACCACCTCCTCACATGGCCCTATCTGACTGAACAGGAACGGCACTCTCCTATAACTCCCTGATAAAGAATATCTTATTGCCAGATCTGGACAGATGAAGTCAAACAATTGGGCATTTTCTCTTCAAATTTTGAATTGGAAACATGGTGGAAATCAGGCACTTAGCAGTAGAAACTGAAGACAAAAGAACCTTATCTGAAAGTAGTTTTAGGTACTTACCATACACATTTATAAACACACACTTTAAAAAAAAGAAAAAGAAAAAAAAAAAAAACCTTCGGATTTTCATTTTGTATACCAAGGATACTAGATCCTTATTATCCATTGATGAGTTGTAGCACCTAGATTAGTGTTGGCATGTAGTTATGTGCTCAAAACATATTTCTTGAGTGAATTTCAGAAAAGCAGAGTTTCCATAGAGGTTATCCCCTCACCTCACTTCTCAAGGCAATCACTTGTAAAGTTCATGAGGGTCTAAGAAAAGGAAACGATGCTTACTTGTCCATTTGGGTTCCACTGAGCCCGAGATCTATGACCTGCCTGAAGGCGTGTGGAGAAGACTGAAGGAGTGATGGCAAAGCCTGGCAGAGAGACAAAAAGCAATCCTACATGTCTTTGGTAGGCTTTCAAGTCCTGAAAAGGAGGAAAGAAAGTGGGCTACCATGGATAAGGTCACTGAGTTCATAAATTTCACAGCACCAGGAGATGCCAATCCCAGAAAAGACTGCTAGAGGGCAGGATGGGTCAGGAAGAAGGTAGATGAAATTGAGGGGTGAAAGCCTGATGATCTGCAGAAGCATGGGACAGAAAGGCACCAACAGAAGAGGAATGTAGCATTACAGGAACAGCCCAAATTTCTCAAGGAACTGGGTATCTCAAGAAACTCAAGTGTAGTGATGGTGGTGGCTCAGGATTGAGTCCCTCACCAACCCACCCAGATTACAGTCAGTTTACCATGAGCTAAATCAGTAGCCTCAGAAAACTCATGCTTTCCTGGGACCAGCAGTTAGCATAATGGCTGTCGCTGGACTCCCACGTAGTTGACTGCGGTTCAAGTCCCGGACCCGGTGGCTTAAACTCACAATGGGCGCGTGTGTATGCGTGCCTAAGATCCTGAGAGGAGAATGGAGAAGGGATTGCGGTGTGGCCATCTCCCCTGGGGGGTGATTTCTTGCTTTCTGTCTCTCTGTCTCTCTCTGTCTGTCTGGCGAGTGCATGCGCCCTACAGCAAACCTCTCCCCAAAAAAAGAAAAAAAAAAAAAAAAAACTCATGCCTTCTGGACCAGCAGGTGGACTCCCACATGGTCGATCACAGTTCAAGTCCCAGACCTTGCTTTCTCACTTTCCCTCTCTCTCTTTCTCCGTCACTCTGTCCCTCTCTGGTCAAATTTAAATAAATAAACAAACAAAGTTAAATAATTCCTTTAAAAAAATACGCATGTTTTTAAATGATCACGTCTGAACCTGGAGGAAGGTTACAAAGGTTTGTTGCCATAGGATTGTCCTAAGACTTGTATACAATACTTACAAAAATTGTATACCCAGGAATGTAAAGAATATGGGAGGTACTTATTCAAGATAGAGGACTTAGAAGACTAAAGAATTTATACTGCTAAAAAACTGTTCATCCTTTATTTTAAAGACTTATTTATTCAAGACCTGTACTGATGCCATTATCCTTCCCCCTATCCTTCCTGAAATGAGTGTCTTGCATCTTCTCTCTCGATTCCTGATAATTCTGCTCATAGGTTTGTCAGTTTTATTGATCTTTTTAAAGCACCAGCTTTGAGTTCCAATGACTTTCTCTATTATGTATCTGCCCTTAATTTCATTGACTTCTGTTCTTTATTATTTCTTTTTGTTTATTTTGGGTTTAGTTTGTTCATCCTTTCTGTTTTCTTATGTGGAAGCTTACATTATTAACTTGAGACAGCTCTTTTTTAATGAAAAAAATGCAATGCTTTAATGCTCTCCAAGTGCTACTTTAGCTGGACCCCAGGCATCTTGGTGTATCGTTCATATCTTTGTTCAATTCAGACAATTTTTAATTTCTCCTGTCATTTCTTCTTCTATTCATGAGTTATTTAAAAGTGTGTCATTTAGTATTCTAATATTCAGAATTCCAAATATTTTTGTTACTGATTTATAATTTAATTATATGGTACAACATACTTTCCATATTCTGCATACTTTGGGTATTTTTTAACTTATTAAGACTTGTTGGGACCAGCAGATGGCATAATGCTTATGTTGCTGGACTCCCACATACTCGACCATAGTTCAAGTCCAAGGCCTGGGTGGCTTAAACCTCATACCACATACATGTGAGTGTGTGCCCAAGCTCCCAAGAGGAGAATGGAGGAGAAGGGATTGTGGCGTGGCCCATCCTCTGGGGAGTGATTTCTCGTTTTCTGTTTCTCTGTCTCTCTGTGTCTCTGGTGAGCACATGTGCCCTATGTCAAAAATCTCTCAAAAAAAAAAAAAAGACTTATTTTGTGGCCTATGATATGGTCTACTTGATAAATTTTCCCTAGAAAAGAATGTACATACAGTATTCTATTTTTACTAGATGGGAGTGTTCTATAAAAACTGAGTCATGTCTCCTAGTTCTGTTTACTTGTTATACTGGTTGAAATTTCTTATTAGAAATGTGCTGTTAATTCTCCTTTCAGTTATACCAATTTTGGCTTCATGTACTTTGAAATTCTGCATAAACATTTAAAATTGTTGTTTTTGATGTCTTGATCTCTTTATCATTACAAATTGTCTTTATCCCTGGTAAAATTTCTTGCTAGAAAACTTCTCTATCATCAACATAGCTACTCCAATTTTCTTTTCTTTGTTGTCGTTAATGTTTGCATGGCATATCTATTTCCACCCCACTTGTACTTTTAATTTACTTGAGCCTTATATTTAAAGTGGGTTCATGTAGACAGCTCTTAGATACTTCATCTTTTCTAGCCAACCTACCAATCTCTGCCTTTTGATTAAGTTTAGTCTTTTGGTATTTATGTATTTATCAGTATGATATGGTTTAAATCTAGTATCTTTGTTCCTTTTTTCAGCTTTTCTTCACTCTTTAGAATAGAGTGATATTTATTCCACCTACTCTCCACTACTGATGTTCTTAGTTCTGTTACTATAAACCCTAAAGTTTACAATTTGTGTATTTACTTTATCACAGCCTATCTTCAAATACTGTTAGGTCATTGAGAATGTCATGACATATTTTTCTATTTTTTTCTATGCAAAAATGTGTCATGACCTTCCCAATGACCCAATATTATGCCATTTTATAGTCTGAGACTTTTACAAAAGTGAACGTCCATTTTCCTTCTCCTGTCTTTTTGCTGTCAATACACACATTGTACTTTTACATAAATTATCATTGCTATTAAGTAGTCAGTTGCCTAGTAAGTGTTTAAAAATTAGAAAAAGAGATATATTAACATATTTATCAATGTATTTTTCCATTTCTTGTGCTATCTCTCTCTGCAGGCCCACATTTCTAATTGGTACCCTCTTTGTGCCTAAAAAACAGTGCAGATCTGCTAGTGACAAATTTTTTCAGCATTTATTTGACTCTAAAGCCCTTACCTTGCCTTCATTTTTGAAAGATACTTTACAGATATTGCTCCATTGCCTTCTTGCCTTTATGTTTTTTGATGAATATTATGCTTTTTCTTACTATTGAGCCTCTGAATGAATGTCTTTCACTGTTAATTTTAAGGTCTTATTTTTAATTTAATTTAAAACATATTATTTTGGGGACCAATAGTTAACGTAATGGCTATGTCACTGAACTCCCATGTCTGCCACCACGGTTAGAGTCCGGACCCTGTGGCTTAAACTCACGCAGGGTACGTGTGCATGTGTGCCCAAGATCCAGAGAGGAGATTAGAGAAGGGATTGCGGCATGGTGATTTTTCTAAATCATCCCCTGATGGGTGATTTCTCGCATTCTGTCTCTTTCTGTCTTTCTGGCATGTGCACTCGCCCTATAGCAAAATCCTCTCCAAAAAATATATTTTTTTTTTGTTTACTTCATGCTTCCATTCTTTTGGGTTGATCAAGCTATTGAATCAGTGAGTTTATAATTCTCATTGAATTTGAACATTTTGGCTATTAGTTCTTTAATTATTTTTTCTATTCCCTCCTTCCTCTTTCCAGGAAGCCACTTACCTATGTTAGACTGCTTGATGATGAAACAAGATTTTAGCCTTTTTTTCATTTTTCTTTTTATTATATTTCAGTTCCAATCATTTGAATAGCTATGTCTTCAAGTTCATCAATCTTTTCTTAATCTGTCTGAGCTCTTAATCCTATTCAGTGTATATTTTTATTTCATATAGTATGCTTTTCATCTTTAGCTCTATTTGTGTTCTTTTATACATTATATTTCTCTCTCCACCATTATAATGCTTTTGTTTACAACTTGGACACATGTATTTATGTTAACTTGTCTACTAATCCTATCATCTGTCATTCTGAGTATGCTCCTGTTGACTAAAGATTCTCCATGCCATTGTATTTTTCTAACTTTGCATGCTTGGTAATTTTTAGTAGATACTTATTCACTAAGTGAATTTTATAATTGTAGTACTTGATTTTACTGAAGTTCTTCAAATTTGGAAGACTCACTCCTCCACATTTGAATGCAGTTAAGTTAGTTGAAATTAGCTGATCCTCTCAAGAATTGCTCTTAAACTTACAGAGCCAGTTTGGAGCAGCCTTCATGCTAAAGCTATCCTCATTCCTCCACCCAGTCTCATTCCTGTCTTTGGTAATATCTTGCTAAGGACTCTACTTAATCAATGAACCATATAGTAAAAGATCTTTTCACTATGGTTAAACACAAATTATTCCAGTCTTGGATGAGCCCCCAAGGAGTGACTTTTCAAACTCCTTTCTCTTCTCTTGTCATTCTTTCCTCAGCCTAAGGCAATTTTCTGTCTGGATTTTGTTTTCTTCATTTTAAGGAGTGTTACACTTTTATCCAGAAGACAATTAGTTTACTTAGGAATCACCTTCATTCTCTCAAGTCTTTTTAAGCTTTCTTAGCCTTTAGTCCACTGATAGTTTAGATGTTGCCTTGGTCCATTTTCTGCTGCTATGATATCCCAGACTAGGTCATTTATAAGATTTATTTGGTTAATGGTTCTCTAGGCCAGAAAGTCCAAGATCAAAGGGCCACATCTAGTGAGGGCCTTCTTTGCATCACAACTCGATGTAAGGGCAGAAGGGCAAAAGTATGTGAGACAGGAAAGAAGGGGCACAAAGCTCCTGTGATGACTACTCACACAGGAGTATTTATTCTTTTGAGTATTCATTTTAAGACACATTGAAATCTTTAAATGTCACAAAGTAAGTACACCACCATGACGCTGATGAGGCAGACATTTTAATGCCCCCCAAAATGGCGTTAATTCATTTATGAGGACAAAGTCCTCATGGCCTAATTATCTGTTAAAGTCCTTGCATCTCAACACTTATTACCATGGCAATTAAACTTCAGTCTGACTTTTGGAGGGGATGATTAAGCCATAATATCAATAGATGCCCTATGGAGGCATGAAGAACTTTCTGAGCCCCACATATTCGACAAGTTCTTTCTGCTTTGACTGGTTGGAATTCAAACATTCAAAAGCTGCATTCTAAAGCTCTGAGAGAGCTTCTCATTTTACAACTCCATAGCGGTTTTCCTTTTTCATCTAATGTAGCTCACATGTATTGTGGTTTGAATATGTCCCCAAGAAGTTCAAGTGTTGGGATTTATTGTATTGAATTCATTGTAAAGGTATTAAGCGAAAGCTTAATTCCTTCATGGTGTCCAAGGGTGAGCCCTCGTGGGTGGTGAGCAGCTCATGGTGATTGCATCATGGAGGTAATGCTCTCCTGAAGAGAGTAATGATGTCTCATGAGACCAAATGATTTTTATGTCTCATGAGACCAAATGATTTTTATGTCTCATGAGAACAAATGATTTTTAAATCTCATGAGAAGAGGTTAATTCTCATGAAGCTGGTTGCTATGAAAAAGAGAGCACGCTGCTTGTTCTCTCTGCCTACACTCAGCTGCCATCCTCTGAGCTTCCGTCAGCCATGGAATCAACTAAGCCTTTGGACTTTCCAGCCACTATGATCAAGCATTCTGTAAATAAACCTTCATCTTCTTTATATAATCACCCAAGGTCAGGTGTTTCTGTTAGTAATGCAAGCACAGACTAAGACAACATGCATCTATATCCATGTAATTATAAACTAATAAATTTCTCATTAGGGAAACTGTATTTAACTGTAAAGTCAATCCTTGGAAGAAGACAATTTCATAAGATGGATGCAGCAAGCCATCAAGAGGAAAGGAAAGCAGGTTCTTGGGACTATTGCAAGAAGAAAAGGAGAAGACATAAAAGAGGTCTTCAAAAAGTTGATGGGGGCCAGCTGGTAGCAGGGTGTTTAAGGTGCCTGGATTCTGCCTGACTCACTGTGAGGTTCTAGCCCTCTATGTGGCAGTTTGAAAAACATGCCAGGTGCATATGTGCACATGACCAAAATCCTGAGGACTTTGAAAGGAGAAATAGAGAAGAAAGGAGAAATAGAGATGGGTCACACTGGGGAAAAGAGAAATGGATGAGACGGACTATCTCCCATGAGGAGTGATTTCTCCCTTTTCCTCTCTCTCTCTCTTTTTCTCTCTGAAGGGTACACATGTCCTCTAACAATTTTTTTAAGTTCATGGAAAATGTGGATTATTAAAAGTTATGCATGGATTTCAAATTTTTTCACACCAAAATTAACTCACACTTTAAATCCATTTTTCTAAGAACTTTCTGAAGTTTCCACATAATGCTGGTCTAGACATCAAAAGTTATCTTTAAGTCTAATAAAATAAAAGTATCCCTCCGAGTTTTCTCAATATAGATTCGGACAACTTCAAGATGAATGGCTGGGACTTCAGATACAACATGATAATGAGACATCATTTTTTCTGGACAGCGTTAGAACCATGGCCTTAAACTCATTATCAGTAAATGAAACCAATAATCTGAGCTCTCATATGGAAGTAGTTTAAATGTTTTGCAGATTAACCATGGACTAAGAACTTTCTTTTATCTCAGATAGTCTCCCAAAATGCACAGCCCCATAGTTCTACTTCTACCCAATATAATTCTCCTTGGCAGAGCACTATCAAAAGTTATCAAGTTAGAAACTGGCTTGGGATATTCAGATAAAATAATTCAGCTAAGTAGCAACTCAATACGAACAAAAGAAACTAGCCTATATTAAGCATTTAGAATAGGCCCCACCTGATTGATAACCATGCTGGATTAAGCTTCTTCTTTAATTATTGTTATTAATTATCTACTGTGTGGGAGATGATCTCTAAGGCACTAATTATGAAATATTATTCTGTCTCATCTATTAGATATAACTGATGGTTTAGTACTATACGTGCTTTACTAACTACATTTCTGTCTGTCTCACTAAAAGTAAATATTCAACTGCTATCAGCATCCAAAGGTGCCACCACTTTTATTTGTTTACCAGCTCATAAGATGATACTGGCCCATTACCCTTGACCTAGTCAAACCTCTACAAGACTTAATGATGCTATTTAGGATGCATTTCCTTGCTGCTTTGTGCAGGTGGCTTTCGCATTGTAGCATAGACAGTGATGGGAACATCAGTTACTGTCAGGCAATGACTTCCAGGGCATCTTCGGAGTTGCCTAAGTAAAAAAACAAATGATAGGTATTGAGATACTAAAAAGGACATATTTTTCCGGGCAGCAAAGTTTGAGTATTTATTTGTCATTTTAAAGACACATTGACATCTTTAAATGTTACAAAGTAAGTATACCACAGTGATGCTGATGAGGCATTTTAAGACTTATATAGGACATTGTGGTTGCTCCCATATATTTAATTATAAGGAATTCATATATACAAAAATAATACTCCAGATGTTAATTTTGAAATATATGCAGTGATTGCTAAATGGCAAAATTAAAAAACTGTATAGTTATTTAAAAAGTGCACAGTTATTTTTATAAGTGCATATAGCAATAATATTATAGCAATGAATATGTATATACACCTTAAAACACTTGTAGGATTTCAAGACTAGAATCTTTGTGGAAAAGTTTAAAACTGAAAACACTATTCCACATACTATTCAAATGTTGATAGAATCTCAGATTTGAAACAGCCCTAGTCTAAAAATACATCTAGTATATGAATTTCCTTTCCAACATTCCCACCACATAATCACCCAGCCTTAAACATATAAAAAGCAAGGGGCTCAATATTTACCAAAGAAATCTATTTCATCCTTATATAACTGATTTTTAAAGTAGCACTCTTATTAAGCTTAAATCTATGTTCCAAACATCTCCAAGCCATGAGAAATCTAAGAGTATAGTACCTAATGTCTTGCTATGGTAAACAGCAGGAAAGTAGGAAAAATCCTACTTATTATAGTTTTCTTCACTTTTGCAAAAATTATTTGCTTCCTAGAATCTCCATTCTCTATATTGCTCTCTTTCTGCCAAAGGTCAAATCAAAGTCAGTGATAGTAAATCTGAGGTTGAAGTCTATTTGCAGCTTTACCCTTAGAGCAACATGTGGGCACAGAACAACACTGAAGATTTGTTTGTTAATTAAGTGTTATTCAATCTTTGAACTATTAACAATCTTTAAAATGCACCAGAGGACCAGCAGGTGGTGTGATTGGTAAGGTGGCTAGATTCTCATATGACAGACCACGATTTGAATCCTGGACCCAGTGACTTGAAAATCACACTGGGCATGTGTATGCATGCCCAAAATCCTAAAAGGAGAATGGATGAGAAGGAATTGCAGTGAGGCCATCCCTCCAAGGGAGCGGTTTCTCACTTTTCCTCTTTCTGTCTCTCTCCTCTCTAGTGAGCACACAGACTATATGGCAAAAACCTAAAAGAAATATTAAAAAAAAAAATTTTAAGCACCAGAGAGAGAAAGAGAGAGAGAGAAAGGGCAAAGATTTACAAAGATGTCTCACCTTCCCTCTCTGTCTCTCTTTCTGGTGCATGCCCTATGGTAAAAACCTAAAAAAAAAAAAAAAAAAAAAAAAAGAGGTACAATATACAGACTATATGCTAAGAAAACAAGAAAACCTGGGCTCTGTTAACACTAATTTAATAGCAGCAGTGTTTTGAATTCCTGACGTTCTCGTCCTTGCTAATGTGAGTATTAGATAAAGATGACAGCCAACACTTCGTTGTCGGGATAGCAGACTTTACCTAGTCGGTGACGTCTCTTTCCCATTACAGGCAGTGCTGGAGCTTAGGCCCGATTCCAGCCCAACTGAAGAATCTCCTCCTTCCACTGGACACCTCCTTGGCTGGGTTCCAAATCGAAAAGGCATAATTCACTGAAAACCTATTATAGATTAAAAAGTTAAAATAATGGAGGAGGCATGGGGAGAACTTGAAGAGTTATTTAGAATCTATAATGTTAATGTTTGATTACAGATCTATAGAAACATTCTGAAAATAACATTTTTAACTATTTATATCTATAAAAGTGTTGAAATACTACATTACACAACTATCCCTTACATATAAACTTTAAATCGTGCAACAAATACAAAATAGCAACCAGGCGATAAAAGGAAAAGTAAACCATGCCCTAAGGTTAATGTAACTGAAGCCCATTTCTGCTGTATGAAAATCAGTTTGCATTTAATGATTGCTGCAATCAACAATCTTGAGCCCTTACTCCCACTCACTCCCACTGCCTCTCTACCTATCTCTGCTTGTCTTTTCTTCTGAAGTACAGAATTTCACATCTGTCAGGATACTGTTAGCTATTTCTCTGTCCCTGGTGATCATTGTCCCTCACCTCTCTACATGCACAGTGCAGTAAGTAGTTGAGTGGCTTTGGGAGAATTGGACTAATTCTGAGTTCAAATTCAGGTTCTGGCCCTCCCCAACCAAGTGATCTTTCTTAACTTCTCTATATCTCTCAGGGGTAAATTGGGAATAATAATATCATCTACTTTCAGGGTAATGTAAGGACTAAATAAGATGATACATGCAAAGTGCAGTGCCTAACCAGCATATGCTACTGAGCATTAGAGTATATGCATGTGTATGAAATATATTTTTAAATTTTTATTATACTTATATGACAGTTTCAAAAAGTTCATAGAAAATGAAATTCAAGTATGAGTTGATTTGAGTGCAAAAAATTTTTGGAATCCATACCTAGTTTTTTCATAATACGAACTTTCCATGAAAAAAGACCTGTCATATACCCACACAGGCATGCACGTATCTGCATACATACAAATAAACTCCTTAGTGCCTATTGTTGCTTCTGCTTGGAACTCTCCCCCAACCCAGAGCTCCCACGTTTTATGGGCTAGGACCACGCACTAATTCTAAATTTTCTCAGAGAAACCTTTTATAACCCCCAAGTTATCTAAGTTTTCATAGCTACCATTGTTTCTGCTTGGTAACATTATCATCATTTTAATGCAGAGTTTCTCAACCATGACACTACTGACATTTGAGGTCAGATGATTCCTAGCTGGGGAGAAAGGAGACTGCCCTGTGCTTTGAAGGATGTTTTACAGCATCCAAGTTCTACATCCAAATAGCACCTTTCCCCCAAGTGTGACAGTTAAAAATGGTTCCAGGCATTGCCAAATGTCTCCTGGTGGGAGAGAAAAGCGAAATTACCCCATTGAGAAACACTGCCCTAATTTGCTGTAAAAACAAAAATGTTTTCAACATCTCCCTCAGTACCATGTCTATTTTTGTCACCACTGAACTGTTCATTACCTAGAAAAGTGTTCGGCACACAGTGGACATTTTCTCACTTTCTTACTAATGAATTTGCTTGTCTTAAACTAATAGCCCATGAAGGGGACCAGCAGTTGGAGTAATGGCTATGTCGTTGGACTCATGTAGCTGACCGCAGTTTGAGTCCTGGATCCAGTGGCTTAAACACATGGCGGGCATGTGTGCGTGCGTACCCAAGATCCTGAGAGGAGAATGAAGGAGAAGGAATTGCAGAGTGACCATTCCCACTGTGGGGGTGACTTCTCACTTTCTGTCTCTCTGTCTCTCTCTGGCTTTCTGGAGAGCACCCTCTATAGCAAAAACCTACTAAAAAAGAAAAAAAAAAACCTAATAGCTCATGAAGGGTGGGAAAAATGGAAAATGTCTTGTGTTTCATATGCCAAGTGTAGTATTCTATATCTAATAAATAAAAGTTTAGGGATGGTAATAATAAAATTATAAAGTTTTAAGAACTGTAATATTATATAGTGATTTTTATAGATGATGTGTCAATCACCAAGGAAAAAGGTGTTTTGCTCAATGATGATTTAGTAAAAGCATAGTAAACTCCATAACTATCTATGTAAGTATTAGGTTTTAGCTAAATCAATTAAGAATATATGACTTACCAAAATATGCTGAGTCTGATTCCTGTAGATGTGAATAAATCAACTGCTTCTTCTAACCTTCCACACAAGGCTAGAATTGCCAAAGGATTGATGGTCGAATGTTCCAGTGAAACACAGATATTATGACATCAGAAGATTCTTTCACATAGTTTCCTACCTGCTAAAGAATCAAATGTCTCAGTTCATAGCTCCAGCAACAAGCTGAAACCTAACCAAAAACTGTCTTTAAGGTTTTGAGGCTTTCTTCTTGCTACTGCCTATTTTCCAACAATATGAAAGATCCTAACCTATGAATGATAATCTACAGTCTAGTCATTTTGCATAAAATGGCACTCGAGATTCTTCTCACTTTGTATCCCATTTTCCTAATTCTCTTTATCTCTCATGCTTTCCCTATCCTATGGTAATAACCAAGTCAATCCGATCTATATACATCTCATCTCACTTCACTACCCTCAAACTCAAACCACACCATTACAATTTCCTCATAGTTCTTCTTACATGGGATTCTTTACACGCTCATTCTAATGCTTGGACTGCCTCTTCTTTCCTGTTTCCTTAAGAGAGCCTTGAAATCCCCAAGTGGCAGGAATAACAACAATTGTGAAAGGAGGAATACATCTTGTAGTGTCCTTGTTATTCTGCTCTGTGAACCCTGATCTTATCTGCTGATACCGTCTTTGCATTTCTCTGGATTTCTCTCCCTCTCCCAACTTGTTGCTGGCTTCTCTATCAGCAGCTTACCTCACTGAATGTCTGACCTACTCAGTAATGCTCTAGTTTAATCCTTAAGCAGGAACACTATTCTTCAGCTAACCAATGTTTCAATTTTTACAGTTGGATGACCAAACTAGTAAATGCTAGTGAAAATTTTTTAATTAATGAAAATCTTTTGTTATTACCTACATTTTATGCTAAGTTCCCACTGCTATGTGTTCATATGCTTTATGTTATAGATCAACATATTACACAACAATTAAGTTAATATTAGGTAAAATCTAACTTTTTTTTTTACTAGAATTCTATCTGTGAACAAGGTGACCACAATTTTAACTTAGGCAAATAATTTAACCATGTCACAGTAAGACAAGTTGAAATCATTGCTGGCCATTGTTAGCTAATGTACCATTAGTACCTAAATATTTGGTCCTTGGGATGGCAAAATTTTTATATAGTTTACATTTTTGAGAGGAAGTGGTAGTGCTTAGATGATAAGTTTTCATGGTAGAATTAGTCTTGAATTTTGACACTATGTTAGCTCTAAGATTTTTAGTAAATCACTGAAAATTTTTCTGTAAAATGTTATTAACCCTATCTCACAGAGTTGTGAGGAATAAAAAAACTAACATGCATAAAGCCAATGTCTTGGATACAAAACCTTAATCAGCACTTAGCCTTCTAATCTTTTTGTGAATTTCTTAGTATCAGAATGTCGAGACACTGATTTCACTCTTTTTAGTCACTAATGTACCTTTAAAACTAAAAGTAAAATATCTGCAGGTGTGGTACTTTCAAATTTGTCTAATTATCTTTAACTAGTCCATTTGGCACAAGTCGTGCCAAGTTTCTTTAGCATGTGATAAATGAAACAAACCAAATAGCAGCCTTAATTATGAAACTTTACAGTGCTATGGTAATACCTAAGAAGACAATATGTGGACCAGCAGATGGCATAATGGCTATGTCACTGGACTCCCATGTAGTCAACTGCAGTTGGAGACCCAGACCTGGTGGCTTAAAACTGGCGCAAGATGCATATGCATGTGTGCCTAAGATCCTGAGAGGAGAATGGAGAAAAAGAGATTGCAGCCTGGCCATCTCCCCCTGCAGGGGGTGGTGGTAAATTCTCACTTTCTGTCTCTCTGGAGAGTGCATGCACCCTATAGCAAAAGTCTCTCTCTAAAAATGAAAAACTTTTAAAAAGACAATACGATCTTGACTCCCAGCAGATCTTCACAAAGTAATGGATTAATAAGTGGAGTATAAATGGTAAAAAAGAAGATGGTACAATCTCTAAATTATGTCTCAATCAGCATAAGACTAAGAAAAATTATCTTTCCATTTTCAGGATATTGACTTATGAGGTACTGAAAAAGAGTGATATTCGGGGACCAGCAGATGGAGTAGAGGTTATGTTGCTGGACTCCCACATGGCTGGGAGTCCCAGATCCGGTAACTTCAAACTCATGCTGAGGGCATATGCATCATGCCCAAGATCCCAGGAGGAGAACCTAGGAGAAGGGATTGAGGTGTGGCCATCCCCCCTGGGGGGCGATTTCTCACTTTCCCTCTCACTGTGTGTGTCTCTCTCTCTCTGGCAAGCACATGCACTTTAAGGCAAAAACCTCTTCCAAAAAAACCACAGAGTAATATTTGATCCAGTTGTATCTGAAGAAAACAGACTCCTTCATTATTAGATTTCATTCATTCACTGAACAAATGATTGCTAGGAATTCACCATGAGCCAGGCAGGTATTATGTGCTAAAATTAAAAAGAAAAGCCAAACATACTTTCTGTTTTAATGGACTTTATGGGTCAGGGTAGGATATGCTCTAGACTAAGACTTTGACTCTAAATTTAAAAGATGAATAAGCACTAAAAGGAGAAAATGAGTGGGAGGCAAACACACTGAGACAGTTGGGGAGGGGGCAAATGGGGAACAGCATGTGCAAGGTTCTTGTTGCCCATGATCTGAAAGGCCAGCCTAACCCCAGCAAAGAAAATCCGAAAGGAAATATGGTCTGAGAGACAAGTACAAACCACATGGGACCACGTGGGAGCAGGAGTTTAAGATTTTATCTCAAGAGCAAGAAAGTCTGGCAAAGATTTTTAGGTTCCATTGATTTTCTCTGCTTATTTTTTTTATTTACTTGATTTTTATTCTAATCTTACTCTCTCTTCTTCTTTATACTTTGGACTTAATTTGATTTTCTTTTTCTTATTTCTTAAAGGGGAACCTTAGGTCAATGACCTCAGATCTTTCTTTTCTAAAATAAGTATTTAATAAGTTTCCATCAAAGTACTACTTTAGGTGCATCAAAAATTATTAAATTCCATATTTTCATTTCCTTTACTTAGAATTTTCCTTTATAGGTGGAATTTTCCTTTAGAGGAGGATAGAGAGATTTTGGTTCATGGAAACAAAATTACAAATAGAAGAGAGGAACAATTTCTAGTGTTAGTATAGTAGAGTAACTATAGTTAAAATTTACTGTATATCTCAGAGTAACTAAAAATGACAATTTTGAATGTTCCCAACACAAAGTAATGACATATTGTTGTGATTATAGATATACCCTTATTTAATCATTACACATTATATTTTTCATACTCAGAAATCACATTATACTCCACCAATATGTACAATTATTATTCATCAATGAAAATATTTTTCCTTTTTTTAATTTTTGACCTATGCATTATTTACAGCTATATTGTTTAGTTTCCAAATATTTGAGAATAGTCTATTCTTCTGGTTCTAATATCTAGTTAGATTCAATTTTCCTCAATAGACATTTTCTAATTCTTTTTCTTTTTTTGAGAGATTTGTTGCTATAGGGCGCATGCACTTGCCAGACAGACAGAGAGACAAAAAGCGAGAAACCACACCCCCAGAGGGATGGACACAGCAATCCCTTCTCCTCCATTCTCCTCTCGGGATCTTGGGCATGCACACACACGTGCCCAGCATGAGTTTAAGCCACTGGGTCTGGGACTCAAACTGCAGTCAACTACATGGGAGTCCAGTGACATAGCCATTATGCCAATTGCTGGTTCCAACAGACATTTTCTATATTATTAGAACTCTTTTAAATAAGCCTTGTTTTCATGGCCAGAATACATAAATATTAGGTAAATATTCCTAATTTTAAAATAGGTAAATATTCCATGTGAACTTGAAAAGAATGGGTATTCTGCTGACACTGGGTGAAGTGCTTTATATAGGTGATTTATGTTGTTCCTCTAGTCTCCTATATTCTCTCTTTTTTTTTAAGGTTTTGACATAGGGTTCATGTACTCACCACAGAGAGACAGCGAGAGGGAAAGTAAGAAATCGTGCCCCAGGAAAGATGGCTATGCCACAATCCCTTCTCCACTCTTCTCCTAGAATTTTAAGCACACACGTACACGCACTCAGTGTAATTTTCAAACCACCAGATACGGGACTTGAACTGTGGTCAGCCATGTGGGAGTCCAGTGCCTTAACCACCACATCACCTGCTGGCCCCAATCTTCTATATTCTTAATGATTTTCTATATATTTATCAACTATTGAAATAAGGATTTCTTAAGATAAATTTATTTTATAGTATTTTCAAATGTATTTACATTCATTCACCGTACATAATTACAGTGTGCAAAATGATATTTTTCATCCAGAATACACTGTATATTGGTTCAATCAAGGATATTACCATATGTATTATTGTCAACAAATAGTTTCCTATTTCTTGTTTCTTACATATTTTGCTTCTTTTTTCTCCCCTTTGACTCCCTCCCTCTCACCTTCTGCCATTTCCCACCCTACTCGTATATTGTCTCTGGTATCTACTGTTGCTTTCCATGACTTTGTTTTCTTGAAATCTCTAACTATAGTTGTGAATTTACTTCTCTTTTCTATTCTGCTAGTATTTACTTCTAAGTATTTTTAGTACTATTATCTTCTTTCAATGAAACGACATTCTTGTCATTAAGAAATATCTTTCTTTAGCCATAATATTCATTGCTTTGAAATCTACTTGGTCTGAAATTTTTACAGCTACTTTTTACTCATTAATGTTAGCATGACATGCCTTTTCCTATTCTTTTACATTTAGCCTATCTGGTTTTCATATTCAAAGTGTTTTGGGGTTTTTTTTGGTAAACAGCATATAGTTGAGTCTTGTATATTTTATCCACATTAATCATCTTTGTCTTTTAAGAAGGGTGTTTGTGGGACCAGCAGATGGGATAATGGTTACTTTGCTGCACTCCCACATGACTGACTACAATTCGAGTCCTGGACCTGGTAGCTTCAACCTCATGCCAGGTGATGTGTGTGTGTACCCAAAATTCTGAGGAAAGTGGAGGAAAAGGGATTGTGGCATGGCCATCCCCCAGATGAGGGGAAGAATGTGATTTCTCACTTTCTATATGTCTCTCACTGTCTCTCTGTCTCTCTCTCTCCAGCGAGCACATGCATACTATAGCAAAAATCTTTTTTAAAAAAAGAAAAAAGAAAGAAAGAAAAGAAAAGAAGGGTGTTTGGTTATTTTATATTTAATATGATATATAGGTTGGATTTATATCTGTCATTATTTGTATTTTATTTTTGCCATCAGTTCTTTGTTTCCTTTTTCTTGTTATTGTATGCTTTTGGGTCAAACGAGTATATTTTATGAATCTATTTTATCTCCATTATCGGTTTGTTGCTGTGCATCTTTGTGTCCTACATTATTTTTTGATTACTTTGGGGTTTATAGCATATATCTTTAAATTTTCACAGTCTACTTTTAAATAACATTACGCCACTTTCATATACTAGAAAAAATATAGTCTGTTTTTATTTCTGTTATATGATAAACCTCACAACTTTTTTTTTTTTTTTTTTTTGAGAGAGAGAGGTTATGCTATAGGGTGCATGCACTCCCCAGAGAGACAGAAAGCGAGAACTCACCCTGCAGGGGAGATGCCATGCCGTAATCCCCTCTCTCCATTCTCTTCTCAGGATTTTGGGAGCACACCACACATGCCCAGCATGAGTTTTAAATCTCCTGGTCCAGGACTCAAACTGTTGCCCACTATGTGGGAGTCCCATAACTACCATTACGGCATCTGCTGGTCCTAACGTGTCATTGTTTTTGAGCAATCTTTGTAAAACTTTTTCAACACAAGGGAAGACTTTTCTATTTACCTATATGTTTATCATTTTCAGTGTTCTTTATCCTCTCCAGTAGGTCCAGATGTTCATCCAACATCATTTTCCTTTCGCCCGAAAGACCATTTCACAGTACTGATCTGCTAGTAATTAGTTTTAACTAAATAACTTTTGTATGTCTTTATTTCATTTTCAGTTTTTTTAATAATATTTTCACTAGATATGATGTCTGAAGTCATCAGTTTTGTTTTAAGTACTGAAAAGATTTTTTTCTTTTTTTTCAATTTGCCGTAGGGCATGTGTGCTGGCTGGAGAGAGAAAGAGGGAAAGCAACCCCCGGGGGGATGGCCATGCCACAGTCTCTTCCATTCTCCTCTCAAGATTTTGAGCACACACACACATATTCCCGGAGTTGTTTTCAAGCCACCAGGACAAGGATTCAAACCATCATATTGGATCCATCCACCTTAACCACCATGCCATCAGCTAGCCAGGACATAAAAATCTTTGCTCTGCTATTTTCTGGCTTACATTGTTTCCAACAAAAAATGTCTGCTGTTATTACTGTGTTTCTCTATATGTAGTATGTCTTTTCTCACTAGCTGTTTTAAGATTTGCTCTTTATCACTGATTTCAAGCAATTTAACTACAAGGTGCTTTGTATAGTTTTCTTCTTGTTTCTTGTGCCTACGTTTCATTGAGTTTCTGGGGTTGGTTTGTGGACTTATAACACTTGTCACTTTGGGAAATTTGGGGGAGGGGGGTTATATCTTCAAGTATACTTGATTTCCTCCTTCTGGAACTCCCAATTATATGTATATTAAACTTTTCAAAGTTCTCTCATAGCTCACCAATCCTCCGTTTTTGTTTTTGTTTTTTCATATATATTTATCCTTTTGTTCTTTGTTTTATTTGGAGTAGTTTCCATTACTTCATCTTTAAGTTCATTATTCTTTTCTTTTGCATTGTCTAATCTGCTCTTAATTCTATCCATCTTTCATCCTAGACATCGTACTTTTGATCTCAGAAATCAAATTTGGATCTCCTTTTTATATTTGTCTCTTAATCTGCTTATGATTCCTTCTGCCTTCTGAAACAGTTATTTATTTTAATATCCTTATTTACTAATTCTTTCATTTGTGCTATATATATGTGTGTGTGTATATATGTGTGTGTGTGTGTGTGTATATGTTATTTAATTAGATTCTTGGTAAGAAATTTAGAACACCAATTTGTGAGGATAAACTCCATTTGTTAGGGCAAACATGGATTGCAAGTAGCCCTAGAGCTATGTAACGGCTTTGATTTTTAGTAAAATTTGCGAGTCCACAGCTTTCCAATCAAACTTGTGCTGCTCTATAATCTCTTATTTCTCCTTTTCTGTGCCAAAGATCTCCTTCCTGATGTCTGGGCATCACAGCTCCTTTTTCTTGAAATAAGCATTAGTGAGGTGTTTCGGGATTTTTATCTTACTAATATCGTTTTTTGTGGAGGTAGCGATGACAAATTTCTGGTGTGTTCTAAGCAGTGCAACTCAATTGAAGACCAGAGATCCAGTCACAAGTAGAAAGCCACTCCTCAACTGCTTCAGGAAAACCACTCTTTTCTCTGTGGCGTCCAGTGAGAATGGTCCTGGGAGTAATACTGGTTCGCAGCTTTCTCACATGCTCATTGAAGGGTTTTTTGGTTTTTGGTTTTTGTCTTGGCTCAACAACTTTTGGAGGCATATCTTCGGTAGGATAATACCTAGGCATTTTGCAAAGTTTAACCACCTAGATACCACCTTCTTGTCCCTACCAGCTGGTTTTATGACAGTGACAAGAACCTTCTCCTCCTTTGTCATTTCAATCCTGGATTTAGTGTCTGAGTACTTCCTCTTGTGGCCTTCCTAAAATACAGGGCAGATCAAGAGTATCTGCTGATGCCACAGACTAGGACCTGTTCACAAGTCACTAATGGGTTTCCCTTTTTTGGGCTTTTTTTTAGCCTTGAGGTCACCCTTTTTAACTTTGCCACTGGTATCAGCCTTCTTGGCTTCAGATTTCTTTCCCTTAGTATCCTGTTTCTCAGCTTTTTCACCTTCCACCTTGTCTGATGGGAAAAGCCATTTGTTCTATCTTAATCTACTTTTCACTGACTGATTTTTCTCATTATGGAGTACGTTCTTGCGTATCTGGCTTTTTTTTTTTTTTAATTTCCATGTCAGACGTTGTGAATTTTATATTGTTCGACAAGTTTATTTTTCATCCTCCACTCTTGAGGTCTTGTCTGGGGCATGATTACTTGGAAACTTGTTTCTTGGAAGTCTGGTTTTAGGCTTTTTTGATCACAGCAGCCTTTTCTCTAGAGCCTTTTTCTTCTACCCAAACAATATTCCTGGCAGCCTTCCTTCTCTCTCTCTCTCTCTCTCTCCCCAGTCAAATTAAAGAATAATAAATTAATTAATTAATAATTCTTTTTTTTAGAAAAAAAGAAGAAAATTCTTTCATTTTCAAAGTAAAGATGGAGTTAGAGGGCCTTATGCTGGGTTAATAAGTCAAGGACAGAAAGACAAATAAAAATATGAACTTATAAAAGTGGAGAATAGAGTCATAGTTGTCAGAGGTCAGGGGAGGGAAAGGGAGCAGAGATGTAAAGTGAGGAAATGCTCAAAGTGTACAAAGTCTCAGACAGGAGAAATAAGTTTTAGAGGTCTATTACATAGCAAAAACTTTTTTTTTAAATCTGCCTATTACTCCCAAGAGATATAAAATAAAAGTAAAACACATCCAAATAGAAATGTGGGAAAGCCACAGCATCATAAACAACCTCAGCCTTACCAGCTATCAGAAAAATGGAGTAATAACTATTATTTGTCTTGGTGGGGAAATAAGTTGTTCTAAGCAATTGAATAATACTATAATTTATATTACTACACATTTAAAATATATATATAATTTAACTTTTTATTAAATGGGGATTTCTTAAGAGTTTTGTAGTTCCTGGGACCAGCAGTTGCATAATGGCTATGTCGCTGGACTCCCATGTAGTCGACCATGGTTCGAGTCCCAGACCCAGTGTCTTAAACTCAAGCCGGGTGCATGTGCATGCGTGCCCAAGATCCCCAGAGAATGGAAGAGAAGGGATTGTGGCATGGCCATCCCCCCTGGGGGGTGATTTCTCACTTTCTGTCTCTCTGTCTGTCTGGCGAGCACACACATCTTATAGCAAAAACGTCTCCACACAAAAAAAAAGTTTTGTAATTCCTTAGATTTTTTATGTAATATATTGATTTCACTAAAGAAGTACTTGAGCTGTTCATTGAAATCTGGTCTACAAGCAATAAAAGTTTACAGTATTTTTTTAATGTTTGACAATGTTAAAGAGTTGATCATTTTCAGAAATTCCTGATTTTTCCATCTTCTCCTCTAGCCCATCTAAACATTGCACATAAATCAAATGCCTAGTTTTTATCCCTTCTCTCTGTCTTCTGTTTGCTCATCTACATCTTCATCCCCTGAATCCTACTGCACTTACAGTCAACGTCATATACTATTGTTAAGTCCCAATTCTGTCACTGTTGTGTGTGTGTGTGTCTTCAACTAGACTTGAAGCTTCTTGGACTGGGTCTTACTTTCTTTCGAATCCTCCATAGACCCTAGAAGGTAACGTTTGGAGTCTACTGCGTTCAACAAATATTTTCTCTGAACTTTGCCTTTTTTTCTTTTAAGTATATAACCACCTAGATTCCGTTGTGCCCTGACGATTTTTCTCTGATGTTTCTCTGTGCTCATCGTCATTCCTCGTTTTTCTGTTAGAACAAAGGGCTGGTCGCAAAGAGACGCTAACGCAGCGCCCCATAGAATCTGAATAAACGAAATTTCACCCACCACCCCGGATGTTAAAACGGAGGACGAAGACTAAACCTCTAATAGCTTTTGAACGGCTGATTCTTATTTTAAACTGCTACTCCAAAGCCTAGTTACCCGCCAGTTACCCGGGCCTCTGGAGCTGCCGATGCCCAAAGATGTTGACAAGGCAGCGAGGATCTGCGGTCTGGAGGCCGCGTCGCTATGGTAACGGCGAGACGCCAGGGCCCGCGAGCGGCCTGCTGACGGAAAATCTCGGTCTGAACCTAGAGAAGGGCTTTGCGACGGTGTTGGCTTGCGGCAGCGGCGTAACTTACGGCCGCCCTCCCCTAAAGCTCGCTAGGTGAGCGGGCGAATCTGAAAGCTGGCGCGGGCTCCTGGGTGCAGCGGGCTGGGCGCACTGCAGCATGACCCAGTCGGTGGTCGTGCAAGGTGAGCCACCCAGGCGGGTGGGGATCGGGTCCCCGCAGAGTCCGGCCGCCTTGTTTCCTGCCTAACTTCCATTCTCTGTGCTTTGTCTGCCCTGGTCGCAGTCGGCCAGTGCGGAAACCAGATCGGCTGCTGCTTCTGGGACCTGGCGCTGAGAGAACACGCCGCGGTCAACCAGGTACCGGCCTTGTCCCCGGGAGCTCCCTTTACCTGTCACTGAGGTCTTCGCACACACAAGCAGGGAGCTTTTATCTGACCGACCTAAGTTGTCTGAGACTTTCCGTAAAGAACGTACTGCCTTGTAAACGGACGTGCTGTTAGACACAGTAGGCTGAACACTGACCAGACATTTTAGTCTTAGCAGTATTCCCAACTCTCAGGGTCTCCTCATTAGTGTTCTTGTAAAGGCAATGAGATATTGTATGTGGAGGTGCTTTGTAGAATGGATAACTCGTGTGGTTCGAGTTCTCCATTCAACTAGACACCTTTTCAAATAGTCACAAAGAGTCCAGAGAAAATTTTCCTTTTGAAGCACCTGATCTACAATCCTATTGGGAAATCCTTTCACTTG